TGCCAGGGTGCCCTGCTAGCCGGTGTGGGCAGCAGCACCCCACGCTCCCTCCAGGGTCTCCGTGGAACGCTGGCTCGGGGTGCTGTGGGCACACGTTAGCCAGCGTGTGGTGTGCAGGTGAGCGGGGGTGTGGGCAGCTGGAATCTGTTGGCTGTGGGTCCCTTGCCAGCCTCACGACAGCTGGGCCTTTCCTAGGCAGAGGGGAACCAGGGCTCACGGTCCCTCAGCCACCAGGGAGGCACGACACCTTCTTCCCGAGGGAGGTCCCGCGACACCTTTTCATGCTGCCGCGTGGCTGGGCCCTTCAGACCAGAGAAGGGGCACAGGCCTCGACCCCGGCTCCAGGGAAGCCACTGGAGGCAGCTGAGCAGTGGCCCTTGCTGTCCCTTCATTGTAATGAGCTCGCTGCCCCTGCCCCTGGATTAACCGTGACCTGCAGCAACAGCTGACTTATAAGGAGCAGGGACCTGGAGGGACAGCTACAGGTTTCTTTGTTTTTTTTAAATCCTCACCCAAGGATGTTTTTCCATTTATCTTTTGATAGAGTGGGGGGGAGAGAGAGAGAAACATTGACGTGAGAGAGAGAGACATTGAGTGGCTGCCACCCACACGACCCAACCCGGGGCCGGGACAAACTGCAACCGAGGTACGTGCCCTTAGCGGGAACTGAACCCGGGTCTCTCTGGACCGCAGGCCAACGCTCAACTGCTGAGCCAAACCGGCCAGGGCAGTAAGGGTATTTTTTCATTGATTTTTTAGATGTGAGTGGAAGGGAGGGAGGGAGATGGAGAGAAGCATCGTGTGACACGCTGGCTGGTCACCTCCCACATGCGCCCGAGCTAGGGATCACACCTGCAACCCTCGACAGGGAATCGAACCCGAAACCCTTCGGTGCATGGGCCGGTGCTCTGACGGAGCACACCAGCCAGGCCAGCGCAGTGGGGAACGTGGGAAAGCGCAGGGCCCGTGGATAAGTGAATCATCGCTGTTTGTTCTAGAAGGCCCCTCCCCCACCCCTGAGTCACCCTGTCTTTGGAGGGAAGAGGAGACATGTGTTCTGATCACTTTTGTCTTCTCGGATTACAGGGCTGTTCAGCCCAGGGTGACTAAGTGGGAGCAGCCTGTGGGTCTTAAGCGCTTTCAGCTGGGTGTTTCTGTAGTGCTGTCGCCATGGCGCCCACTGAGCAGGAACACCAGAGGCAGGGAGGGGCCTTGTCAGCCCGCTGCTAAGTCATCGGACGTGGGCCTTGCCCTGCACCCTGCACTTCTGAGGGTGTGCCGCCCACAGAGGGGCCAGAGCCTGTGGCGGGGGCGTCCTCCCTCCTGTCCCCCGGGGGCGAGGCCCTCAGGTGGCCTAATTTCCAGGATCCGCCTGGTGAGGCGGCCTGTCTCCAGCAGTTGTCGTCCCGGGAAAGGAGGTCAGGGCAGCCACTGTTCCTCGACAGAAGTGCCCGCTCTGCCCTGCCCGAGCCCCGGGTCTGGCGCTCCAGCCGTGGAGCAGCCCGGGCCCTGGGTGGACGGGGCGGGCTCTGTCCGCACGGCCCCACTGGGTGGCCACGGCTCAGACCCAGGCAGCCCCTGCCCGCTCCCCGGAGGCTTGGTCCCTGGGGAGATGCTGGTGCCCCCGCGACCCCTGCCGAGCTGCCCTCCCCCCGAAGCTCCGGCTCCCACTTGAGACCTGTCTGAATAAATGGAAATCTTAGAAATAAAACACCTGCCCTGCCCATGCTGGAAGCTGCCAGACCTGCTAATGAGGCCAGTGCCTGCCCCCGTCCTGCAGTCTCTCTGCCCAGGGAGGGGCACTTCGATGCCAGCGGCGGAGCGCAGCCTGGAAACCCAGAAACCGGCCGCCAGCACCCCAGGGCCTGGGCCCAAAGGAGCCGTTCCCTGCAGTGTGCTCAGGGCGAGTGTGCCCAGGGGGCCCGCGCCCTGGTTACGTTGCTGTCCTGGGGTGACCGTGCCTTTTCTTCTCCAAAGTTCCCATTTAGGTGACAGCTGGCATCGCTCTGGGTGGCCTCGCCTGGGCACAGGGTTGCCATGTGCCTGGCTCACTTGAGCCCACATACCCTCCCAGACCTGGCCACGCTGGAGCTGGTGGGGATGAGGGAGCAGCTCCCAGGGAGGGGAGGTGGTGACCCGGGACCTTTTAGGGGTCTCCTGGCACCAAGCGGAGCCCGCTGGGTGTGAGGACAGGGACCGAGGTGTCCTTGTCACCAGCAGTGTTCCTGATGGTGCCCTGTGGGGGAGGAGGGACAGCGTGAAGTAGTCAGACTTCGGGGGCTACAGCCCAGTGTTGAGCGTTGTTTTGGTGATGGGGCTGGAGGTGGGGACACCAGGGTACCCATCTGTCTGTCTCCCTGCACATGCGCCTCACCCTGAGCCAGCCCAGCCCCTTCCTGTCCTCACAAGCGCCTTGTGGACCTTCTGGATCGGGGGGGGGGGGGGGGGGGGGGGGGGGGCAGTCTCCTCGGTAGGCGCCTCATCCACCATTGTAGACAGGTGGCCTCTGAGGGGTCCCACATTGCATCCTTTCCCAGTGTGCCTTGCCCAGGCCCACTGTCCCACTTCCTGGGGAGCCACGGTGTGGGGCGGGGCAGAGGCAGGGGCACACGTTCTGGAACCAGAGGAAAAGTACGCTGAGCTGCCCTGCCGCGTGTGGGGGAGGGGGAGGGGAGGGGCAGGAGCAGAGCAGCAGAGCCAGCCCTGCTGGAGGGGGGCCTCTCGCCCATGCTCAGACCTTCTCCAGGCCTGGCGGGGTCTCTCCCCAAGTGCCACGCTGGGTCCCCTCAGGCACAGTCGTGTGGGGGCAGGGCTTTATTCCTTGAGACTGTGGCCTTGGTCTGGGGGTGGGGTAGCTACTTCGAGGCCTGTTTAAGCCACCCTCCCCAGGGAGTTCAGTGTGGGAAGTGGGTGGTCTGCAGGCCGAGGGAGCAGCCTGCCTCCTTGGCGAGGCTTGCTCAGGCTGGGGGAGCAGGGCTGGCTGTGCTGGGGACAGGCCCACACCCCTGCCGCTGAGCCTGCTGCAGGAACAGCCTGCTCTGTGCTCCCACCCGGTCGCCCACCCAGCTTGGCACCGCCTACCCGCCTGAGTCAGAGCTGGCGCTCACGCTGATCCAGGCCAGCAGGGGAGGCTGCCCCCTCGTGGCCCAGGCTTGCCCCTGCCAGAGGACGGGCTGCTCCAGGGAAGAGCTGATTCTGCAAACGCTGCTCCCAGACAGTGCCGGCAGCGCTGGCCAGCTGGCCCAGTGCAGATGCCCGGGGACGCGGCAGAGCCCAGCAGGTGTGCCCTGGCTGCCCCTCCTGCGCAGGGCGGCCCCCCAGCCTCTGTGGGGCTTTGTGACAACAGGTTTCCAGCCTGCGAGTCAACGCGTTCTGTGTGCCCAGCTCAGCCCTGTCTCCTGTGCCCGCCCTGCGGGTTTGGGTGTGCATTGGCCATGCCCCAGCTTGTGCTGGCTGAGCCCTGCTCAGGGAGGTTCAGCGGCCGGAATCGGGACCTGCACGAGGGGCCACACTGCCACCCATCTCACTGAGAGTCCGCCAGGGCGGCCTGTGCGAGGGGCTGCCAGGGTTCAGAGGGCAAGGGGTCAGGGGTATGTGTTCCCAGGGGACAGGCTCAGAGCTGCCAGGCTGTAACTTCTGCTCAAATCCCATTGGCCGAAGTGAGTCACACGGCCGAGGTTCGCACCAATGGGCTGGCTGGGAGCTGTGCTCTGCCTCTGGGGGGCGGGGCGGCCGGCACACCTGGAGAAGGACAAGGTTCCCCTCCCACAGTGGCCTCTGCCCACACTTTTCAGCCCAAGCCCCTCCTCCTCCTCCCTCGCTGGTCAGAGTGCCTGGTCTTCTGTCCAGCGGTCTCCCGCGGTCAGAGTTTGCGTGGGCCACTTTTTTATAACTGTAAATTTTGTTAACTCGACATGAAGTTTACCATTTTCAAGTTCAGGGCATCGGTATGGTCACCCTTTTGTGCACCGTCACCGTCTAGAGCTCCGCCACCCCAACTGCCACCGTCCCCACGGGCTGTCAGCTCACCCCGCCTCCTGTCCCTGGAGCCCCTATTCTGTTCACCTGTTCCTGAGGACTCAGTCGAGTTGAGGTTGTTTCTGTGTGGGTTTTGATGGTGCCTGTCACAGTGAGTGCTCCGTCATGCAGCCGGAGTGGCTGCACCTGGCAGCATTGTCAGGGAGCCAGAGCTGAGTGTCGGGGGCTGCAGCGGCCCCACCCCGAGACCTGGGCAGGGGCAGTGGGCCTGGAGCTCAGTGCTCTCCCCAGGCACACGCGCGGCTCCGCATCCGGCCTCTGCGAGGCTGTTTGTCCCCACAGTTTCTCCACCCCTCACAGGGTGGCACTGGGGTTGGGTGGCTTCTAGTGGGAAGGTCTGTGGCCTGGTCACTTTCCAGTCCAACCTGTGCAGGCCCCAGGCACTTGCTCTTCCAGGAGTGTGAGCTGGCCCTACCCTCAGGTGCTGGGCTCCCTGCTCCCAGGGGTGACCCCTTGTTCCAACCCCTCCATGAGCTCACGTCCCAGACGCTCACCTCAGCCTGGTTATCTGGAGAAGAGCTGCCAGGGGTGTGGCCTGTCTCCAAGTCCCATTCCTCCAATCTGGGAAACGGCGGGGAACCCCTGAGCCTTGCGGCCATCCCTCCGGCAGGGCTCCCCCGTCGGTGTCCGGTCTTCGACTCTCCCCTGCTTCCCGTCTGAGCTGAGACGGGTTCTGGAAACACCCATGTGCACGGGCCTGGGGGTGCCCAGTGAGGCAGGACAGTGGAGACCCGGCCGAGGGAGGGGCTGGTCTGGGCACACAGCACCCCCCTCCTCTGAGGAAGGGCCCCTCAGAGATGCACCTGACCCCTCTGCAGATCGCCTGCCCTGGGCCCTTGCTGGAGGTCAGACCTGTGGCCAAAGGCGTGGGCAGAGGCCCAGGGCCAGCGGGGCGTGTGGGCTGACGGACGCGTGGGCTGGACGCTGTCTGTCGGCTCACGGCGCTGCCTCTCCCCACCCAGTACATCGACGCCATCAGCAGCAAGCAGGGGGAGCTGGAGACCTCGGTGTCGGAGGGCTACCAGACGGCGCTCACGGAGGAGCGGCGGCGGTTCTGCTTCCTGGTGGAGAAGCAGTGTGCCGTGGCCAAGAGCTCCGCCGCCTACCACTCCAAGGTGAGCATGCGGCCGAGGCGGGCGTCCGGCCCGGAGCTGTGACGGAACCCCGGTGCTGATCACCTGGCATTCCGGACTCCCGAGGTTCTAGCAGGAAAGCGCCCGGGTCAGAGGCTGCGGACACTCTTTCAGAAGCTGCATTTGAGAGCAGTGTCACCGGCAGCCTGAGAGGGTCCGAGGGCCAGCCCCTCGGAGCACCCGCCCTGGCGGGAACCCGTACAGAAGCCCTCAGCCCCGGGACACAGGCCCTGTCCCCTGTGAGGGCAGCAGCTTCAGTGGCCCGTTGCCCGTAGTGCACAGGCAGGAGCTGGAATGTCCCCGGACACTCAGAGAGCTTAGCACTGAGCACTCTTCAGACCAGTAGGGCGCACACACGTGCGCTCTCGTGCATGTGCTTGATCTGAGACCAGCCTTCTGCCCCCGGGGCCTGATCACTGGGAAACAGATGCCCCCCCACCCCCACCCCAAGCTTCTGCCTGCCCGGGCCTGCCCCAGGGCTGCTGTCGTCGGTGAAAACCAAGGGCAGTGCCGAGACCTGCACCCGCTGTGGGAGCTGGGAGGGTTCCCTGGCAGCCCCGGTGTGGAAGGGGGCAGAGGTGGCGGCACCGCCCACATGGCCCCAGGCACCACCTGGTGGTGGCCGGCCCTGCGGCAGGTCAGGGAGAGTTCAGGCCCGTTGGTGCCGCAGGCAGAAGTCAGCCATTGTCCTTGGGGCACCAGTGTCTGAGAGGTGACTCCTGAGTTCCCAGGCAGCTGGGCTCAGCCCCCCTGGGCAGGTTTGGAATGCACAAACCCCCTGCTGGGGCACCAGGGCAGGGCCTCGAAGGCTGTGCCCAGCAGCCGGCCACCAGGTACTGCCCTGGACATGGCCCCCAGCTCTACAGCAACCGGAGCTTCATGTCTGGGGGGCCCTGGGCTGTCCGGTCATCTTAGACCTGAAGCCACTCAGGGGCAGCGCCCTGACTCTGGGTTGTCCCTGCCTCCCCGCTGGCCCTTCTCATCAGAGCCGAACAGTGTTTCCTGCTCGGGCCGGTGCGTGTGGAGCGGCCACGGTGCTGTGTCAGCTGACAGCGCCCCTCGTGCCGAGGGCTGGCCCCTGGGCCACACCGCCGGTGGTGGAGGGGCCGCGGCCTGCTCAGGAGGCTGTCTGCCCGGCTGTCCTGCTCTCCCCACAACCCCTCCCTGCCCTCGTGGCTTCTGGGCCCTTCGGTCTGCCGGGGTGGTCTTCCCAGTACCTGGCGGTTTGTCCACAAAGGATGTACTCATTCTGTGGCTAACAGTGCGAGTCTCTCTTCTCACCTCCTCCTGTGGTCCCCCAACCGCACCGCTGACTGGGGTAGACCAGCCCCTCTCCCAGGTTGGGGTCAGGCCCCAGTGGCTTGTGTGGTGGGCACCGCCTGGGAAGGAGCAGGCTGTAGTCCCGGCCAGCTGCGCCCTCCTGGGGCTGCACCATGAGGTCAGCAGCGTCCTGTCAGGAAGCCCCGGGATGTGCCGGAGCCCGTGGTCGGCCTGACCCCGCCCGTCCTGCTTTGTCCAACGCAGGGCAAGGAGCTGCTGGCTCAGAAGCTGCCGCTGTGGCAACAGGCCTGCGCCGACCCCAACAAGATCCCGGACCGTGCCGTGCAGCTGCTGCAGCAGCTGGCCAGCAGCAACGGCGCCATCCTCCCCGGCACCCTGTCCACCTCCAAGTCCAGCCTGGTCATCTCAGACCCCATTCCGGGGGCCAAGCCCCTGCCGGTGCCCCCCGAGCTGGCCCCGTTTGTGGGGGTGAGTGCCCAACCTCCAGAAAGCCTGGGGGTGTGGGAGGACGGGCCCCGCAGCCATCGGCATCCCCGCTGCGCCAGGGCTGTCCACACGGCCAGGCCCCGCAGCCCCCCTTGCCCCTCTCCCCACAGCGGCTGTCCGCCCAGGAGAACGCACCCATCGTGAATGGTGTCTCGGGCCCGGAAGGCGAGGACTACAGCCCCTGGGCCGACCGCAAGGTGGCCCAGCCCAAGTCCTCTTCGCAGCCGCAGACCAAGATGAGCGATTCCTACTCCAACACACTGCCTGTGCGCAAGAGTGTGGCCCCGAAGAGCAGCTACGCCACCAGTGAGGGCTCCGCGGGCCCCACAGCATGACAGCACCTGAGGGGAGGTTGGGGGGCCCTGAGGCTCTGCATGTGCACGTGTGTGCCGCACCCTGGGGACCCCGAGACCTCCATCCCGGACCCTAGGGCTTCTCAGGGCTCCCTGTTAAGTCTGGCAAATGGGGGGAGGGTGCCCAGAGCAGAGGGGTGAGGGCTGAGGCTGAGCCCCCGAGATGAGTGGCAGGTCCGAGCCGACATCCCCAGCACACAGGTCCTTCCAGAATCTGAGTGCACACAGCTCTGGGGTCCTGGCAAGTGTCCCCAGGATGGACGGTCCACTTGCAGCCCACCTGGGGCCGCAGAGCTGGTGGGAGGGGACCGTGCCGTGTTCCCCACTTAGGGCACATCCTCCCTCAACTCCCTGTCGCCTGCAGCCGAGAACAAGACGCTGCCCCGCTCCAGCTCCATGGCGGCCGGCCTGGAGCGCAACGGCCGTGTGCGGGTCAAGGCCGTCTTCTCCCATGCGGCTGGGGACAACAGCACCCTGCTGAGCTTCAAGGAGGGTGACCTCATCACCCTGCTGGTGCCCGAGGCACGGGACGGCTGGCACTACGGCGAGAGCGAGAAGACCAGGATGTGAGTGCGCGGGCAGCAGGCATGCGTGGGGCAGGGCGAGCGCTGTCCCTGACCCGGGACCCTTTTGAGGCTGGTGGTCGTGGTCGTAAGGTTTCCACTGCAGATGACCTGATGGTCACCACACCTGACACCCCCTCCCCGGCACAGGGCCCTTGCCAGCACCTCCGTGGTCCTAGAGCTCCCCTCGCCCCCCGTCTGGACTGGGGCCCATGTGCTGGCACCTTCCCTGCTGGCGGGTTTGTGGCATCTGCCTCCCACCAACTGCCCCCACATCTTAGGGTGGAGCTAGGGTCCTGGGAGTCAGGTTGAGGCCACAGGCTGGGCCTTCATCGCTTAACGTGACCCTGTGGAGTCCGAGACCAGCTGGTTCTTGCTCAGCCTGGGGCTGCGGGGTCAGGGGCTCCACCCTCCCACTGGCCCCCATGTCTGTTGGTGAGATGGGCGACTCCCTGGGGCACAGTCAGCCCTGACACAGCAGGGGAGGGGCTTCCCTGTAGCCGCTGGGCGGGGCTCTGGCAGGCACGCCCCCTCCTGGCCCTCTGGGCAGGGATCCGGCAGACACGCCCCCTCCCGGCCCTCTGGGCGGGGCTCCGGCAGGCACGCCCCTCCAGGCCCTCAGGGCGGGGCTCCGGCAGGCACGCCCCTCCAGGCCCTCAGGGCGGGGCTCCGGCAGGCACGCCCCTCCAGGCCCTCAGGGCGGGGCTCTGGCAGGCACGCCCCCTCCAGGCCCTCAGGGCGGGGCTCTGGCAGGCACGCCCCCTCCAGGCCCTCAGGGCGGGGCTCCGGCAGGCACTCCCCTCCTGGCCCTCTGGGCGGGGCTCCGGCAGGCACTCCCCTCCTGGCCCTCTGGGCGGGGCTCTGGCAGGCACGCCCCCCTCCTGGCCCTCTGGGCGGGGCTCTGGCAGGCACGCCCCCTCCAGGCCTCCTCTGGTGTTGGCCCTGTAACTTGGCCTGTGGCCCCCTGGGGCTGAGGCCCTGCCTGCTCTCACTGGTCTTCCTGTTCCAGGCGGGGCTGGTTTCCCTTCTCCTACACCCGAGTGCTGGACAGCGACGGCAGCGACCGGCTGCACATGAGGTGAGTGTGCTGGCCTGGGGGGCTCGCCTGGGGTTGTGGGGAGAGTGGGTGCTGTCAATGCCCTGTAGGAGCAGCCTCAGGCTCTCTGGGCACAGTGCCTGGCTGGCCCCTCGAGCTGCTGGGCTCCGGCTCTGGGCTCGGGACGTGGAGGTGCACTGTGAGGAGGGTAGCCGCTGTGTTCCCTGGGCAGCCTCCTTCACTGACCCGAGGGTGGGGCTCCTCTTGTCCCCAGACCCTCCCGCTCAGGAGGGTTCGAGAATTGCTTCTGGAGCTGTGGGCGGGCTGAGCAGCTGGGAGGGCAGGTCGCCGGGGGACCCAGCCCAGCACGCCCTCTGCGTGTCTCCCCGGCTCCCCGTTGTGCCAGCACTGAGGGGGGGGGCCCAGGGGCCAGATCAGCTGCCCCAGGCCACTGGAGGGCTGAGTGCGGCCCGGGGGTGGGCCGGCAGGACCCGGGCTGGCCCTGAGCACCTCGCGCCTGCAGCCTGCAGCCGGGCAAGAGCAGCAGCACGGGCGACCTGCTGGACAAGGACGGCCTGGCCCTCCCGCCCCCCGACTACGGCGCGTCCTCCCGGGGCTTCCCCGCCCAGACGGCCAGCGCCTTCAAGCAGAGGCCCTACAGCATGGCGGTGCCCGCCTTCCAGGTGAGCGCGCGGCCTGGGCCCCGGGGCCCGCGGGGTGGGTGAGCCGCAGCCCCCGCCAGCACCTTCCCTGGCACCTTCCCTGGGTAGGAGCCTGGGCTGGTGGAGGACCTGGTAGGACTCTCGCAGATGGGGCACCTGCCCCTCCCAGGCTGGGACGTGGCTGGACCTCTGGGGAGAGGCTGACCAGCCTGGGGGACACCTGGTGCCTCAGGGTCAGGCGGGCCTGCGGTCAGGGAGGTGCTCTGGCCCCGGGGCTCGGTTTCGGTGCTGAGGGGGGGACCTGTTGTCTGTGAGCCATGAGTGTGAGGCTGCACAGTCGGGTTGGCTGCTGGCCAGAGGGCGTAGGCAGCGCTGACCCCCCAGCCTGAGCTGTTCTGCGTTTCTTCCGCAGGGTCTGGATGACTACGGGGCGCGGGCCGTGAGCAGGTAAGGGCTTTCCACGCTGTCCTTGGGAACGGGGGTGGGGGGGTGGGGAGCAGCCCCCCTCGTGGGGCCTGGCTGGAGACCGCGCAGTCTCCTCCCCGGTCAGGGCAAGCAGGGCCGTGTGCCGTTTTCTGGCTCCCACCCGGAGCGCCCCCAGACCTCAGAAGAGCAGACCTCCAGGAAGGGGGCCCGTCCCGAAGCCAGAGCCCAGGACAGGGCCCAGGGGCAGTGCCGCACCCAGCGCTGCCTGTGCGGTCCATGGGGGTGGGCCTGGCCTTGCCCGGGTTAGAGCCAGGTCCCCCCGGCACTCGGGCTCCCAGCAGGCCCTGCAGGAGCCCCCTCCAGCCCTCCGTGGCTCCGCTTCCCTCCCTGGCCTGCCTCGTCCCCTCAGCATGGACGGCACTGCTGTCCCTGCGCCTCCTGGCTGGGCTCTGCCCCGCCCCAGCTCCCCACCCGGCCCCTCCCCCACGGCCAGGCGCCGCAGACCCTGAGCTGGGCGGCGCGGCCAGCAGCTTCCTCGCTTTGTTTCGCAGCGGCAGCGGCACGCTGGTGTCCACAGTGTGAGGACGCTGACCACGCGGCTGCTCAGGACAGCCGCCCGTCTGTCTGGTCTTCATCGGTTTCCTCCTCAGCGCTCGTTCCTGGGTCATTTCTTTCCCACCTGCCCCTCTTGCCTTTGGTTGGTGACCCCAGACTCTGAGATCCCCAGGGTCCATGGTGCTGCCCATCTCTGCTCCTGTGTTTACACGCCCTTCCGCGCCCCAGGGGCCCGCCCCTCGCTGCAGCCCCGACACACTGCCTTTCCAAAGGCTCGCCGCGAGCCAGCGCTGACGTTTGAAGAAAAAGAAAAAAATCTTTAAAAAAAAAAAAAAAAGCTGAAAACAGGAAAAGACTTTTTTTCCTGAAAACAAAAACAGAAAAAACAGATATGCATGGACTCCGGTGTACGTACTGTTATTCTGCATCTGACTTCCCCCGGCACACTGGCCTCTGCCAGGACGGGAGGGTCTGGGGCGGCTGCCCCCGCCGGCCCCTGAGGAAGCTGGCCACTCCTGCGGGGAGGCTGGCCTGGCCGGCTCTGGAGGGCTTCCGGCTCCATGGACGCTGAGGGACCAGAGACCAGAGCGTGGCGTTACTCTCAGGCGTGGCGACCTCGCGTGGCGCCCTGGCGGGAGGGGTCGGGGGCAGGCGCTGCCCGGCCGCACACGGACATTCCAAAGACTCCAGAGACCACCCCCCCCACGAAATCGGTTCTTTACCCGCCGTGTGAGGGAGTCTCGGCCGTCCGGCTGCACGGGGCAGGGCGCCCTGGAGGGCGGTTCTGCCCATAGGCCTGCACCCCGGGGAAGCAGGCAGCCCCTGCTCCCCTAAATGCTCCCGTCTTTTTGTGTGTCTTGGCGACTTCAGAAAGAGACACGCTGGACTCAGTGGCTACTGGTATTGCCTCTTCATACCCTGAACCCGGAGGCGCGCGAGGGGCAGCCCCGGGAAGCTGTGGGCGCGCCTTCGATGACGGGAGTCTGCAAAGGCCTCCCTGGGGCAGGACGTGGCTGCGAGCGTTCACGACGAGCCGCTCCAGACCTGTGTGTCTGCGGAGAACGAAGCCAGAGCACGGACCTGGGTGCGGGCCTGCTGTCGGTGTTCCGGTTCTGCAAACAGATCTCCAACCCAGGGATCCCGTGCTCGGTGGACGAATGTAGACAAAATCGCAGGACCTGTCCGAAGATGCAAAGTGCTGAGGATACTTTTCCCGTTTTTTAAAAATCTGAATTGTGCCCTGTACTGCAGTGGTTTGAATAAAAGTTTTATTTATTGCATCGAGTTGGGTGTGGCGCCTCCTTCCAGCCCAGGCGTGGGCCCCACACACTGTCCCGGGGCGGCCGCTGCCCCATGCGCGGGGCGTGGCCTGGCCCTGTGGCGTGCTGTGCTGCGGCCCCTGGGTCCCGTCCGCAGCCTGCGCCCCGCCTCGGCATCCCTCCTGCACTGCACCCACACCCCTCTGCTCCCTTGCAGCCCCGATGTGGAAGTGGCCAGGTTCTGAGCCGCCGTCCCAAGTCCGTAAGTGCCCGGTTTGCTCGTGCTGGTCAGTCTGCCTTCGCAGGGGCTCTGCACAGACCCTCTGGCCTCTGCCCGGTGGTGGGGGTGGGGCCCGGTGGTGGGCCAGCCTCTCTGCTCGGGGCTCGTGGATTTCCTGCCTGCGGCACCTCCCCCAATGCTAGGCGTGGGTCTGGCCTGTCTTCTGTCTGGGCTCCGCCTCTGCTGGGTGCTTTGGCCACAATCAGGGTGGGCCCAGTGATCGGACTGTGGGCTCCTTGGGCTGAGTGTCCCCTCAGACTGGCCCCTGTGGGCACAGGTCTGAGCCTGCCTGGCTGGCTCCCGGGTCGGTGAGTACTGCAGCCCTGAGGGGCTGGGAGACCAGGGTGGGACCTGGGGACGGCTCCGTGGCTCCGTGTGGCACAGATACGTGAAGGCAGGAGCGTGTTCGCCCTGTTGGGCACGGGATGCCCAGGTACTGCTGCCTGCTGCGCCCCTCCCGCTGCCCTTCAGCCTGGTGACAGTCCCTCCCCAATCCTCAGCAAACAGCCAGCAGGGTACGTGGGGGACCACCTGGGTCCCTGTAGCCCCTCAGGGCGGCCAGCGCTGCTCACTGAGCCCACCCCCGCCCGAGATCACTGAGGTGACGGTGCAGCTCCTGCGCGGTCCTGCATGAGGGGTGGTGTCTCAGCCCCGCCGGGCTCACGGCCGGCACCCTCCCTGCGGACAGTCGGGCCACCCAGCGGCGCTCGCTCCCCCCGTCCCTGCCTTCGTGTTGGGGAGCGTCAGCATGAGCTCTGGAAAGTTCTGGAAACACATGCTCCTGAAGTTGGGGACAGAGTGGAGATGCCTCTGACGGCGGCTCAGTGGTGGTCGAGCCTGGGCCTCCTCCGCCCCTGCCTCTGCCTTCTGGGAGGGGCCACCCGCCAGAGCTGCTGGGCCGAGCCGTCCTGGCCTCGGGGGCACGGAAAGGCTGGAGACCGGGACACGTCCCTTGGTGCGAGGCAGCCCCAGTGACGCAGGGAGCACGCGGTACAGCGCCACCAGCCACACACCACCTGCCCGATGACAGCTGGGTGGGAGCCTGGAGCCACAGCAGCGGGGCGAGAGCCCCGCCCAGTTCTGCGTGCGTTTGTGGCCCAGAGGGGCAGAGGAGACTCGGTCCAGGAGGGCCGAGGGCAGAGGAGACTCGGTCCAGAAGGGCAGAGGAGACTCGGTCCAGGAGGGCCGAGGGCCCGAGGGGCAGAGGAGACTCGGTCCAGGAGGGCCGAGGGCCCGAGGGGCAGAGGAGACTCGGTCCAGGAGGGCCGAGGGCCCGAGGGGCAGAGGAGACTCGGTCCAGGAGGGCCGAGGGCCCGAGGGGCAGAGGAGACTCGGTCCAGGAGGGCCGGGGGCAGAGGAGACTCGGTCCAGGAGGGCAGAGGAGACTCGGTCCAGGAGGGCCGAGGGCCCGAAGGGCAGAGGAGACTCGGTCCAGGAGGACTGAGGGCAGAGGAGACTCGGTCCAGGAGGGCCGAGGGCCCGAAGGGCAGAGGAGACTCGGTCCAGGAGGGCCGGGGGCAGAGGAGACTCGGTCCAGGAGGGCAGAGGAGACTCGGTCCAGGAGGGCCGAGGGCCCGAAGGGCAGAGGAGACTCGGTCCAGCAGGGCCTGAGGCTGTGGGAAGAGCACTCAGGTGTGAGGACAAGGACCTGGGGAGTGAAGCTGCTGCAGGAACCGCCCTGCGCGCTCTCCGCTCTGGACCTCTGGATGCACCGAGGGATGACGCCCTGCTGGGCCAGGACTCAGCTGCTCTCAGAATCACTCCAGTCACAGGGTGGACCCCAGAACAGTTCCAGGGGCTCCCTGACACCTGCAGCCCTCTGCTTCCTCAGGCTGGAATCAGCTGCCCGCTGACCCCATGCCGCACGGTGTCCCGAGGCCTGGCTGGGGCCTGGACCCCATGCCTGCCCGCTCCCCACGGGACCTCAGGCCTGCTCGGCACCCAGAGCGGAAATCCAGTCTCTGTGAAGGCCGCCGCGGGTCGTGCCCGCATGCCTCCTCCGGAGTGTGCCAGTGGCTCTTGGTGAGGGGACAGTTGTGCCCTTGGAGCCCTGCCAGGGGTCAGCCTGGGTAGCGCCAATGTGACGGGGACGGTGCCTCTGGCCGAGCTCTGTGCTGGCACCAAGCAAGCCGTCCCGTGTGCTGGCCGGCCATCTCGGCGGCCACGGTGCTGCTGGGGGCCCCTGCCCGGGAGGTGCCCAGTGTCCGCAGGGGAACTGCAGTGGACCTTGGGTCCCAATCTTGTCCTGTCCTGCCATCTCAGTGTTGACCCCAGTCCCTCCCCAGGGAGCCCACGATCAGGTTCCTTCAGAGATGACAGGACCTTCCAGAGGTGACAGGTTCTGGAGGGGCTGTGCCCTTCCCCGGGCGCTGGGAGGGGAGCGCGTCCCATCCACCCTGGTTTCTGGCCGGGGCTGAGAGGGGTTGTGGGAGGGAGCCGCTCCGGCCTGGAGTGTGTGCGACGGCTGCCGGTCCTCAGAACAGGCCGCGTGGACAGGCATGGAGGCCACAGCCACGCAGTTTGGGGGGGCAGGTATGGAAAGTTGGGTCAGAGGCCAGACACCGTCCAGGTGGGGCCTTTCTGGTGCTGCAGCCCGAGCGCTGCCCCTCAGCTGTGCTCACAGGGGCGCCGTCCCCCCGGGCCAGAGGGCTCGCTCCTGCCTCTGCTCAGTCCTCGGCTGCAGCTGGACACACCTGCCCTGTTTCCAGTCCCCAGGACCACTCACCCGGCTGAGGACAGCCAAGGGCATGGAGTCCTCCTCTAGAACCAGCCTCTGCTGGTGGCAGCCAGGGCATGGGCCAGCCTGTGCCCTATGTCCAGGGGCAGACGTCCCTGGTCACAACCGACCTGGCCTTGGGAACCCCCACGTGGCCCCTGCCTGGGGCCACCCCACCGAAGCTCGTCTGGACAGAGCAGAGCTGAAGAGAGGCCCGAGTGGGCAGAGCCCGAGGCCCGCGCGGGGCTGGAAGCGGCCTCTCATCTGGGCCGGACGCCCTGCGTCAGAAGAACCTAACCAACTGGCACCTTGCAGATGTCGAAGCCTCGTGGTCAGACTCCCTTCAGTCGTACCTCCTTTTAAGAAGCGCAAAGTGTCTCAGTTTTTCAGAAAACACCAAGTCCTCAGGAAGCACAGGGTGAGGCCCCCTCCCTGGTGCTGGCTCCCTGGGCCCGCCCGCAGCCCAGCCCACCCAGCTCCGGACCGGCCAGAGGCTCCTGCCCCAGGTAACGGCCGAGCCGAGTGCTCTGCGGAGTGTGGTCCTGTCTGTGCCCAGCCCCCGTGTGCCGCCTGCCATCAGTGCTGTCACCCTGCCTGCTGTCCTGAGCTGGGGCTCCGAGGACAGGCTGCCGAGGACCAGGCAGGGCGCTGGCCCCTCGCGCTCATCCTGTGCCATCTCCACCTCTTGTCTGGCCCGTCCGTCTGTCCGTCAGCTGTAGCCTCGGCATGCAGGGGAGGGTGCGGCCCCCGTGGTGCCAGGTGGTGGACACCTCAGGGAAGGTGGTCAGCCCTGCTGCGGGGGACCGTGGGCCTCGGCCCTGTCAGGTCTGTGGCTGCCGGGGGTGTGGGCCGTGTCGCTGTGGGGCAGGCCCCGGCCACCCGCTGGGCCCTGGGATGCGGGCCAGGCTGTGTGGGCTGCTGGGTGGTGTCTGTCGACAGGCCTGTCTTCACAGCAGCTGGGCCGTCTGGGGGCGCACCGCCCCCCCCGCAGGGTTGATGATTCCAGGTGGGGGGTGGGAAGCGGTGCATTGCGATCAGCGGGCCTTCTGAGGGTCGCAGCCCAGGGGCCTCCTTGGCTCCCCAGTGGTCTCCACGCCCTTCCCCGCACCCCGGCTCTGGGCTCAGAGGCTGGCCTCAGGGTCCAGAGGGTACCATCTGGGGCACAGCTGCTTCCAGCACCCCCACCCTAAAAGCCCTGTCCTCTCCTCCTCAGGAATCCCTTCGCCAGCGTCCAGCTGAAGCCAACAGTGACCAATGACAGGTCTGCTCCCCTTCTCAGCTGACGGCCACATCTGTACCCGCCGCCCCTCCCCTGCCAGCACCGCCCCCTCAGCTGGCCTGGGCTGGACCCTGGCTGCTCCCGCAGACAGGACCCCTGGGCTGTGACCCGGAGAGCTGAGGGGCTGCCGGAGCAGGACCTGCTGGCTGGGCTGTGGGGCACAGCGCCCACCGGTGAGGGGAGGACATCCCAGCAGGTGTCTGGTCAATAAACAGGCTGCCTACCTGAGCTGTGCCGTGGTCTGTCGCCGGGGGCGGGAGGCCTGGGGCACGGGGAGGGGAGGCCTGCCCTCTTCTGTGTTGGGTGACTCTGTCACGGGCACCTAACCTCCCGGCAGGCCCTCTGCCGGGGCTGTGCTGGGCCCACACCTGCTGGCAGTGCCGAGGGGCCTGTCCGCCCCACTCCGCCCTGCCCAAGCCTGGTTCCCACCTCGAGCTGCTGCTGGGGCCCCGCCTCTCTCCTCCCCATCCCTTGTGAGAGTGGCAGGTGGGGTGGCCTGGGTCCCTGAGCTGTGTGCCATTGGGGGAGGGCTCTGCCCCCTCCCTGCCCCAGCTCCTTCCATGTTGCAGCTGAAATACCAGATTTTAGAAACTTCACAGATGCTGGGGCTGAGTACTGTCATGGTGACACGTTGGAGACAGCAGCCCTCGTCCCAGAAGCTCCAAGCAGGGCTGCTCCTCCCAGACCCCAGGTGGACACCCAAGTCTCTCACCTCACAGAAGGTGGAGGTGGGCCAGGTGGGGGCAGGTGGAGACTGAGGCAGATGCTTGCAGTGGGGGTGCACAGAAGCCCCATCTCTGCAAAACACTCCTGCCTCCCAGCTCGCCACTGCCCCCTTGTGCTGAGGGACAGGCTCCCCCCAACACCCCCAAGGTGGTGGGGAAGGGCTTCCTGAGGAGGTCTTTGGGCACCTTCCTTAGGCAGGGCCCAGTGTGGGCAGGAAGAGAGAGCTGCAGGCCCCACCTGGGCACACTGGGGGCTCAGGTCACTGTCTCCCTTCACCAAGGTGTGCCAAGGGCCTCCCTCCTGCAGCCCCCGCCACGTGGTCAGGAGGGACTACTGTGCGCCCCAGAGAGCTGGCAGCTGGGCCCCCCTCCAGCACAGCCAGCCCCTCCTGCCCAAGGCTTTATCTGAAAACCCCAAAGAAAACACGCTTAGCATAAAGGCTTTGTTTCTTAGCTTGATTTCTCTTAAAAAACAAATAAGGAAGAAAATCATTGCACCAGCATCCTAAACCTCAAACTAATCAACAAAAAACACAAACTCAAACGCATCCCCACCCACACTCCCGAAGCAACAATAAACTTACATCTCTTTGGCAACAATAACTTAAAGTCCTCCCACCACTTCCGGGCGCTGGACAATAGCTGTTACAAAAATACTCCTTGTGCTGCCCCGCCCACCCCCCAGCCCCACCCCTTCTCCGTCCCCTCCCCTACAGGCAGGGCGCCGGACAGGGCTGACAGTGCTGCCCACAGCAGCCAGGGCGGGGCACCTCTGGAAAGGGGCTGAGGTGGCAGGGTGGGGTCTGGAAGCCCTCCCGTCTTTCAAGCGGTCCCCCTGGCTCCAGCAGGGGGCCCAGGCAGGAGTCAGCCCAGACCCTGTGGGGAGGGAGAGCTTATGTTTCTAGCTGAGTCAATGAAGGGGAAATGCAGCCACAGACTTTGAGGTAAGGGAGGCAGGGCCCAAGGGCCGGGGTCTTCTCCTTGCACTGAGCAAACCCAAAAGCAGGCGGAAGGGGCCGGGGGGACAGGGAGAGGCTGTCCCAGCGGGCCTGTGCCAGGGCTCAGCCGCGTGGGGGACAGCATCCTGCAGCGCGCCACAGGGGCGGCGAGGCGGGTGTGCGAGGGCCCCACCACGGGCACCCCCTAGACTCAGTCCGACGTGGAGGCCAGGGCAGACAGGGCAGCTGTAGGGTGGGACCAGCCGGGCCGGGCTGTCCCGGAGGAGTCCGGCCCTGGGGCAGCACCGGCTGGCGTGCCCGGCCGCTCCACTGTCCAGGGTGCCGGCTGCACGGGCACTGAGGTGCTGGAAGCTGCTGCCCACCACTGCCAGGACTCGTCACCACGCAGTCCCCTCTCACTCTGGGTCACCATCCTCGCCGCCTGGACCAGGCCCAGCGGCGGCTTCGAGGGGCTGGACCTCACGCTTCTTTACAGCTGACCCCCGCACTTCCTGCAGGGCCTGGCAGAGAGGAGGCACCACAGCTCAGGAGGATGCTGAGGACAACCAGAGCCCCGCCCCCAGGACGCCCACCTGGCCCTGATCCCTGGCCTAGGGCCACTGAGCAGCTGGGGCTGCTGCCCTCAGCCCCTTCACTGTCTGCCTGTCTCGGTGGGGGCTCCACCCAGTCCTCGTCCCACCGACGCCCAGACCCAGGCCAGGGCCTGCAAGCCCAACACAGCTCGACAGGCCCGCGAGGTGGGGAAACAGGCCTGGGCTGGCAAGCGTCCTGCACTGGCCTCCAGATGACCTGCTCGTTTGTTCAGAGGTCCATTCAGGACATACTGTGTCCAGGGACAGGCCATGGTCAGCGGGGGAAGGGCTGGGTCTGGCCCACACGACATGACCAGGAGGCGTTTGAGAGGAGGGGTTTTAGGTGAGCAAGCAGAACTGGCAAGAACTTGCCAGGGGGGGCAACCTGGCACGGATGGGCCCGCCTGGCCTGAGGCTGGCAGAGCAGCGGGCATGGAGGGGGGAGGACGGGGTCCCTGAGCCACTGCCACTGGGCCCGCAGGGAGGGCGGGGCGGTGGAGGGGACCGGCCGGCAGGCTGGGGGAGGTTCTCGGAGGAGGGGCTGCAAGGACAGGCCGAGAGCAGGGCGGGGGCGCTCAGGGTCCAGCTGTCCCTCTGAAAAAGCCAGAAGAGGGCCTGAGGCCAGGCAGCCCCCGTCTCGGCCCAGAAGACAGGGCGGCAAAGCAGACGCTGTGCGACGTTCCGAGTCCCCCGCCTGAGCCTCAGTTTCCCCGTCTGAAAACCCCTGAACAAAGTAAGCGCAAGGCCCGGGCCCCCAGTGGGCGCCCCTCCTGGCCGCCCCTTCATTGCCCGACCCGGCCCCTCCCGCCAGCCCCGCCGCAGCCTCACCTCCCACGGAGCCGGCGTCCGAGTCGGAGACGTGCGTGATGGAGAAGCGGGACGCGGGCGCGGGCGAGACGGTGAAGCGCGAGAAGGGGCCCGGCGCGGCCGGCTTGGGGGGCGCGGCGGGGGCGGCCAGGGCGGGCTCCCCGGCCGGCGTCAGCGGGAAGCCGTCGCCCCACTGGAACCCTCCGCCTGCGAACCGGCCCACGGTCACGCGCGTCCTTGGTCGGTCACAGGCCCGCCCCGCACGACGCCCCGCCCACCCGCGCGACGCCCCGCCCACCAGCAGGACCTAGGACCCCACAGGCCCCGCCCACCCCGCAGGCCCCGCCCCTGCTCACCCTCTTCGACCGTCGAGCCATCGGAGGCGCCTTCCGCCCGTCGCAGCCGGCAGGGGGCGCTGGGGGAGCTGGGGCTGCCCGGCAGGAACGCGGGGGGCGGCTCCTTGGCCCCCGGGAAGGGTTCCCCGAGCTCCCGGGTGGGGCTCTCCTGGAGGGTCAGGGCAGCACGTGACTCCAGCGGTCAGCACGGCCGCGCCCACCGACTTCGTCCCGCCGGGGACCCCCACCTGCGCGCAGAGCCCGGCGCCAGCCCACCTGGTCGAAGAGGTAGACGGTGACGTCGTCGAAGAAGGACACGGCTTTCTTCTTGCGCTCCAGGTCCTCGCGGAAGGCCTCGGACAGCAGGCTGGGCATCTTGAGCAGGCTCCGCAGGCTGCGCGCGCTCTGGCTCTCGGCCACCACCACGGGCACCGGCGGCGCCTCCTCCTCGCTCTCCTCGCTCGGCTCCTGGACGCTGTAGCAGCGGAGCTCCTCGTCCGACTCGTCGCTGTCTTCGCTGTCCTCCTCCTCCTCCTCTGGCCGGCCCTCCGGGGCTGCGGGGAGTCCGGGCAGAGACAGGCAGAGGGGGGCTCTGGGGGCGCCCTGGCCCCCTGTCCGTTCTTGCAGGGTCGACAGCAGCCCCCGGGCCTCCTGGAGCTCGGGGCGGTGGCTCTCTGAGTCCTGCGGCACTGGGGTCAGCAGGAAAATCTTGGCCCGCCCCGGGCTGGGCACTGGCGGCACCTGGGCTGGGCTTTGGGCCCCGGGAGGCTCCCACCTGGGGCCAGTGAGGCAGGCGCTTGGCCCAGGGGAAGAGTCCTCACCCGGTGGCGGTGGGGTCACCTCCCTGGGGCCAGGGCTCTGTGCCGCCCCAGGCACCCCAGACTCAGAAGTAGGCTGTGCAGGCCGCAGCCCCGGGCTCTGTGGGCTCCGTGGACTCTCCAGATCCGGCTCTGGCCCAGGGCCCAGGACACCCCCTCTCTTCTCGGGGCCCAAGGGGGGCTCGGGCTCGGTATCCAGGTCTGAGAAGTAGGCTGAGTCGCGGTAGGGGTTCTTCTCGCTGAGGCCGCTGAGGGAGGCCGGGAGCTGAGTCTCTGCCCCAGGGCGCTCACCCTCTGAGGCGAGCTCCCCAAAAGCCTCAGGCTCACATGGCTCGTGCGCCTCCTTGATCACAAACTCGGGGGATTCGTAGTTCTCTGTGTCATAGCCGCTGTCCAGGGCTCGGGGCTGCCCTCCAGAGGTGCCAACAGCTGATGGGCTGAAGACCTCACAGCCACCATCGCTGGCCGAGGACGGGATGTCCAGCGAGTCCAGGGAGTCGGGGGTTCCCACTTGCTTCTGCAGGGAGCGGAAGGCCGGCATCACGTCCAGTTTCTCCGCCTGCAGGCCTTCACTGGACAAGTCCGTGAAAACACCGGAAGTGGCCTCGGTGGTGTCCTCGTCCTCACTGCCTGGCACCTCCAGCTCCGGGGAGCTGCTGCCGCTGTCCGACATTTGGACCGGCTCGGTGGCAGCTGCCTGGCTGCTGGCAGGCGTGGGTGAGGCAGGCATGGGTGAGGCAGCAGGAGCACAGGCCTCCTCCGTGGGAAGCAGGGCTCCCTCTTGGGACGGGCTTGGGATGGACGGAAGGGGCAGATGGGGTCCAGCAGAGTCCTCAGCCTCCTCGGCAAACCTGGGCTCTGTCTGGGGGCTGTTGCCCCCATTCATGGCTGCCTCTGTCCAGGGGGATGTGACTAGCCTGGTGACAGGTGCCAAGCCCTCAGCAGGACACAGCTGGGGGAGGTCAAGGCAGCAGCCCAGCTCCTGGCCAAAGGAGGCCCCCTCTGGCCCATGGAGAGGTTCTCTGGGGTCTTCTGGGGCCAGGGGGTGGCCCAGCTCAGGGACAGTCCATAGGGTCTGCTTCCTGCCAGGGCAGCAGTCCGTGTGGCCGTCGTCCGTGTGGCCGCCTGTGTAGCCTGGGTCCCAGGATTCCGGTGCTCGGCTGCCACTGTTGTTGTTGGCTGACACATTGGAGCTCCAATGTCTGTGCTGGGGGGCCCTGCGCGCCTCGGCCTCCCCCAGCTCCTCCCTGCCCGGGGACAGTCGGGCCCCTGAAGTTCCAGAAGGGGACATTCCCAGCGGGTCCTCAAAGAAGGGCGGGCAGAAAGTGGCCACACCACAGTCAGCATCCTCCACTCCGGGCTCCAGCAGCATCAGGCCGCTGGGCGAGGGTGAGGGCGAGGGCGAGTGGGAAGGGCAGAGCAGGTCCTGGGGGCGGCTCCTGCACGGGTCGTGGTAGCAGTGGCCCCACGGGCCACCCGTGGACGGCGCCTGGCCCAGCAGCGGCTCCATAGCCAACGAGGCTGCGGCTCCAACGTCTGAGTCGTCGTGATCATCGCCCTTGGAGCCTGGGACCGCGGCACCAGGGCTCGGGGCGCAGCCAGCGCAGTCGAGGTCGTGGCCGGCGGCGGGCGTGGGCTCCTCCAGGCGGATGAAGTACTCGCTACCCACGGAGGGGCTGTGCGCGCTGAGCACCGGCACGACGCCCGGGGGCGCGCCGTCGGGGGCGCAGAGCTCCTGCAGACGCGCGGGGCAGCCCGGGCTCGGCACGCCCCCTGGCGGCGTGAAGGCGTCGGCGCCGTGGCCCACCTCCCACTTGTACTCGAAGTTGAGGCCGCGGCTCGTCTCGGTCACCGTCAGCACGTCGTCGCCGTCCGCGTGGAAGCCGTCGCCGGCAAACTGCTCCAGCAGCGGGAAGGACGAGGCGGCGGCAAGCTCGCCCGGGCCACCCAGTGCCAGGCCCGCTGCCCCCGGGCCGGGGCCCGCGCCACCCCCACCAGGCCTCAGGGAGCGCCAGCGCTGCTCGAACTCCTCCTCCGCCTCCGTGGCGCCCTGGACGCACAGGTAGGACAGCAGCAGGTGCACCTCCTCGGCGGTGGGCCGCTGCTCCGGCTGCAGCCAGCAGAACTGCATCACCTCGTACCTGCAGGGCGGAGGCCCCGGGCTCAGTCCTGCCCACCGGGCCTTCCCGTCCCCTGAGCCCTTCAGGAGTGAGCCCACCTGCCCTCAGAGTAAGGCTCCGGGGTCCCCTCCTCACGCCCCAAATCCCCGAGGGCAGTTAAAGGAATCTCCCGTTTAATTAAAAGAAAACTGCCCGGCAGTGTGGCGCAGTGGCTCGAGCCCCATCCCATGAACTGAGAGGCCTCACTGAGTCCAGGTGAAGGCAGGTGCCTGGGTGGCCGTTGTGCGCTCTATCCCCAGTAGGGGGCGCAGGAGGCAGCCACTCCTCTTTCTCTCTTGCTTCCTCTCTCTCTAAAGTCAGTAACCTTGGAGGTGGTGTGCAGTTTGGGAACCAACAATGGGCAGGGCACAGTCAGTGCACTTTCCCGCCATCATCACCATCCTGCCTGCAGGCCAGTCTGTGCTTTGGGTAAAGAGTCCATCGCCGCCTGGCTGGTGAGGCTCAGTGGCTGAGCGTCGACCCTGCACCAAGAGGTCGCTGGCTCGATTCCTGGTCAGGGCACATGCCCAGGCTGTGGGCCAGATCCCCAGTGGGGGGCACGCAGGAGGCGGCCAATCCATGTTCTCTCCCACCGATGTTTCTATCTCTCTCCCTCTCCATTCCTCTCTCTCTCAAATCAATAAAGAAAAAAATTTATTAAAAAATGAGTCCATTGCCCTTTGGGTACAGAGTGGGGCCCAGAGGTCACTGTTGGTCAGACGGGAGCCAGGATGAGCTGTAACCCAGATGGTAGGAGCTGCTGCTTCTCTGGGGACTCAGAGCACCCCCTTTGTCTCCGACTTCCTGCTAGGGATACCCCCGTCCCAGCCTGGTGTCGCTGGGCCCTCACCAGCGGTCGGCCAGGGTCAGCTGCAGCTGGGGCTTGGGCAGCTTGAGCTGCTGCTCCCGGACGGCGTAGGCCAGCACCTGCCGGTCGGAGTGGTGGGGGTAGGGCTGCGCACCCAGCTCGAAGAGCTCCCAGATGGTCACGCCCAGGGACCTGCGGGGGGGCAGCCATCAGAGGAGCCACCAAGGGGCAGTTTCTGTCATCACAGCAGCTCCTCGGGGATGCCCCTCCCAGAGGGCCTTCCTGCAGGAAACGGGCAGGACGTGCCACCAGCAGGCCCACGCCTGTGCCCGAGGTGCCTCAGCAAATAAGAGCCAGCCTGGCCCCAAAGGGACTCAAGTCCACTCGTGTGTCTGTGCACTCTTCCCCTTTCCACGGTGAAGACCAGACAGCACCAGCTCCCGGTCCTGCCCGTCACTAGCGGAGGCTGGAAGGACAGACTGTGCCAAGACTGAGCGAGGGGCGAGTCTAGGGCTACCTCAGGTCAGCGTGCACGGCCCAGGGACCATGCCTGCCTGGCAGAAGGCAGCCGGGTTCCTTCCAATGGGTGATGGCTTCACCCAGCTCCTTGGGGCCCTGGCTGTCCGGAGGCCGGACACGAGGGACAAAGGGAGTTGGCAGGGGAGAAGTCACAATGGCCTTGGCCAGAACCATCCAGAGGGCCCAGTCAGTGTGTCGTGGGCGGGCAGGCAGGAGGGGTCAGCTGGATGGAGAGGTGAGGACCAGAGAGGGAACGGAGCATCTACGGGGGGCCGCAGCCCAGTGGCTGGGGGGCCTGTGGCAAGCTCGGGAAGGGGGTTGGTCCACGGATCCAGGCTCCAAGGGTTAATCAGCGTAGAGGGGAGGCCAGACTGGGAGGAGGAGGGTTGCGGAGGCTGGTGAAGACCAGGGGCGGCCTCTCGCCTTCCGGAGGCTGCAGGGCTGGGTCTGAATGCCCACTCTGTGCCCAGCTTGGAGCCTCCAGGCTGCCGTCACGGGAGACCCCAGCCCCACCTGTCCTGCACGGGAACAGAGGCCACATGCCCCCCTGTTGTCTCTCAGTCCCGCCTGTTGTCACTCCCAGAGGGTTCTCCAACCTGACATCTGCAGGCCTGGGCTCAGTGGGCCCCGGAGGGACGCGACTTCCTCCACAGCCAGCCCAGGGCGCCTGTCACCTCACCTGGGGCCAGGTGAGGCCACCGCCCACAGGGCGATGAGGCCAGACACACGAACACGTCTTCACGCCCACGTCCCCTCAGCACGGAAGCGGTGGGTGGCCCCGGGCACGGGCAGGGCGCCGGGACCCGCACTCACCACACGTTGCCGGCCTTGGTCTGGCCCGCCACCAGCAAGTTGCAGTGCACCTCGTCCACCAGCTCGGGCGCGAGCCAGCGCAGCGGCACCCACAGCTGGTCCGCGGTCACGAAGTAGTCCTCCTGCGGGCACGCCAACAGTGTCAGCCCGCCCGGCGGGGCCCCGGCCCTGCCCCCCTGCCCCCACTCACCCTGTATTTGCCGTGAGACAGGCCGTAGTCCCCGACCTTCACCGTCAGGTCGGCCGTGAGCAGGCAGTTCCTCAGGGCCAGGTCGCTGGGGGCGGGAAGGCGGGGTCAGCTGGCTGTGCCAGGCCGGGGCTCCCAGGCCACCGAGGGGGCTGCACCGCTTGTCACCAAGGGTGCCCTGGCCCAGCTCCGTGTCGGGCGGGAAGAGACGTCCCAGAGGCTGCCCCCGCCCCTGCCCAGAGCCCACACCCCTTGCCCAGCACTGGGCACTGCGGAAGGTCCCCACGGACAGGGCCTCAAACATCACAACGCAGATGAAGAAAACATCTGGCGAGATCTAGAACATGCTCGGCCTCCGTGAAGGCATGGCCCCAGCCGACACCCCCACTGCTTCTCAGACCCCAGTCTGCCGACCAGCCTCGTGCCCGGGGCAGCCAGCTTAGGGGCTCTGTGGGTCTCTCTCCCACCCACCACACCATCACCCTCAGCTCCATCATCGGGGAAACTGAGGTCCCAAGTACCCCAGGGGGCCCTGCCCTGCCGACATGGGGCCCAGGGCCGGGCGTGGGCGTGGAGTGCCCGCCTGTGGCAGCACAGTGACCCCCGCCCCACCCCCGCCCAGCGGCTGGCCTCGGCCTCTGGCACCTCCCCTGCCTGCCCGGGGTGCTGGGCACGGCACTGGGTGTCGTGGGCGGCCACGGCCAGGCGGGGCGCGTGGCACGGGCGTGGGCACGGCGGCAGACGGGAGGCTGGCAGCTGCCCTCTTCAACAAAATCACTGATGCTGGAGTTGCGTGGTCATCACTCAGCACCAGGATGTTGTTGGGGAGGACGGCCCGTGGCGTCCAAGGCTGGCGGGGCCGTGTCCATCGCCACGTCGTCAGGCGTGTCCCCCACACGGGCCGCCCTGGCCCCTCCTTCCGACTCAGGGGCCAGGGTGGGGAGCAGGACAAAGCCACACACCCCCCGGGTGGCGCTGGCCGCTCCGGGACAGGGCACGGGGCTCGGGCTCCAGTGTCCCACCCCGCCAGGGCGTGTGGGCGCGGCACGGAACCATCCGGCAGAGCAGGTGTCTGCCCGCCTGCCTGGCGCTTTTTGCTCGGTCACTTTGCACGTGCTCCCGGGGCGGGGTGAACGCGGCCCACACACAGGCCGGCGGGGCTCCCGGGGACCCAGGGCTGCGGCCCCAGCACCGCCTCACCTGTGCACGTAGTCATGCCGATGCAGGTGCAGAACGCCGCAGGCCACCTCGCAGGCCATGCGCTGCAGGGTCAGGGGGTCAGGCGCCATGGACTCCGCCACCCGGCAGCTCCTCAGGTAGCCCTTGAGGTCCCCCTGCCAAGAGGGCCAGCGCTGTCACCTGCCGGTGGGGACCCGGTGCCTGGGCCAGCCAGGGCCCTGCTCACAGGCACCCAGCCAGCAGCCACTGCGCTGCCCGGGCCGGCCCTGTGGCACCTGCTGCAGGCAGGGGTCACTTCCTCCAAACAGCCCTGGGGGCAGGAAGGCCACATTCTGGTATAGACCACGGAGCCCCCTGGTGGGCAGCAGACAGGCCACAGGGCTGCCGCTGAGCCAGCATAGAACCAGGGCAGGCGTCCAGTGGGCCAGGCAACGCCCTGACCTGCCGACCCCACCCAGCTCCAGGGAGGCCCAGCTCTCCTGGGACGCCCCAAGGTCAGGGCTCCGGCCAGGTGTCCAGGAAGCAGTGACCTGTGGGCTTCTGCCCGGGCACCTCCCTGTGGCGGGCGGCTGAGCCCCATGCTGCAGCTGGGCAGGCCGAGGGCCCAGAGGCAGTTGGCAATTGCCTTCCACCCCAACCTCGCTTTAGAGACCCACGAGTGGGGAGAGGGGTCCCCAGCCCAGCGAAGCCCTCTCTGTGGGGACTCTGCCTGTGCAGAGGGCAGCAGGCGGGCGGGCGGGAGGACTCACCATGGGGCAGAACTCCATCACCAGCAGGTACGGGGTCACCTCGGCGCACTGGGCCAGGCACTGGAGCAGGTTGCTGTGCTGCAGAACCCTGCAGGAGCCAACAGGCTGCCCTCCTGCCTCCCACGCAGGGCAGGAGGGGGCGGGCAGACAGGGCGGGGGGCTGGGAGGGGGGACAGCACAGGGCTCGCCTTGGAGTACGGCCGGCCCGTGCAGCCCCCACCGCCTCCAGCGCACCTGTGGGGGGCCACCCACCTGTAGGGCTGCGCCTCCTCCAGGAACTGCATCTGCTCGTGCACACCCGCACTGGCCTTCAGCTCCTTCACCACCACCTGGGTGCTGCTGATGCCTGAGTTCACCTCCCCCAGGAACACCTGCGGGGGCAGCACCACCCTCCCTGGACGGGCTTTCTGTGCCTCGCTGTGCACCTTGAAAGATGGGTCTGAACCCCTCCCAGGGGCCCTCCTGTCTGTTCTCAGCGCTCTCCGGGGGTGGGGGCGCCGCAGTGAGTAAGAGGGACCTGACTGTCCACCCAGGCTCCCTGTCCCTGCCCCCAGGCACCGCCCAGGACCCCACAGAAGGGACTGCAGACCCCGAGCTCCCAGGAAGGGGCCCAGCCGGGTGGGGACCTAGAGAGAGGGGACCCCAGGGCTGCGACAGCTCCCAGGAAAAGCAATCTCCACCCGCCCCCTCCACCTCCAGGCCAGAGGGGCCCACGATACCAACCCCTCCCCACCCCGGGGTCAGCAGCTCACCTTCCCGAACCAGCCGTGGCCGATCTCCTCCAGGTACAGGAGGCTGTGCCGGCCCAGGTCTGCCGACTTGAGCAGCTGCACTGTGGAGGGGCAGGGCGGGCTCAGGGACCTCCACCACTGCCCCGTCCTCCCTCACCTGCCCTCAGGAGCTGCCCTCTCGGCCTGGTCTGAGGAGCCACACCTGGGGGCTGCCATCAGGAGCCGGACACAGGCCACCCAGGGGAGCCACGGACCTGCAGGATGGGTCTGGGCATCTCCCTGGATGGGCCTGGCAGGCTGGCCCCTCGCCTTGTGGACGAGTGGGCTGGGGGCAGCAGGGCCTGGAGCTGGACTGGAGCTCGGGCAGTGCGGGCCTGCAGTGTGGCTGGGCTGAGGCCGCGGGGAGGAGGGCACTGGGCCGATCCGTCCCCTCACCCCTGCCACAGGCTGGCATTCCAGCGCCAGGCCCACCAAAGGCTCCTTTGTTGAGGGCCGCTTGGCACAGCCCCGCACGGGACACACTGGCCCATTCTCCGGCGGGCCAGCTGGGTGAGGTCAGCAGGGGGAAGGGGAGGTGCCCGGGCTGCAGAGGCCACTCACGCTCTCCTGTGCCCAAGGGATTCCCCGAATTCTGCTCCCACGCCAACTGCCCAGAGGGCCGGGGAATGTTGACCTTGACGCTGAGCAGAACTCAGGGTGGGGGTCCTACTGGTTCTGAGTCCCAGGGCTCCTCCCCCTGAGCCCCAGCCTGCTGGTGCCCCGCTGGCCTGGGGTCTCCCGGAGCAGGCTCAGTGGTCCTGACCGTGGCACCGAGCAGTGATGGAGGGGGGAGCATGCAACTGTCCCCAATGGGAAGGTTGCCGTCTCAGCTGCAGGAGGCATGCAGGCCAGGGACGGGGTGCTGGGGTCCACCTGAGGGGCAGTGCCACAGCCGGGCCAGGGAGCCTGGAGCCTGGACCTGGCTATACTGTCCACCCTGCCGCCCGGGTTCTTAACCCTCGACCTCCAGGTGGACTACCCTCCAGCATCACCTGAAATCTCCCCCTCCTGGAACTGGGACCCGGAAAACAGGCCAGAGCTGAAAAATGGAGCTCGCTCCGCTGGGCTTCTATCCTCCCTCGCTCTTGGGGACACACACAGCCCCCCGGGACCGCAAGGAGCCGTGTGCCGTGTAGGCCCTGACGTCGACTGTTTTTCGTGTTTGTGGGTGTTTGGTGTTGCAACCGCCTGACTTCAGCTCCGACTGCCTGGGCGTCCACGCCGACAAAGGCCACCTCAAATGACCGCGTGGCCGGCCTCCCAGCGAGAGCCCCCCCCACGGAGGCCACTGTGTTCCGGACAGAATCCTGGTTGTTTGCAGGAGCTGACCACTTGGCCACTGGGTGTTTTTCTCTTCCCACTCTCGTGTTTTAAATTCCCATTCGAAAGAGAGCCCCTGCCCCCCACCCCAACGAAAGCAGCCCAGGTGGTGTGCATGCTCTCTGTGAGCGCGCCGTGGCCCGGCGGCTGTGACCTGCCGGTTCTGTGAGCGCACCGTGGCCTGGTGGCTGTGAGCTCGCCGTGGCCTGGTGGCTGTGAGCGCGCCGTGGCCTGGTGGCTGTGAGCGCGCCGTGGCCCGGTGGCTGTGACCTGCCAGTTCTGTGAGCTCGCCGTGGCCTGGTGGCTGTGAGCTCGCCGTGGCCTGGTGGCTGTGAGCGCGCCGTGGCCTGGTGGCTGTGAGCGCGCCGTGGCCCGGCGGCTGTGACCTGCCGGTTCTGTGAGCTTGCCGTAGCCTGGTGGCTGTGAGCGCGCCGTGGCCTGGTGGCTGTGAGCGCGCCGTGGCCCGGCGGCTGTGACCTGCTGGTTCTGTGAGTGATAACCTGAATATTTTCCACATTTCCTGAAGGGCGCCTCGCAATCTAAGTGAGGCCCACAGGAGCCAGCGTGGAAAGGGGACGGGTCTGGGCAGCTGGCAGGCCCTGGTGAGGCCCCAGCCCTCCCAGCCAGAGCATCACGGCCCTGGAGCTGGGGTTCTCAGAGCACCGGGTCTCAGAGACCCTGGGGAGTCCCAAGCACACTCCCTGGGAGGCGGCAGGCCACGCCTGGGGGCACTGTCCCATGGGTGGCCCTGGTCCCCACCAGCTCCCAGTGGCCCACGTGTCGGTACAGGCTCAGACCCCCACGTCATCCCGGAAGGCTGGGGTCTGCAGCACAGAAGCCCACCTTCAGGGTTTTATGGGGGGTACTCTGAACAGATGCCCTTGGCTCTGTCTACCATGCCTGAAGACGCTGGCAGGGAGGTTGGGCGTGGGGGTGTCACTATGGAGCAAGGGCCCTGGGCCTGGCAGCTACATCTACTCTGGAACCTAGACCGGTGCCTTGGGCCCCCAGCCCATGGGCAGGCTGGGCTCCAGGGCCAGCAGCATCTGCTCAGGGCACCACAGGGCCAGGAACAGAAGCGGGGGGGCAGACCTGCCCCCCACCCCGGGGTCTGAGTGAAAGGGCCATTCACGGGCCGCCCACAGAGGGAGCCCCAAAGAGCCCTCCGCCCTGAGTGGGTGGGCCCTGCCCACTGGGCACAATGGAGCCCATGTTCCTGCATGGCCAGCGGGTGCCGAGGGGAGTTCTGGGGTCAGGCACCCTGGGACAGCAAAGGAGCCCCTCCTCCCAGCACACGGGAGCCGTCCCAGGACCAGAGGGGCGACCCCCGCCCCCAGCCTGCTCACAGCACCTGGCCCCTCGCCTGGCCCCCGGGCTCACTCACCTGACCGGCCTGGCTGCTTGGCCATGGGCAGGGACACCTCGGTGAGCGGCAGGACGTACACGTCGGGGCCGTTCTGAGCAGCGGCTGCCGGGGAGCCCTGGGCCGAGAGGTCGGCTGCGTGCTCTTCCCCCTCGGCATTCTCAAACTCCTGGGCCGGGCGGGCGACATGGCGGCACGGTGAGCTGCGGCTCCGGGGGCAGGCAGGGGGCGCGCAGGACGGGCAGGCTCTGCAAAGCCTCTCTTCCCGGGCCGAGCTCCCACCTCCCCTGAGCTGGAGGGTGAAGCCCCCCCAGCTGGCACCCTCCCCCACCCCTCCCTGCAGACAGCAGAGCCACAGCCCTCCGTCTGCAGGGACACCGGCTGCCCAGCAGGGCCGGGGCTTGTTTTGTGTTGCTCAAGGGTAGGCCATGAGCCCCCCAGCAACCCTCTCCCCGCCCCCCCCGCCCCTCCGACGCTCAGGGAGGACACAGTTGCCTCAGGATCCGGCTGGGGAGTGGACAAGAGCCCCACCACCGCCCCCTGCACCAGCGGACAAGCAACTAAATGCCCACACCTCCCGGACAGGAGCCTTCCTGACTGCCCGGAGCAGGGGGCCCCATCTTCACGCCCAGGCCCAGCACCCCGCCACCTACCACGGCCAGTCTGCCCCTGGACCTTGACCTGGCAGGCGGCGGCTGGGCCGCACCTGCTGGCTGCTATTGGGAAACGCACTGCCGCACCTGTGTGTCACGGGGACCCTCCCCCACGCCCAGAGCCAAAGTCTGGAGTCGTCCTGGGCAGATACTACAAGACTCCTGCTGGCCTCTGACCCGACACACCACTGTCCGAGGGGAAACTGAGGCCCGAGGCCTCAGTGTGGACGAGAGCGGGGCTGGGGGTCAGGAGGCCTGGGCCCCTGGCGCCACCTGCGCTGGGACCTGGGGACCCTCCTTCCCAGGACCTTGACTTTCTCAGTGGCAAGAGAAAGGTCTCTGTGTGACCCCACAGTCTGTCCCCGAGAGGACGGAGCCCCTGAGGGTCGGGGAGGCAGGATTCCCGTTCCCCAGGGCCCGTGAGACCGCCCGGGGCCTGTACCCCAGCTGCACACGCCTCTGTAGAGGGCACCACTGCCCACCCACCCCATCGGGGTCAGGCCCTGGCCCAGCTTTACCTGATGGCGCCACCCGGAGGCCCACCCGAGGGCGCCGGCACAGCGGGCCAGCAGGTAGGGCAGTGTGAACATCTCCGCCCAGCCCCTTCCCCAGCACAGAGCCCGTGGCCGCTGTGCAGGCAGCGCAGCCCCCCCCCCCCAGAGCCGGGGCTGGAATGTTCTGGCACCAAGTCCCAGGAGGTGAGGAGGGCGCCGTAGGAGGGGCCACGCCGGCCTTGTTCAGAGCCGGGTTCTCACAGTAACGGAGGAGAGGCTGACTCACACAACGGCCCTCAAGTCCCACCCCGGGCCTCGCCCCACCCTGCCCCCCAAAACCTCGTAGCTCTGGCCCCAGGGTCTTCCAGGAAAACACCAGCGCTGCCCGGCAGGTCGGGGACGTGGCCCCTCTGCTTAGGCACCCAGCTGGCCGGGCTGCTCCCCGAGCCCTGGCGGGATGGCCGAACGCCCAGCGTGGGCTTTGTGAGAGGCAAGTCCTTGCCCGGCAGGGGCCTGCTCAGCGCCCCCTCGCCCACCGCCTCTCCGAGGGGATATGGGTGGGGGTGCTGCCCCTCTGGAAGGACTGCGGTGTGGTCACTTAGCGTGGACACCGACAGGGGTGCTGTGCCGGCCCCCGACGGCCCCTGCTGACCTCGCAGGCCCAGGAATCTGACCTCCAGCCAGGGCGGGGCTGGGCCGTAGGGGACCGACCACAGCCAGCAGGCTACTTGCTGGGTCAGCAGGAACGTGGCCCACACCGGGCCCCTGGTCGGGGTGCTCGGCCCCAGCTTCCTTCCACCTGGCCTCCCTGCTCAGAGCTGTTGCTGGACATGGAGCCGCGGTGGGGGCAGCCCTGGGGGCCTCGGCCACTGTTCTTAGGAGGGAGCTCGGCCCTGGAATACAGGACGGCGGAGGGTGGCCCTCGGCGGGGGGGAGGGGAGGCTCCATACACGGCCATGCTGGTCCCGCCACCCACGGTGGGCCTGACACCCGCCGCACACTCCCTTTCCCTCCGCGGGCCACTCGCGGGGAATTCCAGCCGGAGAGGTGGTTTGGGTGCTGGGACGCAGGTCTCCCTTCTCACCCCGCCCCTGGAAGTCAGGGCTCTGGGCAGGAGCACCCCCTCCCACACCGGCTCAGGAGCCCCCAGGGGCCCCCTGCAAACCCCTCCTCGCCATCCTGAGGGCCCAGCCTATGCACAGCCCATGGGGCCTGACCCTGGCTGGGCTATGACAGCATGAGGCCATGACCCCACGGAGGGGACCCAGAGGAGGGACTGTGGGATCCCAGGCCGGGGTCTCGTCCAGCCCCCAGGTGGCCCAGGAGATCCCGCCCACAGCCCCTGGGATCCCGGCCTCACCTTGAACCCGATGCCGCCCTTCCTGCAGCACAGGCAGGCGAGCATGAGGGCGATGACAGTGAAGAGGCCCGAGAAGGACACCACCACCACAGCCAGCGAGGACGACCAGGAGAGCTCGCTGAGCGGGGCACCGTCTGCCGAGGGGGACAGCGGTCAGCCTCCTGTGGCACCCACCCAGGTGCTCTCAGGCCAGCCGCACCCCGCCCCAGGCTCCCAGCCCCCACCCAGAGCCCCCCCCCCCGCCCAGAGCCCCGTGCCCAGAGCCCCGCGCTCCCCAGCCCCACACACAGAGCCCCCGCACCCAGAGCCCCCCCACCCAGAGCCCCGCGCCCCGCGCCCCGCACCCAGAGCCCCGCGCTCCCCAGCCCCCCACCCAGAGCCCCCCACCCAGAGCCCCCCCCACCCAGAGCCCCATACCCAGAGCCCCCCCGCTCCCAAGCCCCACACCCAGAGCCCCCGCACCCAGAGCAAGTGGACACACAGGGGCCTGGGCCTGCAGTCCCTCAGCCAGCCACTGGGCGCCGCTCTGGCCTCGCCCGGGGCCATGGGGTGAGCAGAGCGGCCAGAGCCTGCCCACCTCTCCACTGTGGGGGTTCACAGACACCCCTCCACAAAGGCAGGGTCGCGGGGCTGTGGGGACACTCCTCCCTGTCTCCCTGAGACTGGTCACCCCACTCACCCTCTGGAGCCTGTCCCGGGGGCTATGCCAAAGCTCTGGGAAAGTCACTGCAAAGACGGAGACCCCAAGGGGCGGGGGACTCGGCCCCACTAAGTGGGGGCATCGTGGAGCTGGCCGCTGTCCACTGGTCCCATGCCAGGCTCTGGGCAGCCGGGGGTCAGAGCCATGAGAGATAGGGCCTGGCGTCTGAGGCAAGGGGACCCTGCTGTCCCGAGAAGGTGGCACTGTGTTGGCCTGGCATTTCCAAGTCGCCCCTTGCTAGCTGACCGCCACTGGTTAGCTGACCACCACTGGCTTCCACAGCACCTGGTCCACGTGAACCCCCTCATGGCTAACCCTCACTAGGTAGGCAAACTGAGGTACCCAGGACAGCACGACAGGCCCCCAGAGTTAGGGCTCCAAGCTGCCCCCACTCCCCAGCTGAGCCAGGGCTTTGGGGAGGCTCGGCCCTCTGGTGGCCGCAGGATGGCCTGGTGGGGCCACTGAGGTGTCGCCTAGACAGAGGAGGGCCAGCCCCTCCTGTCCTGCCACATGGCACCCCCCTCCCCTTGGGCTTTCTCTGTCAGAGGAGGTTTCCTGCCGGCCCCCAGCTCTCTGCCCACGGAGCACCCCAAGCTCTCAGCTCCCATCAGCTGCCCCCTCCAGACCCCATCTCCTGCCGTCACAGCCCAGTCAGGTCCTCGCTGGCCACCGAGGCACTGTCCCACCTGTCCCATGGTGAGGGCGAAGGAGCCCCCGCCAGTGAGGGGCTCGCCCAAGGCAGCCCAGCTGACCCGACGGCTGCGCTGCGGCTCCTGGGCCCGCAGGCCGTGTGAGCCCGGGGGAGTGAGGCCGGGCTCCCCGCTCAGGCCTGAGTCTGTTCCCCACACCCACTCGCAGGGTAGAGAGGCTGTGCCCCTGTGCACGGAGGGCCAGGAGGGCAAGGTCACGGGCAGGGGAAACCAGCTCAGCCCACACCTGGGGGGAAGCTGTGCACAGGTGACCACACACCGCACTGTCCCCCGGTCCCGGGACCACGAGCAGATGCCCTTACCTGGCCACAGGCAAGGTTTCGGACGTGCGGGTGGCACACACCCTCCGTGGGAGCCCACCTCCGCACGCTCACCCAAATAGCACAGGCGCCCACCCACATCGCGCTCCGGCTCCTGCACCCCCAGGACGCCGCGGCCATGGCAACCGAGGGTGCCGACTCAGCAGCATTCCTGCCCCGCTTCTGCTCCCCCCCCCTCCTGCCACGGAGCTCACGGGCAGGCGCTCTCCTGACCCCTGTCTGAGGAAGACCGCAGACACCCAGCCCACGTCCCGCCACCCCGGGTCCCAGCCTCAGCTTCTGCCCTCGGCCGCCTGGCGGCTGGTCCTGGGTGCGGCCCTCTGTGGCTCTCCTGACCCCCAGCCGGCTCTGGTCTCAGAGCGGGACACTGAGTGGGCCTCCCTGTCACCCAGTATGTGCTGTGGGGGTGGGGAGATGACCAAAGGGGCTCGAAGAGGGGCTTGAACTTCCCCATCTGCACAGCACAACGGTCTCTGGAGCCCACCAGCCCCGGGAGCAGGAGAGACCGCAGCCGCCCCACAGGGTGCTCGGTGACCCGCCCCCGGGTCTCGCCCTCTGACCCCCTCTGAGGAGCTGGCGGATGGGGGACAGAGCCTTTGGGGGCTGGGGAAGAGGGCACTGCTGGGGCCGGGCTTCTTGGAGAAGGAAAAGGAGACTTGTTTCTGCCAGCAGGTGGGGTGAGGGTCAGGTGAGTGGCTGGGGCTGTCACCCCAACTTCCTCGCCCCCTCTGTGACCCTACACAGGTGAGAGAGGCTGAGAGCGGAGAGGAAGGTGCCCCTCCAGCTGCAACACGGCCCCGCCGGCGTCTGTCGGTCAGGCTGCGGGGGACTTGCAGCCAGAAGCAAAGGGCCACAGGAGAGGAGCTGCCGGCAGCGTGGCTCAGTGGCTGAGCCTTGTCCCTGCACCGAGAAGTCGGTTCGGTTCCCAGTCGGGGCACCTGCCCGGGTTGTGGGTCCGACCCCCGTGGGGGCATGCGGGAGGCAGCCGATTGATGTTCTCTCTCATCGATGTTTCTACCTCTCCCCTCCTCTCTCTCCTAAAAAAATAAATGAATGAAAACACGTAACAGGAAAGACGAAGGGGCCACATAACGATGTACATTCAACAAAAGCCCCCGGTGGGAAGCAAAGGACAAACCAGGAAGACCACTGGCAGAAGCTGCGGGCGTCGGGGCTGGGGCGTCGGGGCTGCAGGCGTCAGGGCTGCGGCGTCAGGGCTGCGGGCGTCGGGGCTGCGGGCGTCGGGGCTGCGGGCGTCAGGGCTGCGGGCGTCGGGGCTGCGGCGTCGGGGCTGGGGAGTTGGGGCTGGGGCGTCGGGGCTGCGGGCGTCGGGGCTGCGGCGTCGGGGCTGGGGCGTCGGGCTGGGGCGTCGGGGCTGCGGGCGTCGGGGCTGGGGCGTCGGGGCTGCGGCGTCGGGGCTGGGGCGTCGGGCTGGGGCGTCGGGGCTGCGGGCGTCGGGGCTGCGGCGTCGGGGCTGCGGCGTCGGGGCTGGGGCGTCGGGCTGGGGCGTCAGGGCTGCGGGCGTCGGGGCTGCGGGCTTCAGGGCTGCAGCGTCGGGGCTGCGGGCGTTGGGACTGGGGCGTCGGGGCTGGGGCGTCGGGACTGGGGCGTCAGGGCTGGGGCGTCAGGCTGCGGGCGTCAGGACTGGGGCGTCGGGGCTGCGGGCGTCGGGGCTGCGGGCGTCGGGGCTGGGGCGGGCACACGTCAGCAGTGAGAAAAAAACTGTAAGACCCAAAAACATGTGCCAGGAAACTACAGCGAGTCAGCCCAGCAAGGAGGACACAGTCTGTCTGACCCACAAGAAAACCTGCCGCCTCATCCGGTCAGGGAAACGCAGTTCTGAGCTGGGGGTTCTGGCTGGAGCGGGCGCCAGCCCCTCGGCCCAGGTCAGGGGCCTCGGGAGGCCACTGGGAGCTGCGCACCGGGCCTTGGACACCGGCCGGCTGGCTCTCTGGCCAAGGAGTGCCCGTCTGGGAATCCAACCTGAGAGAGGGCGGCGCACAGACCCAGGGCAGCGCACAGACCCGGGACGGAGTGAAGGGGGTGAGGTCCCCGACCCGCAGACAACGGGCCCTGCGGGCTCGCAGCGCGAGGCTTCCAAGACTGAAACAGCCCAAGGAGGAAGCACTGGAAGAGTTAAATAACAAGGTGGTCAATGTGCCCCAGGAGCCGAACCACGACGGCAGGACGTCCCTCCTGCACGGCTGGCCGGACGCACCGGGGCAGCCACTGTGGAAAAGCGTGGAGGTGCGTCAAAATATTAAAAACAAAGCTGCTGCCCTGGCCGGTGTGGCTCAGTGGTTAGAGCGTCGGCCATCAGACCCGAGAGACCCGGGTTCGGTTCCCGCTGAGGGCACGTACCTCCGTTGCAGTCTGTCCCCGGCCCTGGTTGGGTCGTGCGGGTGGCAGCCACTTGGTGTGTCTCTCGCACGTCAATATTTCTCTCTCTCTCTTCCTCCCACTCTACCTGAAGATAAATGCAAAAAAATAAAATAAATAAAAAAGATGAAATTGTAGCCCTGGCTGGTGTGGCTCAGTGGATAGAGCGTCGGCCCTCACACTAAGGGTCTCGGGTTCAATTCCCGGCTGAGGGCACGTACCTGGGTTGCAGGTTTGATCCCCGGCCCCAGTATCTTGGAAAAATATCCCAGGTGAGGATTAACAACAACAAAAGGAACAAAATTTTACCATTTGCGACGGTCACGGAGGGACCTAGAGGACATTAGGCTAATGAAATAAGGCAGAGAAAGACAAACACCGTAAAATTCCACTTATAGGTGGAATTAAAAAACAAAATCAACTAACAAATAAAACAGACTCATAGACACAGAGAACAGACTGTGGTTGGGGGTGCTGAGGGACCGACCGCACAGAAAAAGGGGAAGGGCACTCAGACGCCATTCGGGGGGGGGGGCAGTCCGTCCCTTCCAGCCTCAACACCCGTGCCTCGGTTTCCCCGCCTGCTGCCCGAAGAAGATGTGAGCAGTGTGTCCCGGTGCCGGGGGCACGTGGAGACAGGAGCCTGACCTGACTGCAGAGAAGCCCGGAACCAGCAGAGAGCCCGCAGGCAGGTCCCGGGGCTGGGGCGAGGGACTGCCGGGGCACAGCGCGTCTTTTGGGGGTGCTGAGCACGTTCTGGGGTAGAGGGGGGTGGCGGTGGCGCTGGCTGTGGCTGCTCGAAGCGTGACGGCGTGGCCACGGGAAGGTGCCCACGCCCACGCCACACAAACGTCACCTCAACCTCACAGATGTTCTGAGCGGTCAGACACCTGCCCAGGCCCTGGAAACTCACCGCAGGCTCCTTCCTGAAGCCGGAGGTCAGGTGAAGAGCAGCCTCTCCCCTCGGGTCAAGGGGGCAGTCCAGGGCCCCTCTGCGTGTGCACCCCACACGCAGCCTGTGCCCACAGCCTCAGGGCCTGCACCTGGCCAGGCAGCTACCCGTCTGCCCTGCCGCCGTGCAGGAGGGGCGTTCTCAGATCCCCCCAAGGCTGAACTGTTTCAAACGCCCCCACCTTGTCACACACCTGCTCCCGGGCTGGCCGCGGCTCTGAGGCCCCGAAGGCTGTCACCCTCCCTCCCGGCCCTGGACAGGCCCCTGGGAGGTGCTTACGCCCATGGCACCAGGCCACCCCGGGGAAGGACACAGAGCGTCCCGCCCAGCCCCCACCAGCCTGTGGGTCCAGTGAGAGCAGCCAGGACGTCGGAGGGCCCCACCCCAGCCTCAGTATTTCTGCCGGCCCACCTGCCCTGCCTCTGGTACCAGCACAGCCCGGGGGGCTCGTGCTCGGGGGTCACCCGCAGGCCTGGGGCGGGGCCTCAGCGGGCGTCTGCGGACAGCTGGCACTGCCCCCACGCCCGTGCCGAGGTGATGCAAACAGGATCTCCTGCAGGAAGGAGCTGTGCAACCCAGCGGGTGCTCGCGAGCTGAGCGCCAGGGCGTGTCGGGAGCCTGAGCAGCCCGTCCGTCCTCTGGCCCCCAGCTGAAGCAAGGGCAGGACTCCGGGGGGACCGGGTGGCAGGAGGGGTGCCCGCGCCCCATGAGCCTGCACAGGCAGACCCAGCGCTGGGCCCTGGAGGGCAGTTTCCCGGCACAGGCTGGCCTGCGCCCTGACGCGGAAGTTTCTTCCAAGAGGAACCGAATGCCCGAGCGGGAGCACAGCGCCCTCTGCCGGCGGCGACGGGGAAGCGGGCTCACGGCGCTGGGTGGCTGGCCGGGTGCCTCCCGGGCAGGCCCAGGCCCAGCCGGTCAGCCTCCTCACCTCGCCCCGCAGATGGCTGTGGTCAGGGGAGGCAGGGCAGGCGCGGAGCCCAAAGCCAGAGCCCGAGCTGCCTGTGAGCGGCCGAGGCTGGGCTGGGAGCGTGGCCAAGGGCACGTGCCCACATGCTTGTGCTCAGACGCCCCACCTCCCCCGGAGTCTCCCAGGACGAAGGCCACATCTGCAGGGTGCCCCCCACCCCAGGAGCTGGACTGCGTCAGCCTCCAGTTCCAGTGGACCCCACACCTCAGCTGTCCTCTGGCTCAGACCACAGCCAGGTGGGGAGACCAAGGTCCACCCTCCCTGCTGCAGAACCGGCTCTAGCAGAGGTGCAGCCAGACCCCAGCTCTGCTCCTGCCCAGGCTCCACCCCCCAGGTGAGAGGGGCTGGAGGACATCTGTGTGGGGAGACTGCGCCCCTGTGCCCGCTGCCCCATGGCCCCTGCCCCCGCTGCACCCACTGCCCCCCTGTGCCCCCGCTGCCCCCTGCCCCCCACCCCCTCTGTGCCCCCTGTACCCCCTGCCCCCGCTGTGCCCACTGCCCCCCCTGTGCCCCCGCTGCCCCCTGCCCCCACTGCCCCCCACTGCCCCACTGCAACCTCTGTGCCCCCTGCACCCCCCACCCCCACTGCCCCCCGTGCCCCCTGTGCCCACTGCCCCCCTGGCCCCCACTGCAAAACCTTCCAAACCTCTTTGCTCTCCTATCAGGGCACTATCTTGCCTATGGAGGATGGAGGGTATGAGGAGGGAGGAGGTGGGGGGCAGGTATGTGGACATCCTGGCCTCCTGGGCATCTGGACCCCAGGTGGGGCAAACAGCGGGCAGAGCAAGGCTGGCTGGGGGAGGGGCTTCAGCACAGATGCCCAGGCCGGGCTCGGCCTCCGCCAGGGGCAGCAGTGTGCCCGCAGCCTAGCGGGAGGACACCAGCCTGCCTGCTTGGAGTGAACCCCATGGAGGCCTGAGCGCCGTCCAGGGCCCTGGGGAGGACCCTTCATCTCCAGGGGCCACAAAGGTTCTCTCAGGGATGCCTGCCTCCTGCCAAATGGTCTCAGGCAGCTCCCAGGGCAAGCAAGACGGCCCCCACCTGTGGCGTGCAGGTAAAAAGGTTAACAGCGGGCTCTGTGAGCGAGATGGAGGAGACAGACAGACAGACAGACAGACGGAGGACGGGAGAGTCTGGGTGTGCGGCGCTGGCCGCCTCCTGCGGCGTAAGCTCCCCCACCGTGGGCCATCGAGAGCCACACCTGGGCACCCACACACCCTTCAGTGACACGTACTGGGCAGGCGCGAGCCCCGGGAAGCACAGACAGGAGCCAAGACGCTCCTGTGGGACCATGGGCTGGGTCCCAGTGTCTGAGTGACCCCACAAACGAGGATAGGCGAAGATTCCCAGTGGCCAGTGAGGGCAGGACAACAAGGACGTCTCTGCGCCCCGGAAAACGGCTCCAATGCGGAGGCACACGTGTCGCGCTGGGGAGGGCCACGTGGGACCGCACAGCCCACGCAAGCGGGCAGAGACCCGGGAGACTGCGGTGCCCAGGGCAGGCGAGTGGGGCAGGGCCGGGGCAGTGCAGGGGAGTGACCCCGAGTGCACGGGCACACAAACACCCTGAAATTCGTGGTGGAGGTGGCCGCACAACTCTGAACAGAGTGGGAGACCCTGAGTGACACGCAAAGCGGATGGGCTGCCCGGGTGTGAATGGGGTCCCAGCGGGGTTCGGGAGGGAGGCTCCCGGCACTGCCCAGAGCAGGCAGAAGGCGACCTCCGTCCCCAGCGCCGCGGAGGACACTCGGCATGGCGAGCGGCCCGCACGGCCACGGACCGCCTGGGCGTCGGCTGAGCGCAGGCAGCAGCCAGACACGCCTCTGTGGGCATCTCTGCACATGCCCTGTGCGCGTTCTGTGTGTTTCTGTGTGCGTTTCTCTGTGTGTTCTGCACATGTTCTGTGTGTTCTACACGTGTTCTGTGTGTTTATGTGTGCATTCTGCATGTGTTGCTGCACATGCTCTACATGTTTCTGTGTTCTGTGAGTGTTCTTTGCATGTTCTCTGTGTGTTCTGCATTTCTACAGGTTTCTGCATGTGTTCGCTGTGTTTCTGCATGTTCTGCGTGTGTTCTGCATGTTCTGCGTGTGTTCTGTGCATGCTCTGCATATGTGCTACATGCCACTGACAGCTGATTCTCTCCGCAGACGCCAGGAAACCCCGGGCCTCGCAGGGGTGAGTCTGAACTGCCGCCCGCCCCACAGGTGCTCACGGCCCCAGGCAGCCAAGGCAGGGGGACCAGCATTTACGAAGTCACCGCATCCCTGTACAAGCGGCCCCTGCCTGGTGTCCCGGCTGGGCCCTGAGGTTGGAGAGTGGCCCCTGCCTGGTGCCCCGGCTGGGCCCTGAGGCGGGACGGTGGCCCCAGCAGGACCAGCTGCAGAATCTGCGGGGGCCCTTGTTCAAAATCATTAAGAATTTTGAGGTGGTGGGAGCAGAGTGTGAACCCTGACAGGACCCTCCCGGGGGCTCCCTCTCCACTGTGAGACTCCCCAAGAGGCAGGCTGGTGACTTCGGCAGAGCCCAGGTCTGGGCCCCGGTTGCCCTGCTCCTGGCTGGGTGCACACAGATGAACAGGTCGTCGCCCAGCCAACACGGCCAGCTGCAGGGCTGCCAGGTGCCAGGTGGCAGGTGGGAGCCTCTCTGTCTCCCCTCAGGAGAAGGGCGCTCCGCACCCTCACCCGGGAGGAGCAAGGCCAGGCTGGCCGCACGCACAGGACACGCAGAACACGCACAGGACACGTGCAGAGATGCCCACAGAAGCATGTCTGGCTGCTGCCTGCGCTCAGCCGACGCCCAGGTGGTCCGTAGCCGTGCGGGCCACTCGCCATGCCGAGTGTCCTCCACGATGCTGGCCACGCCCACTGGGAGAGGTCACCCTGCGGCCTCACCTCGCCCACTCCCGGGCTGCCCAGAACTGGCCACCACACTGGCCCTGCCACACAGCACCGAGGTCACGGGGCTGTGACTGCCAACAAATGCCCCAGAGTCACCGGTGTCCTGGGGAGAGCCCTCTGGATGCTCTCCTGTGCGAACCCCATGGACCCCGGAGCTCACACGCCGCCTGGTCCCCCCAGCACCCTGCCCCGGAGTCCCAGCCACACTTGATTGAGTGCCCAGGGCCAGAGCCTCAGATTCTGCTCCTCCACTCTCAATGTAACCGTCACCATCACTGCCGCCGCTCTGGGGACAGCATAGGACCCTCTGATGGACGGAGTGCTGACTGTGGACAACAGGCCGGGCCGGTGACCCTGTGAGAACCCCTGCCCAGGGCCGGCCTCTGTCTACCCCTGGCTGTTGAGCGAGCACAGAAACAAACGCAGACACAAACACAAGCACCCCTTCCCTCTGCGTTGGGTGGACCCCAGCAGGTCCCCCACGACACCAGCAGACCTCCGAAGAGCCATTGCCTTCCACTTTGGGGACAGAGAAACCACGAAGCCACCGTGGCCTTGTCTCCATGCACCGTCCCCTCCCAAACAGCCATCTCTGTATGCTGAGCATCAAGTTCTCACCAGGCACTTACCACCCCACCCCGAGACCTGGGGGTGGGCATTGCTATCCCATTTTACAGATGAGAAAACTGAGGCTCAGGGAGGTCGGACTGGGCTGTGGGAATTCAGAGGGTGGAGGGCAGGGGACCCCACGTCTCCCCCTCCCCAAGGCCCACATGAGGCTGCCAGGAGCCCTGTGCCCCCCCCAGAGCAGCCCCTCCCGCAGCGGGACAAGCTCCCCCCTTCACTGACCTGCAGAGAGGAGATCATGAAACTGGCACATTATGACTACACTGGCACACGGATCCCCGGCGCCTGCCAGAGGCAGAACTGTGGTTTCTGAGGCGGGGGAGCCCCTGCCCAACATGCCCGGTGCAAGGAGGGGTAACAACGTCACGCGGGGCGGTCAGGGCCCCGCAGGCAGTGTGAGGCAGAGCATGGGGGAGGCCCCCCCAATTCCAGGTCAGTAGTGGCACCCTGCCCCCCTGCCCACAGTCCCAGCAGTAGCAGCCCGGAGGCGAGCCCTCCCAGGAGACACTGCCTGTCCCGAAAGGTGGCCTGGGCCTGGGCTGCTCAACAGGGCCACCTCCACCCCGGCCCTCAGGGCCTCTGCCTGAGCCGCGGCCGGTGGCCTGTGCTCCCGGAGCCCTGAGAGGCGCCTGGGAAGCCGTTTCTGAGAGGGACTCCCACACCCTGCTGCCAGCCCCCCTGCAGGAGCAAATGCCTCCAGGTGGGACCGTGGCCAGGGCCCCGCACATGGCACACGTCGGGCCCTGCTCCGGCGGGGCCGGGAGAGCCCACCAGCGCTTGCCTGCTCCGTCTGACTGACCACCTGTGCCCGAGCCCTAATGCCATGTGCGCGGGAGTTCGGGCCCCTGGGCCACAGTCAGGGCAGGAGTTTGTCTCCCGCTTGGGGAAGGGGCGGAGCTGGCAGGTGACAGGTGCTGGCCCTGGCCCCCTCTGCCAGCCCAGCTGCCCACTGCTGCCAGAGGCCAGGCAACCATGGGTAAACACACCGCCAAGGCCACCAGCCCAGCAGGGGAAGAGGCCTGGCCCCAGGCCCCCTGCAGTCCCTCCAGGTGGACACCACCACTCCAGCCTCCCACCCTCCTGGGGATGTGGGCCCCCACTGAGGCCCACCTCCTGCCCAGAGGGCTCTGTCCTGCAGGCTGGCCGCGGCCCCCACTCCGCACGCAGGCTGCCAGGTAGCAGGCACAGCTCCAGAGCCAGCTCCTCACCTGGAAAGGAGCCTCCCACGCTAGAGCTTAGACCAGTCAGGGGCCCCGGCAGCCTGGGCCCCAGGGGGACACTCCTAGGCCTCCCCAGAGGCCTCAGCCCTGGCCACCCTCTCCTCTGAACCCCTGGGGCAAACGCAGGCCCTTCTGCCCTGGTTACCTGTGCCAGAAACGTCCACAGAGACACAGGGGTGGGGGGCGCACCTCTGGGGCCCACCGGTTGCTGGAGGCCTCGCTGTGCTGGGTGTCAGCCCCAAGGCCTGTCACCCTACACGGATCCCAGGCCGCCAGGGGGTCCTGCCCGCGAGCTGTTCCTCTTTGCGGCTCCACTGGGGCGGGGAAAGGGTTAATTTCCATGCAAAATAGGAACCGGCGGCTCAGGAAGCCTCATGTCCGCAGTGGGGGACGCGGGCGGGCAGGAGGGGCAGGTGTGGGCAGCTCAGGGGCAGAAGGCTGCGAGGGGTGCAGCCAGCAGACTCACCGGGGTCGAAGTGCGAGCTGAAGGCGAAGCTGGGGTTGAAGAAGGACGACGACATGGCCGGGGCCAGCGGCGCGGACACCCCCGGCGGCGCAGCGCTCAGGACGCCCGCGGCCCCGGCCCGCAGCGCGCCATCGCCGGAGGCCGCCCGGTGGCCGCCGCAGGTGCGGAGCGCGCCCAGCGCCCAGCGCCGCGGCCACAGCGGAGGCTGCGGGGTGTGGGGCCGGCGGGAGCGGGCGCCTCCGTCCGGCCGCGCCGCCGCGGGCTCCGGCTGGTGCAGTCCGAAAACACTGGCGGGAGCGCGCGCGCTGGGGGTGGGGGGACTCCCTTTCTTGCTGGGGGGGCACAGAGACGCACGGAGGGGGAACCCGCAGGCCGGGGGGGCAGAGACGCGGGGAGGGGCCCCAGGAGGCCAAGGGGCACGGAGACTGGGGAAGGCGCTGCCGCGTGGGGGGCTGTCACGGAGATGTGCGGAGGGGGGCCTGCGGGCTGGGGGCACTGAGGCACGGGGGACACGGACACCAGGATGAGAGACCCGGAGGGGGGGGGCGGCGCGGCCTGGCTGCTCCGAGACTGGGGAGGGGGCCGGGGACCAGCCGCACGCGCGGGGGTGGGCACCGTGGCTCGCGGGAATAGAGAGCGCGCGCGGGGTGGCCGGGGACGCGCCGGGGCCCACGCGCACGGGTCAGGCCGGCGTGGGGCCTGCACACGCAGGTTCGGAGGCAGCCTGGGTCCGGCCCGGGCCCTTTGGGCGGTGCCCGCGCTGGCGGCCAGGGGGCTGCTTTTGCACACACGGCAGTGCCAGTACCTCGCTGCGACAGCCGTGGGACAGCCGTGGAGAAGGAGCCGCCCCACCCAGAGTGAACAGCCTGGTTCAGGGCAGGCGCAAGGGCGCCGAGCACGAGGGACCGTCCCCTCCCGCCTGCCCTGCCGAGGGACCGTCCTGCCCTGCCGGCCATCTTGCCCCGAGCGGTGGTGGCGAGAGCGCAGCGGGCAGGCCTGGCGCTGGGGGCTGGGGACCAGGGGCCAAGGCCCCTCCCCCACCGTGGGAGCTGGAGTTACAGTGTAGCCGAGATTTAAGTTTTCTGTTACTTGGGTCACTCACTCATTCATCCATCCATTCATTTCTGGCCAGAGGAGCAAAGCCCTTGGGCAGGGCCCCCTGGTAGGGTGGGGAGCAGGGGAAGGGGGCACCTGAGTGCAGTGGGGCCTACCGGGCTGTGGGGAAAACCAGGATCAATGTTACTGGGGGGATGGGGGGGATGGGCAGGGATGGTGAGGATGGGTCAGTCCTTGTGAGAGGGTACCCTTTTCATTCTAAGGTGGCCCTTTGTGGGGCTCTTTTTTTTCAGACATTCGGGGTCCCCTGTTGTGGGTGGCCTCACCGCACCCCAGACCTATGGAGGAGGACCTGGGATCCTTCTCACTGGTCCTGGGTGTGTGGCTGCTGGCCATATTGCTGAGGACGGAGGGCTTGTGGGGGGTGCTCAGATCCCAAGACCTCAGTGGGGTGGACAGCTGAGGGCTGTGATCCGAGTGTCCCCAGTGTGAGGGGACTGTGCCCCAGTAGGGGGTTTCCCCTTCCTGCCCAGGAGGCAAGCCCAAGCCCACATGGAGGACCCTGCCTCTGCCTGTCCAGGAGGGGGCCCCAGACACCCGGACCCCAGAGCAGCCAGGGACACTCCTTGTGGACAGGCAGGGGCCTAAGTCACCTCTGTCCAGAGCCTGTGAGTCACCATGGCCGGTCTCAGTGAACAGGGTCGGAAGACAGCTCTCTGTGACCTGGGTTTGCCTGCGCGGACACACAGACACACACACAGGAACACAGAAGGGCTGGCTCTCTGGGGTTTTAGGGCTACAAGTCCTCCTCCAGGGTCCAGGGTCCAGGGTCCAGGCCCGTAGGGGAAGACCCCCCAGGGCTCCTGGTCCAGCACATTCGCTCCATTTGACTAGTGACGCCCCTCCCCCCAGGCACGGGGTCCTCTGAGATGTCACTGGAACAGGAGCCCTGCTGCTCCCCTGGCAGAGTGCCTGCTGACCTGGAGGAGCTTGGAGTCCCCCTTCCTTTGACCAGCGCCCCATGTGTGGGGAGGGCAGGAAGGCCAGGGTTAGGGGGAGGGTCTGACTGCATAGGGCCTGCAGTCCTTCTGGGAGAGCACCCCCCCCCCGCCGCTGCAGGGGGTGGGGTGGGGGCCACGGGACTTGGGGCCAGGGCACCAAAAGCTCAGATGGATGGGCCCACGCAATAGGGTATTCCTAGCCCATAGGAGGACACGCTCAGTGAGATAAGCCAGACACGAGGACACGCACGTAGGGTTCCACCGACGTGAGGTCCCGGGACCACGTGAACCCCTACACAGACGCAGACTGGCAGTTGCCAGCGGCCCCAGGGAGGGGTGCAGGGCCTCTGTCGGGGGTGAGGAAAGTGGTCTGGAACCAGACAGAAGCTATGGTTGTAAACCGTGTGAATAAACTCGAGAAAACACCGACCTGTACACTCTAAAATGGTGAACTTTACGGTGTGTGAATTATATCCCAATAAAGCTGTCAAAAACCAACTTGGGAATCAAGGGGACTAATATTTTAATGTGGCATCTTCAAAAGTCAAAATGAACGAGGAAAATCCAGTGTGAGCAAAACCTCCCTGTTTGGAGCCATGACCCGAGTGGGGACAGCTGAGCCATCAGGAGCCGGGGTCCGGGTCGCTTGGGACACTCAGCTGTCGCCAGGCCCTTCAGATGTCACGTGGCTTCTCTGTGTCTCTCCTTGTCTTTGAAGGAGCCAGTCGTCTGATTTAGGGCCACCCTAGTCCAGTACGACCTCATCTGGACTTGGTCACATCTGCAGAGACCCCATTTCCAAATAAAATCCCATCACAGGCACCGGTGGGGGGTTAAGACATAGACATATGTTATCTTTTGGGGTCACTATTCACCCCCCGACAGTGGTGAAGGGCACAGGCAGGGCCGTGGGGACAGGTCAGCATCTGAGTCACCCCACATTGGCATTCCTGCACACAAGGCAGCCCACACACCCACAGATGGGCACCACAGTGGGCATCACAGGGCCCAAGGGCACTCCTGCCTGCCAGGACTCACCCCCAGCTGGCACCCACATCCCCAGAATGGCACACCCCTTTCCTGCTGCCCCTGGGGCTGCAGCCCTGGCCTGAGAGTAGGGAGGGGGACAGGTACCCCCTGCAGTCACATTGCGCCCCCTTGTGTGTGTTGGGGGAGGGGTGCCATTGCAAAGGGGAAGGGCTAGTCCCTACCCGACCTTGCCTGAGATGGCCCCCAACACTGAAGAACCCCTCCTGGGAGAGCTCGGCTCCGCAGCTGTGCTCCTCAGGGTGGGGGTGAGAGGGACTTCCCACCTGTGCCAGAGACCCCAGAAGGTGGGGCAGAGCCTCCCCAGGAAAGGGGAGGTGTCTAAAGTTCCAGCCAACCTGGCTGGGGGCCACCCTAGCCCCCGGGGACACCCCAAGATCTGGGAGTGGATGTGGCTTGAAAGAGCTTGGTCCTTCGGTGAAATGGCTCCGGGAAGAGGGGCACACACCCCTGCATTTGTGCAGCCGGCCCAGGGCAGGCGGCCTCTGCAGGGGGCCGGGGCAGCCGGCCCTCCCTCGGGCGGCCCAGGGATGCAGGGACGGTGGCAAACCTGAGCCTCCTGGCGGGGGCACTGCCTGGGCGCAGCACTCTGGGGTGGTCCCCGCGGCCCCTGCAGGCCCGCCAGCTGAGGCCAGGGCTGGGGAACTGCTGCCCGACTGAGGACAGAAATGAAACCCAGTGGCAGCCCAGGGGACTGGCCGTCTGTCATCTCGGGGGCAGGTGTTGGTGACCGGAGCCTGCCTCCCTCCCCGGCAGGGCCAGGCGCAGGGGCGAAGCTGGTCTCTCTGCAGCCCCTTGGGCCCTGCTTGCTGCTGTTTGGTTCTTGACTCATCAAAGTGCGGTTTCCCGCTCAGCGTGGCTATTGCTTCACTGGGCGAAATCCACGTCACATCACGAGTCGCTTTCCCGTGAAGGAGCCGGTGGCATCCCACATTCACAGCGCAGTGCCGCCGCCGCCCCGGTCCAGACCGGCCCGTCGCCCCAGTCAAGCCCGCACCCATGAACCCTAACTCCCGGTGGCCCGTCCTCCAGCCTCGGCAGGCACCCATCGGTCCTGCCTGGGCTCCCTCTCCAGACACGGACGCAGCAGAGGAGGGGCACACGGTGCGTGGCCTTGGTGACAGGCTTCCTCCACCCGGCACGAAGTTGTCACGTTCGGCGGTAGCATGGCAGGTGTCTCCCTTTCACGCCGAGAACATTCCACTGTGAGCCTCACACGGCTGGGTGTCTACGCTGCGGGGACAAGACCACAGCATGAGGACGTGCAGGGAGGCGGCCCCCCTACCCGGGCTCGGGCACCTGGCTCGGTTGGGGAGCTTTAGGCTAACCCTTTGGGAGAAGGTGCAGGCGCATGGACCCTTCCAATGCTCATCTGGGTCACCCCATCCTTGGGAACGGGAGACACGCTCCCTTGGACAGAGACACACATCGAAATGCGGTCAGTAAGGAAGTCGCTGGGATGTCCCCCGCGCCGGCGTGAGGCAGAGCTGTTGTAGGATGAACGTCCACAGGGCACGAGCGACAGCGCTGGCGGCGGGGCGGCAGACAGCTCAGAGGGGAGCCGGCGATCCGGGGGGGGGGGGTTCTGCAGCATCAGCAGTGTGTCCCCCTCAGATCCCCGTTTTCACCCCTGGGACGGCCTCGTGAGGGCCCTGCCCAGGGAGAGAGGCCAGCCCTGCTTGGGGTCACACGCCCTGCTCCCTGTGCCCAAGTGAGCCACCCTGGCCTGGCTCCCTGGCCCCCACAGTGACCCCAAGACACAGGCCAGCTGCCCAGCCTGGCTACCCAGCCTTGCCGAGGAGGCCTCACTGTCCAGGGTCTGCCTGGACCTGCTGGCCAGCCCGCAGCCCCTCAGTGACCCCGGCAGGTCCAGCCAGCCAGCTCCAGGCCCACGCCACCCCCACCCCTGTGAGGCCAGCAGGCAGGGCGGGGCCTCAGTGACCGGCAGGAACGCTGCCCTCCCCACCCCGCCCAGGTCCAGTCCTGCCGATGCCAGTCTGCCCAGCCCGGTGGGGAAGTGCCAAGTGCCAGCGAGCCCCTGGGGGCAGGCAGTGCCAGGCCGGAGTGCCGGGAGGGGTGGGGGACAGCTGCAGCCAAGCTGTAAACAGGCCAGGCGGCAGCAGGTATAAAGGCTGGAGCCCCGCAGCCTCTCTGCACCCAGCCTGACCCACTTCCTGGAGCCCTCGAGGGAAGCCGGCGGAGGTGAGCCCTGCCAGGGGGGTGGCACGGGCCCCGAGCCGCCCAGCAGGATCTTGGGGCCTTGTCTTCAACCACAGAACAAGGGGAGGCCCTGGGTCTGCGGGGACCCCAGGGAGGGCCAGGAAAGGAGTAGGGAGGGGAGGGCAGCCGCGAGGGAGCCCCGTCTGCAGGCTGCTGTGTGGGCCGGGTCTGCGGGGAGGGTGGGCACAGCCTGTGCGATAGACGGGGAGGCTGAGACCCGGCAGTGGCCTCAGGACCCCAGGGGCTGAGTGAGGGACAAGGAGGTCTGGCAGGACCGAGGGTCCAAGGCCAGAGGACCCCCCAACACTGGCGAGCACACTGAGCTGGCTCCGGGGCCTGTGCCAGTCCCATCCTGACGGGGACCCTGTGCCCTGTCACCCCAGTCACCTCCTCTGGCCCGAGGCCTTTTCCCATGTGGTCACCTGGACACGCTGGGGCCTCACTGGCCGACGTTGGGTGCACAGTCCTCAGGAGAGCCACGCGGGCTGTCCAGAATGGTCTCAGGGAGGCCCTGCCAGCCTTGGGGGGCATCCAGGACACAGCAGTGCCGGACACCGGAGGGTCCGAGGGTCTCAGCCAGGTCTGAACGCTCCGGCCAGCTGTGGAGGCAGTGGGGTGGCTTTTCCAGGGGGAGGGCGAGGGGGCCAGGCCCCTGCAGGACCACAGACCTTCGCCGCCATCTCCCTCCCCTCCCGGCTCCTCGTGTGACCGGTAAGGGGCAGGACCAGGCTGCCAGGCTGAATGCGACCACTGTGGGGGGAGTAGAAGCTCCCCCAGCCACAGCCCAGCCCCACTCATCCCCGCAGGCCACGGGGCCCCCCACCCCCAGTGGCGGAGCATGTTCCAGAAGGCTCCACCACCCCGTGAACTTTCCAGAGGGCCAAGGAGCTTCTGAAACAGCTGCTTTGCCATGAGCCCCAGAACCCAACCCACCCTGGGGACAGCAACCCGAGAACTCAGCAGGTCATAAGGCTGTGCTGCGAGGGGCACAGGACAGCCCGGTCCCCGACTGCTGGGCCCGCGCCCAAGCCCAGACCCTTGCGCCTGGCAGGAACCTGCCAGCCCGGGGTGCTTCTCACGGCGGCGACAGTGGGGGCAGGCACCCCTCGGGGGCCACGGCAGCTGCACCTCTGCTGGCCCTCCTGAGGGCCTGGAAAGGTGGCAGTGGTCACTCAGCTCCAGACTGGCCTGTGCCCAGCACACCCACCACAGGGGTCAGCGTCCAGCCAGGACAACCAAGGCCGCTGGTCTGGGGTCCAGGAGAGTAAGGCCAGGCCCCTGGGCCTTGAGTTTTGGCCGGAGGAAGGGCTGCTTCGGGTAACCAGGAGGGCTTCCCAGAGGAGGCTGTTTTGAGATGGGCCTGGAAGGACAGGGATTTCCCCTGACGCACGGAGGACGGTTGCACCGCCTCCTCTTCTGAGCACAGAAGAAACTAGTCTGCACTACTCACCACCTTGGACCTTCAGTCTCTTCTTCTGTGAAGTGGGGCAACACCGCAAGGAGGCCAGCCAGCTGGAGGTGGGGGCTCTGCAAGGCCAGGGGCCTGAGGGCAGCTGGGGTCTGGTCCGGGGAGCTGCACTGGGCAGGGTCCCAGCCGTCACTCACTGGCCGGCTCCTGTCCCCCGCAGGGCCAGCATGGACGAGGATTTCTCCTCCCAGATGAAGAAGATGGCCTTGGCCATGGGCACGTCCCTGTCAGACAAGGACATAGACCTGCTGCCCACAGACATGAGGCACCACGGTACAGCCTGCCCCCCACGGCACCCCACAGACGCAGGGACCTCTCCGTGCTCCCCGCCCCCAGGCTGGTGGGCCAGGACACGTGGGGGGAGGGGGACCTAGCAGCCCCCAGGCAGGGTCTCCCTCTGGCCCACTGACCCGCCTCTGGTCGCCCCAGGCTCCTTCAACTACCTCAAGTTCTTTGAGTACATGCGGAAGTTCCAGGCCTCGGGGCAGCTGGAGGTCGCCATCCGCAAGGCCTTCCAGGCCCTGGACAAGGACAAGAGCGGCTTCATCGAGTGGAATGAGATCAAGTAACAGCCGCGGCCGAGGGCGGGGAGAGGGTACCGTGTGGGGTACTGAGCCCTGGGCCCCCGCCTGGTCCACGCCCCACACCCACCCCAGCAGACATGGCACCCCCACCTGACCTTGTGGGAGACAGGGCCAGGCCATCCAGGCCCACGGGGATAGCACCAGACCCAGGCCCTGAGACTTGTCTCCAGCGGTGCCTCAGTTTCCCCACCTGTAAAGTGGAGAGTGAGTACTTTGTAAACCATCGGGCACCGGCCAGACACCCCCTGCTCTGACCCGAGCCCACCTGGCCCAGGTACGTCCTGTCCACCATCCCCAGCAGTGGGCCCGCCGCCCCGTTGACGGACGAGGAGGCCGAGGCCATGATCCAGGCAGCCGACACCGACGGGGACGGGAGGATCGACTTCGAAGGTGGGCAGCACAGACGGGGTCGCTTGGGTCCTTCCTGCCCCGCCCCACCTGGCAGTTCGCCGGTGCCCCTCTCAGTGCAGAGCCGAGTGGCTCCCCGCTGAACGTCCCCCAAAGCTCACAGCCATCTGTGACGGGCACCACCATCCCCAACTCAGATGGGGAAACTGAGGATCAGAGATGCTGAGTGTGGCAGGGCCAGGAGGGCCAGTGCAGCTTCCCAGCCAGTGGCCTGAGCTGGCTTCGGGCAAGGTCGCCCGGGCAGCCTCAGACTGAGGGCAGTGGTCGGTTAGTGGGGGGCATCGAGGTGAGGAGTGGGGCAGGGGCCAGGGCCTGAGGACGGCAGAGGTGGACACAGAAGGAAGGAGGCGAGGAGGGTGAGGGCTGAGCCCCAGGAGAGGGGTGTGGGGTGGGCGGGGGGTGGGGCTGCAGGCCTCCCCGAGGCTCGCCCTGGCTGCTGTGGGGTCTGCGTCATCCTGCCCCCACCCTCCCCTCCTGCTAGCCTCGGGCCTGGAGGGCAGCCAGGAAGGGCTCAGAGCCCTGGACAGATGGCTCTCCAGACACCCCTGCCGGCTGTGGGCCGTCTCCCCCCAGGCCTCCACATCAGGAAACTGACTTGTGGGGTGGCCCCAAGGCTTAACAGGCCGAGAGGTTTGCTTAGGACTTAGCCCTCAGCCTCTCTGTGCCTCAGTTTCCCCACTGAAGGCAGATGGAGACTCTGGAGGGAATTTGGAGGGGCCCTGCTGAGCCCCAGTCCATCGTGAGCCCCAGGTGGGCGGGTGTGGGTGCTCGGGCAGCGCATTCTGGTGGCCTCCTGCTCCCCTGGCAGGGCTCAGAAGGGCCCCAGGACTGTGGGGGCCCGGTCATAAAGGAAGCACAGCTCCCCATTGGGTCTGCAGGGCTCTGGAGGCACGAGGCAGGGGGTATTTACTAGAAATCTGTCTCCTGCTCTAGAATTTTCTGAACTGGTCAAAAAGGAGAAAGTTCCGAAGAAGAAATAGCACTTGGCCCAGCCCAGGCCTCTGAAGGGCAGTGGGAACCCCTGCGCCCTGATGAGAGGCCGGGGGGTGGACACGGCCGCCAGGAAAACGCAATAAAACCAGCATGCAATAGACTCGGCCTGTGTGTGTGGGGTGCTGCGTCAGCTGGGGGCAGGGTCGCGGGTCTCTGGGGATAGCTGGGGATGGGGCCGGTGGGCACGTCCAGCCCCTGTCTCTTGTCCTTCCCTTGTCCCCACCTCACTGCAGGCTCCCCGGCCCCTCCCACACCCGCATTCCGGGCAGTGCTCTCCGGGGCGCAGACCCCCAGGACCCCTTCCCCAGCCCCCGCTGGGCTCTGCTTAGGATTCAAGCCAGGCTGGTTCCTTGGCCACCCCGGTCCACAGCAGCCGTGTGAGCAGGGCGTAGGGACACCTGCTGCCCGAGTGTGGCCGAGGGGACCCTGGCCTGGGCCTGCCCAGGGGCCGGTTCTCCAGCTGCGTCTCCTCATCTCCTCCTTCCCTCAATGGCCCCCTTCTCCCAAGTTCTTCCTAAGGGAGAACCCACCTGGCCTGCCCAGGCCTCTGCCCAGCCCCACACGCCCACTGGTAGCTCCTGCTTGTGGTTTAAGTACAAGTGGACGAATGCTGGCAGCTCTTTGGGCTCCTACACCCATTCTGACTCCCCGACACCCCGTTTCACGTGAAGGAGGCCCAGCCTCCCCTCCGTCCGCCCTCTGCCAGGGAAGGAGGGAAGTGTTCCTTGCAGAGGAGGCTGGGCCTGGACACCACCCAAGGGGATGGGAAGAGCCCACCTCTGCCCCATGTCCTGTAGCAGGCGGGGTTGAGGGACCTTTGCTGGGACTCACACCAGCAAGAGCTCAGATCCCCCAGGGCCGTCAGAAGGTGAGGGAGGGTTGCACCGCCGGGGCAGCCCTGCAGAGCCCACAAGCAGAGGTCCCTACACCCCGTGAGCAGGAGACCTTCCTGGCCAGCTCAGGTCTTCCAAGTGGCCTGTCCCCACACCCTCAGCCAGGGCAGCAGCAACCAGGCTGCCCAGCAGAATGAGGGCAGCCAGCTCCCTGCTCTCCTGCTCAGATTCCACCCTCCTCACGGGTGGGGGCATCTGGCACGGGCTGGGGAGGGGCTGGGAGCTCCTTGGGGGGGAGGGGGCTGGGAGCTCAGCCAGGGCCAGGCTGGAAGAGGGGATTCCAGTCGGGGTCGCAGGGCAGGCAGGAAACATGGGGGTCAGGCCGAGACAGAGCCGAGCAGGGACGCCACCACCAGGCCCCACTGCAAACAGGCCCCAGGTGGCCGGCGCCCCCTGCAGGACCCAGGAGAGACAGGCAGGGAACACAGCTTTGAGAAACACTCTTTACTGTTAAGGCGCAGCCACGGTGCTCCGCCCGCAGATGAGAGCTCGCAGAGGAGGAGGGCGGGGTCCACCTCCCACCGGACCGCCTGATGCTGTCCTCCACCTGTGTCTCCATGTTTCCTGTGCCGGTGTCACTTGGCACTCGGGAGTGGCTGCCTGCGCTGCTCCAGCAGCTCCTCCAGGTGGTCAGCGCGCTTCACCGCGGCCTGCAACACGCGTGCACTGCGGTCAGGCCAGGCCACCCCCCAGGACCCGGCCCCCACAGCACCCACCTCATGCTGTTTCCGGAGGCTGCTCACGGCCTCCTCCTTCTTCGCGAGGGCCATCTTCACCCTGTGGGACGCACAGTGGGTTCTGGGGAGCCTGCTGCTCCGAGTGTAGCGGGGTGGCTGGTGGGGCGGAGACAGCAGGAGGGGCAGCTGCTGCCTGTGGGCACTGGGCTCTCAGCAGGGTTGGTAACAGGAACCGTGATCCCTGCAGAACCGGCCTTCGTGCAAATCAGAGCCCTGAGCAGGGACCGCAACACGTGCCTCGGGAAGGGCGAGAAGCCTGCACCCCTCGTTGCTCTCAGAATGCCCCGGTGGGCAGACAGGCAGGCAGGTGATCCGGGGAGGACTGTGGGGTCCCGTGGGTGCGGGGCCCGGTGGTGGCGTCCCTGCTCAGCTGTCTCAGCCTGACCCCCATGTTCCCTGCCTGCCCTAAGACCCCGACGGAAATCCTCTGTTCCAGCCTGGCCCGGGGACCCCTATCCTTTCTGCACGCGTGGGCTTCACTCAGGCTGGGGGCCGGGAGCTGCCCCTCTGGAGACCACACGGGGCGCCTGCCTGGCTTGGCCCCTGGATGCCCGGTGCGCCACAGCTGGCTTCTTCCTGGGCCCTGGGACCAAGTGCCAGAGGAGGAGCCCGATGTGGGGCCTCGAGCACAGAGCCCAGAGTCCAGCAGCCCTGGGAGCGCGGAGGGCCTCCTCCCACCTGAGCTGCGGCCCCGCTCCGCCCCTCCCGGCCACGCCCACCTAGCATGGCCGTCCTCCCGCTCCACCCCTCCCGGCCACGCCCACCTAGCATGCACATCCTCCAGCTCCGCCTGCTTCCCCCGCCTGAGCTGCGGCCCCGCCCCGCCCCTCCAGGCCATGCCCACCTAGCATGCACGTCCTCCCGCCCCGCCCCTCCAGGCCACGCCCACCTAGCATGGCCGTCCTCCCGCTCCGCCCCTCCAGGCCACGCCCACCTAGCATGCACATCCTCCAGCTCCGCCTGCTTCCCCCGCCTGAGCTGCGGCCCCGCCCCGCCCCTCCAGGCCACGCCCACCTAGCATGCACATCCTCCCGCCCCGCCCCTCCAGGCCACGCCCACCTAGCATGCACGTCCTCCCGCCCCGCCCCTCCAGGCCACGCCCACCTAGCATGCACGTCCTCCCGCCCCGCCCCTCCAGGCCACGCCCACCTAGCATGGCCGTCCTCCAGCTCCGCCTGCTTCCCCCGCCTGAGCTGCGGCCCCGCCCCGCCCCGTCCCCAGCTCCTTTCAGGCCACGCCCACCTCGCATGCACGTCCTCTAGCTCCGCCTGCTTCTCCCGCCTGAGCTGCTCCAGCTCCAGCCTCCGGCAGGCCCGCAGCTCGGCCAGCTCGGCCCTGGCCTGCCGGTTCTCCTCCGCGGAGGCCACCAGCTGGTCAGCAAACTCCTGGCGGAGCACCTGGGCCAGGCCGCTCCTCTCGCCCACCAGCTGCTCGTTCACCTGGGTGGTGCCGAGGGTGTGAGTCCGCTGGAGGGAGGCTGGGCACCCCTGGGCCCCCGCCCGCCCGCCTGCTCACCGCCTTCACGTCGGCCAGGGCCTTGTCCTTCTGCCGCACCAGGCCCTGCAGACGGGCGCACTCCGCCTCGGCCTCCGCCAGCCGCCCCTTCAGCTCCGCGCACTGGTCCTGCAGCTTCCGCTCACACCGCTCCCGCTCCGACAGCTCCGCCTCGTACTTGTCTCGGAGGCGCTGGACGCTGGCGGGGCGGGGTGCAGGGTCAGTCGGGATGGCCCCACCGCCCGCATGGTGGGCAAGTGGCCGGTCAGCGCCCCGTGGGACCAGCCTCACCGGCCCTCGGCAGTCCTCTCGCTCTCCTCCCTGGCCAGGGTCATGTCGGCCTCCAGCCGGCGGATGACCAGCTCGATGTCCTGGTCTCGGCCTCTCCGGATCTCCTCCTTCAGCTCCCGCTCCCGGTTCAGCAGCCAGGCTTCCTGGAGAGGAGGTGCCCGGGGCTCCCCATAAGGTGGATGGATTCGAGGGGGCAGAGGGGCCTCAGCCTGCCCCAGGCCCCAGCTGTGCTCAGGGAGGGGCCGTGTCCTGTCACTGGGACCCATGTGGGACGGCAGGGGACCGGGCAGGAGCTGTGAGCACAGCTGGGGCTGCTGTCAGAGTGGCCGGACACACAGACTGGCCTCCTCCAGGTGCTGGGGGTGGCCAGGTGCCCACGACTGGGTGAGAGCATCAGAAGGGCGGCTTCAGGCAAAGGCAGGCACTGGGCATCTGCAAACCCTCAGCAAGTAGGACCTGGCTAGCCCACAGACTCAGTGGCCCTCCATGCACCGTCGTGGGAGTGGGAGGGGGTGGCCACCGAGTGGGTCACCAGGCCAGTGGGTCAGCTGCCTGCCCTGTCGCTGGCTGAGTGTGGCCAGTTAATTCTGGGAGCAGCGTCTGCCAAGGAGGGTGAGGTGGGTCCCTCCACAGCCACCTGGGACCTGCCGCAGCCCACTGCTGCCCCAGAGCCCCGAGGGGAAGGGCTGGGGCAGCACCTGTATGGGCACCTGGTGTAGCTCAGAATGAACCACCAGCCGCAGCAGCCAGGCTGAGAACCCAGAACCATACCCAGGGGAGCCCCAGAAGCAGAGCTCACACTGATGCCTAGGTGCTGGGTGGGACGGAAGGGGAAAGGGGGAACAGCCAGTCCCCCCCACCCCCGCCGCAGCACCCACCTCCTTCTTTGCGCAGTTGGCCTCCCACATCTGCCTCTCCACCTCCAGCTGGTCCTTCAGCGACTGCAGCTCCATCTGGGGGCGGGGACACCCTGAGCGCTGCCCACGCCCTGGGCCCCGGGCCCCATTCCATAACCCAGGCTCACCAGCTGCAGGCAGCTGCCCCCGAGGCTGACCTGAGGTGCCCCTGCAAGCCCCCTCATCCCGAGCAGACCTCATGGGGCAGGAGGGGACAGGGGTGCAGACCTGGTGCCTGTGCTCCAACGCCTCTCTCCCCTTCTCAAACTCGGCCCTCAGGGCCCGGCCTCGGGCTGAACTGCTCTCCTCCAGCTGCTGCCTCAGCTCCTCCAGCTCGGCCCGCTGCCTGCAGGCCCAGCAGAGGTCAGTGCACAGGGTGGCGGGTGAGTGGCGGCAGGTGGCGGGCAGTCCCTCCCGCGGCACCTGGCGGCCTGCTGGCCCAGCCGCTCCTTCTCCTCGGCCACCTCTCTGTAGAGCCGCCGCCGCAGCTGCTGCAGGTCCTGCTGCTCCTGCTCCAGCTGCTGCTCAAAGCTGCGGGGAAGGGCCTGCTGAGGGCAGGGCGGGTGGGGGCCGTGCAACGCAGCACCCCCTGGCGCGCCCGTCCCCGCTGCCCGCAGCCCGCAGCGCGGTCCCTCCACACCACCTGGCACAGCAGCAGCCCCCACGCATGCGCAGGGCCTGGCAGCCTGGGGGCCTCATCCTCGCTGTCCTGGCATATCCTCAGTGTGGGCCAGCTCATCCCCCCTGCCCTGCAGGCCTCGCGAAGAAGGGTCTGTCTCACCCTAGAGCCCAACCTCGCTCTGGGGTCCAGGCACATCCCAGCTCTGCTCTGACCGTGGCCCGCGTCCCCAGAGAGGCTGCAGGATGGGGCACCCACCGCTGCTGGGTGCGCTCGCGCTCCTGCTGGGCCAGCGCCTCTTTCTCCCGCTCCAGCTGCTCCCGCAGCACCTCCACCTGGCGCCCGTGGCGCTGGGCTGCCCGCTCCTCCGCCTGCAGCAGCTCGGCCGCGTGCAGGGTCCGCAGCTTCCTCAGCTCCTGCTTGTGCTTGGCGATCAGCTTCTGGATCTCGGGCTCCAGGCCTGGTGGGGACACGATGCTCAGGGACCCGACCTCTGCCCTCCCCACCACCCACTGCGACACAGGGCTGCGGTCCAGCCAGGGCAGCGCCCCAGGGGCTCCAGCTCATCCCTCCCCTGCTGCAGTGCTGTGACCCCCATGTCACGCTGGCCAGGGGGTGTCCCCTGGCAGTACCCAGGCTCCTGGGAGGAGGGAGTCCCGGGGGAGAGGGTGTACTGCACGGCAAGGCCAGGACCCGCCAGCCCCTGGGCCCGCTCTCTAAGTGTGGAGGAGGCGCATGGCAGGTGGCAGGACACCTGGGACTCCGCCCTGAGCTCCCACCGGCTCCTCCCCTGGAAGCTGCCGCAGACAGGCCCCGGAGGGCTCCAGGCAAGGCTCTGGGACCGGGCCCTTCCCTCTGCCCCTCTACCTGCCTCGTCGGTCCTGGAGCCAGGGGCTGCCTCCCTTTCTCCACCACTGTGTGGCGGAAACCCGTCCTCACTTGAAGGCCCCACAGGCCGAGGCTGGTGGACATGGAGCAGCCCCGGCAGCAGCCCCGGCAGCAGCCCACCTCGGACGGTGATCTCCTTGATCTTCCGGGTCTTCTCGTTCATCCACTTCTCCCTGCGGACTTTCTCCGTGGCGCTCATGAGCTCCTTGAGTTTCTTAATCTCCTACCGGTGAAGAAACAGGCAGTCGGCAGAGGAGCTGCGCAGAGCAGGAGACGGTGACACCCCCAGACCAGGCAGAGGGCTCTGGGGCAGGCGGCACGCTGCGCCCTCCTGTGGCTGAGGAAGAGCCTCTGGGACGCGGGGCGGCGGGGGGCTCACCAGCTCCTGCTGCTCCTGCAGCTGGGCCTCCCTCTCCTTGTGCCTCTGGTCCCCCTGCAGCAACTCGGCCACCGCGGCCTGGCACTTCTCCCCCAGCGTCGTCTTTTCCTTAATCAGCTGCGCAGGGCGGGAGGTGAGCTGCTGGGCCGAGACAAGGCTCCGCACCGTGCGACCCTCACGCCCCACGTGATCTCCCTTCCCTTGCTGGGGCGTGCAGAGCCCAGGCCACCACCCCAAGCTCCCCTCCCCCTGGGGCAGGCAGGCTGTGCGCCCATGGACAAGGAGCTACAGTGGCCGCTGGCCCTCCACACCCACCCCCGGGGCCTCCGGCTGCTGCCCTTGAGGCCCGGATGGGGGTGGCAGGGGACGGTGGCCATGTCAGGTGTTTCCCAGGAAGGGGGTCATTCTGCCACCTCGCTGCCTGGATGGTGAGAAGGACCTGCCCCTGGCCTGCCAAGGGGTCTCCACAAAGCCCCAGGACACCACACAGCCTCACCCTTGGCTCGGACACACCTACGACCGCCCAGCGAAGTATCCCTAGTGACCACGGGGGACCCCTTGGTTCCTCTGTGCTCCTCCCACCCTCAGACCTAGCATCTCGTCCAGAACAGGGTGGCGGAGGCGCGGCTGAGCGGGGCGGGCTAGGAGCTCAGCCCTCACTGGGACTCGGGCTGAGCGGGACGGGCTAGGAGCTCCCAGCCCTCACTGGGACTGGGCTGAGCGGGGCGGGCTAGGAGCTCAGCCCTCACTGGGACTCGGGCTGAGCGGGGCGGGCTAGGAGCTCTCAGCCCTCACTGGGACTGGGCTGAGCGGGGCGGGCTAGGAGCTCAGCCCTCACTGGGACTCGGGCTGAGCGGGGCGGGCTAGGAGCTCTCAGCCCTCACTGGGACGGGCTGAGCGGGGTGGGCTAGGAGCTCTCAGCCGTCACTGGGACGGGCTGAGCGGGGTGGGCTAGGAGCTCCCAGCCCTCACTGGGACGGGCTGAGCGGGGTGGGCTAGGAGCTCTCAGCCCTCACTGGGAAGGGCTGAGCGGGGCAGGCTAGGAGCTCCCAGCCCTCACTGGGACGGGCTGAGCGGGGTGGGCTAGGAGCTCTCAGCCCTCACTGGGAAGGGCTGAGCGGGGCAGGCTAGGAGCTCCCAGCCCTCACTGGGACGGGCTGAGCGGGGCGGGCTAGGAGCTCCCAGCCCTCACTGGGACTCGGGCTGCCACCAGCCCCACAGGCAGGAATAGCCACCCGGGTCACACTGGCCGCAGAACGCGCAGGACTGGCTCAGGGACACCTTCCACCCACAGGTCCTCTGGGCGACCCCGCCTGGGTGTGCCCTGCCCCAGGGAAGCCCGGCTGTGGGGGGAACCCAGTGGGGCTGGGGAGCCTTGGAGCACCCATGGAGCAGTGTGCCCCTCACCCCCAGGGGAAGCCACTGCTCATTTCTAGAGAAGGGAGAGAAACACCCAGCAGAGGCCTGTGGGTCTAGGAGTCTCCCGAGGCCGAGCTGGTCTGGAGTCCCGCCCCTCCCCCCTCCCCTCCCCGACTGCAGGGATCGGGACACCCCACCCGGCGCCCTGCCTCCCGGGGCGTCACCTGGTCAATGAAGGACAGCTGCCGCTGGATGGCGGCCTCGTAGTACTCCCTCTGCTGCCGCAGCTGCCGGCCCAGCTCCTTCTCTGTCTCCTTGACCCGCCGGACGGTGAGGTCCCGCTGCTGCGCCTGGGGGTGCGGGGCGGGGGCCAGAGGACAAGGACCCCTCAGGGACGGCGCTGGTGGACCACACTCCAGAGGATGGCCTGGGACAAGGTGGTGACACCCCCCCCCCCCGCAGAAATCCCCAGGTGCCTGGCAGAGCCGGGAGGGGGGGGGGCGACGGCGGGGGCGGGGGCGGGGAGGGGGCGGGCCTCACCAGCGCCCTGTGCAGCAGCGCCACGGCCTGCTTCTTCTCCTCCACCTCCAGCTTCAGCCGCATCAGGGACGCGCTCGCCTGGGACACGGACTCCAGGTGCCCCAGCCCCTCCTCCAGCACGGGCCCCTGGGGACGGTGTGAGTCAGGCAGGGCCGGATCCCGGGGAAGAGCTGCCGTGCCGTCCCTCCTGGGCCCCTGCACACCTGGGGGGCCGAGGCCGGCGGGTCCTGCCCGGACTTCTCCATCTCGCGCAGAAAGCTCATGACACTCTGCAGTTTGGCCTCTGACAGCAGCGTCCCAAACTCGGGGGGACCCGCAGGTGCACTGAGCTTCCCAAATTTCTCCAGGTTGTCTGCTGTCAGGGAGCTGGCGTCGTCCTCCTGGGGGGAGGGACGCAGCACTTGGGGAAGTCAGGCAGCCAGGGATGGTCACCCATGAGCTCCTCAGGACCTCGGGGTGGGGGGGAGAGGGCCCCTTGGGCAGCTCAGACCCTCCGGGGCACCACTGATGCCAGTAGAGTGGGTGCCCACCCCACTACGGGTCAGTCTGAGGGTCCTAGGCCTTAGTGAGGCCCTGGATGCCTGGGGGTTCAACGAGGCCCCACTTGATCCTCGTCAGGGGCTTCCCTGCCCGAGGGGATGCTGCTGCCACCCAGGGCGGGGTCAAGGGAGGCTCCTGCGGTCACCTCGTCGGTCCAGGCGTAGTTGTCCTTGTGGTAGGCCCTGGGGCGGGGCAGCGGCTCCGGCTCCTCCTCCAGCAGCCTCAGCGTGTCCAGCAGCTCGTCCAGAGTCGCCCTGCAAGCGGAGCTCGTCTCCGTGGCCTCGCCAGCCGCAGCCTGCAGCACACGAGTGGGCGGGAGAAGCCAGTGAGGCCACAGAGGCCGACATCACCTGAGAACCATGGGGGTGAGGCGAGGTGACCACTCAGCCGTGTGGACACCGTGTGCCCAGACCAACCTCCAGGGAAACCAAACGGCGGCCAAGTGGGAAGTGTGAGGGCTTAGCCTCTCAGCCTGGGGGCCACTGATTTCCAGTTTCCTCTGTGGGCCCCACCCAGGCATCTGTGAGCCCAGCAGGGTCCCAGAGCCCTTGGGGACCCCACCCCTGCGGTAGAGCAACCCTTCCTGGCATGAGGGATCTCAGCCCTAATGGGGCAGGGACAGAGTGGGGCGAGGCAGGGCAGGAAGGGCTGGACCAGACCTGCGGCTTGTCCTCTGGGAGCTGCTGGTGCTCTGGGGAGCAGTCGGGGGCGGGCGGGCAGGGGTCCTCCGGGCACGCAGCAGGGCAGCTGGCCCCTGAGACAGAACATGCGTCAGCCCACCCGCTCGCTGCCCTGTCTGCAGAAGCCCTTGGGAAGAGGCCAGATATGCAGACCTCAGGAGGGGGCACGGGAGCCCTGACCTCTGCTCTTAGGGTCGCAGGAGGGGAGCAGGGCCCAGTGCTTAACAGCTGAGGCCCCTCCTCCACAGGGGGTGGGGAACCGACCTCGGGGACCATAGCAACGCCAGGGGCTGGAGCCAGGAGGCAGATGGAGGTGGAGGCAGGGGCGGAGGCGGGGGTGGGGGCAGGGGCAGGGGCATGAAGGCAGGGGCGGAGGTGGGGGCAGGGGCAGGGGCAAGGGCAGGGGCAGGGGTGGGGACAGGGGCAGGGGCAGGAGGTGGAGGCAGGGGCAGGGGCAGGAGGTGGAGGCAGGGGCAGGGGCAGGAGGTGGAGGCAGGGGCAGGGGCAGGAGGTGGAGGCAGGGGCAGGGGCAGGGGCAGGAGGTGGAGGCAGGGGCAGGGGCAGGGGCATGAAGGCAGGGGCGGAGGTGGGGGCAGGGGCAGGGGCAGGGGCAGGGGCAGGGGCAGGGGTGGGGACAGGGGCAGGGGTGGGGACAGGGGCAGAGGCAGGAGGTGGAGGCAGGGGCAGGGGCAGGGGTGGGGACAGGGGCAGGAGGTGGGGGCAGGGGCAGGGGCAGGAGGTGGAGGCAGGGGCAGGGGCAGGGGCAGGGGTGGGGACAGGGGCAGGGGTGGGGACAGGGGCAGAGGCAGGAGGTGGAGGCAGGGGCAGGGGCAGGGGCAGGGGTGGGGACAGGGGCAGGGGTGGGGACAGGGGCAGAGGCAGGAGGTGGAGGCAGGGGCAGGGGCAGGGGCAGGGGTGGGGACAGGGGCAGGAGGTGGGGGCAGGGGCAGGGGCAGGAGGTGGAGGCAGGGGCAGGGGTGGGGACAGGGGCAGGGGCAGGGGTGGGGACAGGGGCAGGGGTGGGGACAGGGGCAGGGGCGGAGGTGGGGGCAGGGGCAGGGGCAGGGGCAGGGGTGGGGACAGGGGCAGGGGTGGGGACAGGGGCAGAGGCAGGAGGTGGAGGCAGGGGCAGGGGCAGGGGCAGGAGGTGGAGGCAGGGGCAGGGGTGGGGACAGGGGCAGGGGCAGGGGCAGGGGTGGGGACAGGGGCAGGGGCAGGGGCAGGAGGTGGAGGCAGGGGCAGGGGTGGGGACAGGGGCAGGGGCAGGGGCAGGGGTGGGGACAGGGGCAGGGGCGGAGGTGGGGGCAGGGGCAGGGGCAGGGGCAGGGGTGGGGACAGGGGCAGGGGTGGGGACAGGGGCAGAGGCAGGAGGTGGAGGCAGGGGCAGGGGCAGGGGCAGGGGTGGGGACAGGGGCAGGAGGTGGGGGCAGGGGCAGGGGCAGGGGTGGGGACAGGGGCAGAGGCAGGGGCATGGAGGCAGGGGCCGGGGCGGGGGCAGGGCAGCCTCTGGTCCCGGCTCACCGGTGTTATTGGCCTTGGGGGTCTGCCGAGCACTATCTCCTGGCCGCGGGGACGGCTCCTGGGCCGGCCAGGGCTGCCCTCTTTCCTGGGTCCCTTTCAGCAGCCCAAGCTTGGCATCGCCCCCCTTCTGGGCTCGCTTCTGCTGCAGCTCCTGCAAGGGACACCCCTTGAGCAGCCCCACCCACAGCACGGGGGCCTGCCCCTCCCCCGCCCAGCTGCCCAAGGCCCAGTGTCCAGGCCCCCAGGGCTCAGTCCCTCTCTTCCCAGGGGCCCCGCCTCGGCCCCAGGCTCCTGCGTGGCCCAGGCCCCCCGGCACCTGAATGGCTGCCTGTCTGGCCCGACGGGCCTTCTCCTCCCGGGCCTTCCTCCTGGCCGCCTCCCTCTGCTGGTGCAGGTCCAGCAGGTTCCCCTCTCCCGGCCACTGCCGCTGCCCCTGGGGAGATGGGGGTCACTGGTCAAGACGTGGGCTTACACAGCACCCCGAACCTTAACCTCTCCACCTGGCCCCAAACCAGAACGCTGCTCGGACCTCTCAGCCGAGGGGAACCCGACTGCATTTCCCAACAGCTGCGCCCTACTGACTGCGTGAGCTGCCCAGGGCAGGAAGGCTGGGCCCCCAGAAGCTGTGGTCCCAGAAACCCTCCGTGTACGGCTGAGACCCCTCAGTTCCCGCCCGCCCGCAGGGCACGGCTCACACGCCCACACCGACCTCTCGCTTGGCCGCCAGCAGGTGCTCCGGGCGGGCGGCCTGGGCTCTGCGCCGCCGAGCCTGGTGCCGGTACCAGCGTTGGATGGTGACGGCGGCCTGGTGTACCTGGTGGATGAACCTGGCCGGAGGGCCCACTCAGAACCCCCGCGGAGCCAGGTGGCTGAGCAACAGCCTCCCCAGCGCCCCCGGGAGGCCCAGCAGGGCAGAGAAGACCGTGATGGTGATAGGGGCCAACAGTCCCCGTTCACTGTCACCCAGAACTGGAAGCCCCGAGGCCCGCACCAGCCTGCGCGGGTGGACGGGCAGGTGGTCCGAGCCCAAAGGGCCCAGGCTGTATGCACCGGTCACAGAGCATTCTAGAGAAGACAGTGGTGTCAGGGACAGATCGGGGCCCTGGTTGGGCAGGGAGGTGCCAGATAAAGGCTGTGAGGGGAACTTGGGGGCTGACGGACACTCTGCGTCTTGATGTGTTTGTTGTATTTGCAGACAAAACCCACCCAACTATACACCTGAAACGGTGCGTGTACTGTTTATAAATTACACTCAGTAAACGGATTAAACAGGAGGCCTTAACCTCGGCTCTTAGGACCACTTGTCAGTTTGCTCGGCAAAGGTGCAAACGGAGCCATCCAGACGTGACCGGGGCCGTAGCAGGGACCCCCCGAGGGCAGGCAGGTGGGGTGTGGAGCTCCTGACCTCACCTGGCCCCTCCTCCTGCCCCCCTGCTTCCAGGGCCCAGTCCCCAAGCTCTAGGGGACAGCAGACGGTGACCACCCAGCCAGAGCCACTCCGCGGTTCCTGACCCATCGCCACGTCACAGACCTGGGGCCACAGCGGGTCCCACACACCCCGCCTTCCACATGTCCTGGGGCAGCCCACAGGTTCTTTCCGGTTTTTTTAGTTTTGTTTCTTTCTACTTGGTGTTTAATTACGTCTCGCTGCAGCGTCATTCACACGCTATGAAACCACCACTCTGAGCGTGTGGTTCGAGGGCGTTCAGGGGAGTGGGAGCGCGCGGGGGCAGCGAAGGCTCCCGCCCCTGGCTCACCCTCTCCTGCGGTCCCCAGGCCTGGCGCCTCCCCTCTGCCCGTCCCTACAGACCCGCCTTCTCCTGGGGTTTCGGTGAGTGGGTGGGGACAGCACGAGGTCTCTTCAGCCTCCGTGTCTTAAACCAGTATCAGGGGTACTCGTCACTGGGGCCACGGGCCCCCTGCCCACCCCAGCCCGGTCACCTCTCGGCCTCCTCCTCCGTCACCTCCCTCTGTCTGAGCAGGCGCTGGGCGGCGCCCTGGGAGCTCCGGGCCTCGTGGCTGCTGCGGGCGGAGTTCTGGGGCTTCGCGAGGCTGCGGCCCTCGCCCTCGCCCTCGCGGGTGGCCGCCTTCACGAGGTTGCTGTCGGGAAGCAGAGGAGGAAAGGCTCCTGGTGCCTGACCCGGCCCACTCACGGCCGCCGGCCTCAGCCTTGGGCCTGGAAGGAGGCGCCACAGCGGAGGGGCCGGCGCCGGCCGGCTGCCCGTTCTCACTTGCCGGCCTGTCCTCACAGCCACCGGCTCCCCAAGTGCCCACCTGGTGGCACCCACACTTCATTTAAAAAGCAAAAGGATCTCCAAGGTCACAGGCTCCCAGAGCGGGGAGGTGTGTCGGGAAACCCTGAGTCTGTCCCTGACCGAGCACACGGGTGACAGATGGCTGCCCTGCTCACCTCAGCCCAGCCCACCGCGACCCACCTGGGTTCTGGACTCGGCCAGGGGTCCGAGACATGGAGTGGCCGTGGGCTCCTCGGCGGGACCCCACCAGCGAGCCCGTCAGGCCCGGTCTGTGCCCCCGCGCACGCCAAGGCCAGAGCCGGCCCTTACTTGAGGGAGGGCGCTGAGTGGTTAGAGCTCTTGGGGGGCGCCATGTCCACGGGGGCGTAGTGGTTGTGCACCATGGTGGTGACGCAGTTGCCTACGGCCGCCTTGCTGCTCCTGCCGGGAGAGATGGGAGGCGAGGTCAGGTCCCCGAGCCATGCTCCGGGCGGCCCTGCACAGCCTCCAAGCCCGGGGTGGGGGGAGCAGGGCGATCCTCTGAGCAAACCTGAGCTGGGACCCCAATACTCAGTCTGGTCCCTGCCCACTTGCTCCAAAGTGGCCCCCGGCAACTTTTAGGGTGTTCCTCTTCATTCTGACAGGGCCAGGGTGCCAGCCTTTTGAGGGGCAAAAGGCCAATGAAAAAACAGGCGCGATGGAGATGTGGCCTACGAGGGGCGGGAGGGGGCCGAGGGGTTGGCCAGGGGAGGGGGAGGGGCAGGGCCCCTGCCGGCCTCTCTCTAGTCCTGTGGTCGAGTCTGGGAGAAGTGCCTGGTGCACAGACAACCAAGCAGAAAAAGAAAGAGGTCACTTTAACTCCGAGAGAAATGAAAGTGTGTCCCAAACATCAATGTTTCCTGAGCCCTGTCCTGAGGGTCGGGTCTCAGCACCTTTCATCCTCCTGCCTCTCCGGAGCCACCACCACCGTCCCCGAGGAGACAAAGCGCCTGCCCCCCGGGGGTGGCCTGCCCCCCTCTGCGCAGGGGCACCTGTTGTTGGCAGTGAAGCTGGGCGCCAGGGGGACACTGCACTCTCTCCTCCGTGAGCCCACAGGCGCGTCCCAGGTGCCGGGGCTCTGGGTGGTGGGCGGCAAGTCGAGGGCCCTGGGCTGGTCACCCTGCTGGAGAACAGACACCGACACACCCTGACCCGGAGCGCCTTCCCTGCCCCCGCGGCCTTGCTCGCAAAGGGCGATGAGAGGACCCAGGGGAAGTCCCTGCCCCTCCCCAGATGTGATGCTGTGGCCACGCTGGCACGCACGCCGCCCCGGCCCCCCTCACAGGGACAGCAGAACCAAGGAGCCAGGGGTCACCCCAGTGGGACACTCAGACTCAGCCCTGGCTCTCACCAGGACGTTCCACGTGGCCCCCTTCTCGCGGGAAGCTGTGCTCAGACTGGCTGGCTTCTTTTTCCCACCGGGGCTGCCCTCGCAGAGTGTCAAGAAGTCAGGGCGCTCCAGCGGCCTGTGTCAGGGAGGACAGCAAGGAACGCAGATGAGGACAGCCACCGGCAGGACATTGTTCCCGAGCCTGGAGCTCAAAATAACCATCTTGGTCCTGACCCGACGGCGGCACTGGGAGGTGAGGCCCGCCCCGTGGCCACCCCGACCCCAGGAGAGCCACAAGGACAGGGGGAAGGGGTACGGGGGGACGTCGGCTTTGAGGGCTGCCCACACTCCGCATGCAGAGACGGCAGGTCACAGCTTGGCTCGCCTGCTCCCCCAGGACTGGCCTGAATGGAGGTCACTCCAGGCCCCGCTGTCCAGCCAGTGCCCACAGTAGCGATGCCAGAAGAAGGGCTGACAGGGGCAGGACGGGAGCAGGCGGGGTTCCCTGAGGAGGGCAGAGGTTGCCTGAGGGGGTCGGGGCTACCTGAGGGGGTCAGTCCACGCCTGCTGGGCTTGCGGCTGGTGAACCTGCGTGGTGCTGTTAGATCTGCGAAGGTTGTTGGTGGCCCTGGAGGCCCCGGGCCCTGTGGCCTCCTGCAAAAAGGGAGGAATCCACCAATCCCGTGGCAAGGGTTCCGGTCAGTGCTGGGCCGCGCAGAACAGGTTTAGAGGATCTAGAGGGAGGAGGTGGGGGTGGCGCCTGGGGGTCCTGGGCGTGGCCTCACCAGCCTCCCCTGCCTGGGAAGAAATGGGAGCCCCTCACCCCTGGGGGGGCGTTGCCCAAGGCCTGGGAGCTTCAGCAACGGCTGCCTCCTTACGGACAGTGAGCCTGCCTGTCCGGCCCGCAGGGCCCACGAGGAGCTGGTCTCTGTCCCCACAGCAGCCCCGTCCGCAGCTGGTGGAGCAGGAGGGACGGAGAGCTTGGCTCTGGCAGGGTCTAGGCTCCGCCTCAGGCCAGCTAACCTTGGCCTTGACCTCTGTAAGTTAGCTCCCTGGTCCTTCCTGCCCCCCCAAGGGCCACAGGGCTGGATGGGGTGACGGAGTGAGGTGCCTGCTGAGGTGGGAGCTCACCCCGGAGACCGGCGCCCCAGCTGTAGCGCTCACCGGTGCCTTCCTCTTCGGCTCACTGCCTGTCACCACAGAGACGGAGCGAAGGACAGACTTGGCGGCAGAGGCACTGCTGGGGCGTCGGGACACAGGTGGAGGGAGCCCCGTCAGACTTAGATCCAAGCCTTCCAGGCTGCCCTCAGGGAGGCCCGGGGGCCCCCTGATGGCCTGGGAGCCTTTCATGGTGGAGGAGTGGGCCCTGAGCAGGCAAGAAGAGGTGCAGTGAGGCCCTCCACCTCCGTGCACACGGCCGCTGGACAGGCCTCGGGGAGCCCAGGGCACTGCCTCCTCCTCCCCCAAAAGGGACAGAGCAGGGTTCGGAGCAATGAGCAGCAAAGCCCAGCCCTGGAGGGGCCCTGCCCAACCTCAGCCTGGCCTGGCGAGGGCAGTGCTGGGCGTGGCCTGCTCTCCGTTTATTCCCCACCTCTTGTAGGTACACCACCTGTCTGAGCCCCACTTTCTTCATCTTTAAATGGACGTTTAAAAAGTGCCTCTCCACGGGGCTGTCATGATGGTCAGACGAGACCGCTGGAGGCTGGTACACGGTGTGACCTTCCACCCAGGATTCTGACTGGTTAACGCTGCCCAACCCAGGGCCCCCAAAGTTAACTGGCCACAGGACCCCTCCATTTCCTCAGAACCCACCAGCTTCTAGGATTACGCATCTGCTCTCTCGCTTCCGGGGTCTCCCTCGCTGGCCCTTCCTCCTCTGGATCCCTGAAGTCTGAGGGCCCCCCTTGCTCAGCCCAGGCCTCTCCTCCATCCACCCTCTGGCCTCCTGCTTTCACACAGGGGCTGACGGTTCCCACACGCAGACTGCCCGCCCTCTGTCCCCTAACTCCCGACGCAGAGGACCGGCCCCTGTCCCTGCACCTCAGACCCAAGGAAGCCCAAACTTCCACCTCCAGCTGCCCCTGCCCAGGGGGCATTTTCTGTGACTGGCTCAGGCCCAGATCCCACCCTGACATCTTCCCCCTCACCTCCACTCCTTCCCCCTCTGCAACCCACTTAGTGCCCTCTCCCTGTCCATCCCCTCCTGCCACAAGCCCAGTCTGAGCCCCTAGTCCTCGGACCCGGACAAGTGCAGCAGGCCCTCCCCGCGCAGCGGCCAGAGCTGACCTTTCTGAACGGGGTTTCAGCTCACCCTGTGCCCAGCTTAAAACCTTCCGTTGGTCCCCAGGCACAGGGAAGAGTCCAAACGCCACCACCCTCAGACCCGCCCCTGCTCACCCAGGGGCTCCTCACTGCACCCTCTGCCTTGGCTGAGCCAGCCTGCCTGCTGCCCGAGGACAGGGACCTCGCCAGTCTGTTTCCCGGGCAGCCCGCTGCCCCTCTGCCCCGGGACGTCACGAGGCCCCCTTCACCCAGGCAGCCGCCGGCCCCATCGCTCTGCATTGCCCCCCCTGCCACCTGGCCACCCTGGCTGGTCTGTGCACTGTGTGTCCCCCTGGGAAGAGCAGAAGCTCCAGGGGGGCAGGACCACGTGGAGGCACCTGGCACCCGGCGGGCACCCGGTAAAGGAGGGGATGAGCCAGCACCAGAACCACAGAGGAATGAGCAGGGTCCTCCCGGCCACCAAGGGCTCCGGGGGGCCAGCGGCACACACCCGGCGTCACCCGCCGTCAGGGCTGCAGCCCCTGGCGGGGCCGGACCACTGACCTCCAGGCGGGGCGCAGCGCGGTCCCTGCCGGTCCCCAGGTCCGCGTCCTCAGTTATGCGTTTCCGGTTGTGCGGGTGAAACTTAACACCCTCCTCCCCCAGGACCCCGGCCCCACCCGCGGGCCCCAGGCGGGCCGGTTCCAGCCGCAGCCGCGTGCGGGCTCTGAGCTCTGGGACGGTGGACACAGCCTCCCCGGAACCCTCAGGCCAGGCCCCACCGTGCACACAGCGGTGCCCCCCCGGCGTGGGCGGCTGGGGCTGGGCTCGCACCCCTCGGGCTGGGGGCCCCAGGACCCCCGCCAGCTTCTCACCGGCAGCTCCTCGGCTCCTTGGGGCTTGGCTCACGGCGGCGGGACCTGCGGCTGCTGACCGGGAGGCCGAACGAGGTAACGGAGACCGGGCCTGGGCCGCTCCTCGCCCGTGCAGGGCGCCTCCTCGCCTGCACAGCCCTCGCCGCGCCAGCCGGGCCGGGGGCGCGGGCCCGCGGGGCCCGAGGGCGACGGGTGCGCGGGGTCCGACGCGCGGCGGCCCAGGCTGTGGGCCGACGACCTCGCGCCCCCGGCCCCGGCCCCGAGGCCCGCGGTGACAATGAAGCGGCCGAGCGGTCGGGCGAGCGGCCGCTGTTAGTAACCAGCAAACAGCCTGGCACCGCCCCGCTGGGCCGGCCTTTCCTGCCCGTGCCGCCCCCCCGATTGGCTCGCCGGCTGGCGGCTCCGGCCGTCGCGGGAGTTCATTGGGCCGTTCGGCTGTCTTTTGGGAAGTACAAGCAGGGGAGGAGCCGCAGAGACCTGGGGGGCCGCCGAGGCCGCGGGTTGCCGATTGGACGCGGCTGCAGGGGGCGGGGCCTTGGCGAGCATGGGCGGAGCCTACGCGGGACGTGAGTAGAGGGGCGGGGAGAAGGGCGGGGCGCGGGGACGGCGGCGTGGGCGGGGCTGCTCCGCGGTCCTTGCCCGGGGTTCAGCCCGCTGGCGGCGGAGCACACGTGGCGCTGCACGCCCGGCACCCGCGGCACCCACGCAACTCTGGAAAGCTCATATTTGTACTTTGCCGAGAGTCTCTTTCCACGAGTGAATGTGGAATTTTGTCTCTTGCTTTTTCTGCACATTTTGCTTCATTAATGGGTCAATATGGTGAATCACAGATTTTCAGATGTTAACCGCCTTCCATACCCATGACGGAGTCCACAATGGTGGCGAATTACCCTTTACCCCCTTTTATACAGTGCGGGACTCGTTTTGCTTTTTTACATTTTTTCTTTATTGATGTTGGAGAGAGAGGAAGGGAGAGGGAGAGAGAGAAACATGGATGAGCGAGAACGTGGACTGGCCGCTCCTGCACGCCCCCCACTGGCGATCAGACCCCCATCCTGGCATGTGCCCTGACCGGGAATAGAACTGGCGACCTCTTGGTGCCTGGGTCCAGCCTCAACCACTGAGCCACACTGGCTGGGCTCATTTCGCTAATATTTTGTTAAGATTTTTTTTTTTTCCATCTATGTTCTAAACCAAGGGTACATGGACCATTCCCCAGCACAGACCATAAAGCCTGGCCCATAAAACAAACTTGAGCAAAAGTCTGAAATTTTTAACAACAAAATTTAAGTCATACAAAACATTATCTTACTATATCGATTAAAACAGTAATAGCAGAAAAACATACCCTTAAATAACCCACTGGACAAAACGGAAGCCTCAAGGGAAATTAGTATTTTGAACTGAATAAAAATAAAAGTTCATGGGATCCAGGCAAAGCAGCATAAAGGAAAACTTAGAGCACGGAAATGCCTATATTAGGACAGAATAAAGGTCTCAGGTAATAATCTAAGCTCCCACCTTAAAGAACTAGAAAACAAAATATAAACACCAAGCCACTGAACATAAAAACCGTAGAAAAATAAAACCAGAAGTTCTTTGAAAACACCAGTGATATTAAAAACCTTCTAGTTAGCCTGACCAACACACAGGAAAGATGGCCAGTAACGGAAATGAAAGCTGGGACATCATTACAGACCCTACAGAAATTGAAAGGCCCATTTGACAACTTTCTTGAAACGGACTAATTCCTTAAAAAATACAAGTACCTGAAACTCACACGTATGTAACCCAATAGTCCTATATCTACTTACGAAATTGGATTTCAACGTTAATAAACCGTGCAACTAAGAAAATCACAGGACCAACAGTTCTACTGGGAGTTCTCCGAAACACGGAAGGAGTAACGCCTGTCCCTGGTCTGAGAGACGGCCCTAATGTGCCCTTGTTACTGCTACTCCACTCACACACAGGCAGGAAGAGAAGGGCCTTGAGAAAGCAGGCTGGCTCGTGGGGTATCCCGGGGCCCCTGCAAGGCCACCCTGTGCAGGCTGCAGGCAGCAGTCATGGCAGAGGGTGCTGACATGGGTCACACAGGGAGCTGGCCTGGGCAGGACCCCACCCTGGTCACCCAGGTGTGTGGCTGCTTATGCCCCCCCACTTGTGGAGCGAGGTTTCTGAGCTCAAAAACAAAAATCCAAGCTGTGGTTCAAATTCCACACAAAAACCTTGTTCCTAAGGGCCAGGCAGATGGAGGTTTCCTCAAGGACCCCAAAGCCTGCCACCTTCCTGCCCGCTGCCTTAGGAACTGATGGCCTCCAGTCAGCCTCTAGTGGGAAGAGGGGGAGGGGAGAACCAAGGCAGCCCTGGGGTCCTCTCTCTGGCAGCCTGGCTGAGTGCCAAGGTCGGGGCTCAGCCTGCATGTGGGCCTTCTTCTCCCAACACGTCCCCACAGAGGGGCCGAGTGCCGTTCTGTGCTCTGCGGGTGAACGTGGGGCAGCTCAGGGAGCACCTGCCCCTGAGCTCAATCCCAGCCTCTCTTCCTGTCCCCTGCCCTCCAGGAGACCACAGGCACCCTCTGCCCCACCAGGGCCCGACAGTGTCTGCAGAGGAACCAAACGCACAGAGTGCTCACGTGGGCAGACCAGATGGCTGTGAGGCCGGAGGCCCAGCAGCTCAGGGCCCGCCAGCTGCCCATCTTAACAAGAGCTCAGCTCGATTCTGCCCAGAAACCGGCGGGGCTCTTTGCGCCCCACCCTCTCGGCCAGTCCTTCGAGCTGCTCTCCTGGCCAGTCCGTGGGCTCCTGCCCTTTGCTGGATGGTCATCCACGCCGAGCTCACCTGACTGGGCAGCTCCCTGCACCAAGGCCTCAGGGTCAGGGGAAGAGGCCAATGCAGACACTGGGGGGCGGAGGGATGGGGTCCTGGGTCAGGAGTTTAAGAATGTGAAAGCTGATGGCTCTGAGCTCGGAGGCCCTTTGGCTGCCAGCCTCTGTGACGATGTCTGAGGGGGCTGGGGGGACTCCTCTGCAGCAGTCCCGGTCTCCACCAGGCGCGGCCAGGCCATCAGCTCCATGCCAGCAAACAAGGAGTTGTGGCTGCCGCCGGCCTCTGGGCTCCACAGGCAGCCGCTGGGGCCTGGGCCGAACTCTGGCCCTCCATTTGGAGTGTCCGTGCCCACCAGGCCCTGTTCAGATCTGGTCTCCTGCTCTCCGGGACCCGCCGGTCTGGTCCCAGCCTCCCCGGTGTCCCCAAGGACTGAGAGGGGGGACCTGTCCAGGGCCAGAGGGGCTGTAGGGCCCGTGGGTGACAGGGCTGAGCTCAGAGGCTGGAGAAATGCCTGGCCCCTGGCCAACGGCACGGCATCCGTCAGCAGGTCAGACGGGCCCAGGTGGGCGGCGGCGGGGCTGGGCTCCGCCAGGGGCCTCCGGGCAGAGGGACGCTGTCGGCAGGAGGCTTCGAGATGCCTTAGGATCTGACCGCGGGAGAAGGGAACTGATGAGGGTCCCCACGCTCCTGGGGAGTCAGGAGGGCGCCCCTCTCTCCAGGGCCCTCTGCAAGGCCGCTGTCTGCAGCAGGGCCAGCTCTGGGCCCTCTCACAGGTGGTCTCACTGTCACCCACCCACTGGAGGGCTGCTGCTGGCCTTGAGCTGCCTAAGCACCAGGCCACACACGTGCCACAGACACCTGTGCCCGCCCTCTGCTGCCATGTGAACAGCTGCCCTGCCGGCGGACTTGGGACGAGCTGGCACAGGCAGGAGCCGCGGAGGGGACACTGCCTTCAACCGCTGCTCAGAACCCGCGGCGACCCCGCCCGACCACCTGCGCCCCCTGCGTCGCAGCCCCACTGATGCTCTGATGACAATGTGGGGACAGGTGTCGAAGGATCTGAACTTTCAGTGCCCGCCGAGGAAATGGGAGGAAGTTGAGGGACGCCAACAGGCCACGGAGCTGGGGGCCCGGACGGGGAGGCCGAGAGCCCAGGCAGCCTAGGCACAGGGCAGCAGTAGCGGGAAGGGGCTCAGCTGTCTGGGCCGGTTTCTGCCCTCGGCAACTGCGTACCAGGGAGACGTGCACAGACCCGTGGACTGTTGCGCGAGTAGAGAGCAACGGGATAGCTCCATCTGAGCAGTCAAGGGGGGTTTCCTACAGGATGCTGCTGGGCAGGAAGGTGGGTGAGCTTGGGCAGGGCGGGCAGGACCAGGAAGAGGCCAGCCAGCCTGGAACGCCCGAGCACGCTCAAGGCGAGGCCCAGCTGATGGTCTAGGGCACAGCCTGCCCAGGGCAGCAAAGGGCAGGACGAGAAGGGCGTGTCTGGAAAAGGCCAGTGGGATGGGGTGTCCCTGCGCCCACTCCTCTGGGGCCCGGCTGCCCACCTTGGTGGCCTTGTTGGTCACAGGTCCGGAGCTGCCCGCACTGAGCTCCTGCAGGCGCGGCCGGGCCAGGAGCAGGACGTGCTCGGGGGGCAGCAGGTCTGTGCAGCCCAGGGAGGCAATGGCGCCCAGGGTTCTCTGGTGGGGGGGGGGGTGTCAGCAGACTCCACCCCAGAAGGCCCAAGGCCCCAGGATCTCCTGGGCATCCCCACTGGACCCCATGCTCACCCCCTCCGACCCGCCCCCCAGGGCAGACCCCAGGGAGACCACTGCCCCCCACGCCAGCTGCCCTCACCATCTGCACGTGCTCGCTGGTCCCGCCCAGGTGTCGGACCAGCAGCTCCAGCACCACCTCACAGTTGAGCCGCCCACACCTGCCGGGAGGGGCACCTGGGCAGGTCAGGCAGTCAGGCCTTTCCCTCCGTGGGTGGGGGTGGGGAGGAGGGGGGGAGGGGAGGGGAGGGGTGTCGAGGGCTCACTCTCTGACGAAACTCTGTGCCTCCTCTTGGCTCAGGAAGGCGCGTGGCCCCTGTGCCACCCTCTGGACCAGGCTCTGCTCCTGCTGGCAGCTGCTCAGGGTCAAGGCCTCGACCCTGTCGGGGGCACAGCGGTCAGGGGGAAGGGATCCTGGGGTAGGGCATGGAGGGGCCAAGGTGCTTGCTCACCTCTCGGCCAGGTCGCTGGGTGCCCGGCTGGCCCCCGAGGGGCTGTCACTGCCCGACCGACTGCCCGAGCCCGAGGCCTTGCTCTGGCCGTTCTCCTGGGAAGAACTGGGGGAGCTGGAGCCACTGTCCTGCTCGTCCCAGCCCCCGCCGGCCTGGCCAGGCTGGTGTCTCATGGCTGGAAGAAATGGTGGGCGTGGGTGAGACCCTGGGTCTCGGACTGGCCTCACCCCCCAGCCCAGAGACACCAAGACGGGGGACCTGGGAGGAACCAGGGGAGGGGCTGGGTCCCAAGATGTGGACAGATGTGGACAGAAACAGCAGCATGAGGCGCCAGGAGTCTGGTGGAGACAGCGGCACGGACACGCCTGCCCGGGATCCAGGTCAGGGACACTGTGGCACCCAGCACCAGAGGCTCTCAGAGCTTGGTGACACCCTCGTCACTCAGTGACACCGGACCCCTCCCCGTCTCGCAGCACCGTCCTCTGATCAGCCTGTGCCTCTGCCCGCCAACTGCCCCCAGGACGCCCGCGCCATGGAGGCCAGCGTTCGCGAGGGCCCGGCCAGGCAGGGCCACCGAACGCGCTGGGTGAATGGGCGGGGGCTGGGGCTCCCGGCCCCGCTCACGCCCGGCCTGTAGGAGCGGGACCGTGGGCGGGCTCCCCTCTGGAGCAGCTGGCCAAGAGGCAGCACAGCGAGCCAGCGCCGGGCTGTGTGAGGCCAGGGAAACGCGCAGCCCGGGTGGCAGCTCCCGCGGGCGTCCAGGTGGGTGAGTGCCCTCGTCCTGTCTCCTCTCCTGGAGCCGGAGCCTGGCTCTCGCTGGCCTGGCCTGGGCCCCGCCCGCCCCGCAGGCACCGGGAAGGCCCTGTGGGAAGGAGAGCAGGTCCCCAGGGAGGGTCCCCCGACACCTCGGGTGCCCAGGATGGCTCCAGGGAGCAGGCTCCCAGGAGTGCGGTGGCCATGGCTGGCTGCAGGTGTCACAGCAGGCTGGTAGGTGTCCCCCTGCAGCAGGGACCCCTGGGCGGCGGGGCCCTCGGGCCCAGGGCGCACGGCATTGGCCACCACCTCCGCAGCCTTCTGGATGGTGGAGAGGAAGGCTTCACCCGCACAGCCTGCATGAGAGGGACAGGGAGATGGCCCTCAATGTCCTCCCAGGATGGGGGCCTACGGCTGCTCCCTGCTTAGGGCTCCGGGCTCAGGGTTCGAGCTGCAATTACAGAGCAGAGGCCACGTGGCGGGAACCCGGGCCCTTGCAGAAGCTTCTTCAGTATGTTCGCGGTGGGACAGAGCTGACGCCCACTTTGGAGCAGAGGCCTTAGGAGGTGTCTAGAGAACTCCACCTCCATGGTTACCCAAAGAGGCTGGCGGCCAGCAGGCGGCAGGGGGCTCTCCGAGTGAGCGCCCTCTGGTGGTGAACCTCCATCAGCCCCAAAGAAAGAGACAGCCCTCGGGGAGGCCGGCCCACCCTAGGGATTGGTGCTTCGGAAGGGCCTGGGGTGGGCAGAGCCGGGACCACGATGGGCAGCACGACCACGGGACGTGGCCCCGGACCCACGAGAGGTTACGTGGCCCTGCTGTGGGCCTCACGGGCACCCGGAGGACTGCACTGGTGTGTCCCTTTGTCTCACCAGCCGTCCGCACCAAGGGCCCACGCGGCACTCACCTGTGTGGCCTCGCTCCTTGCTGTAGCCGAAGCCCTGCAGGGCGCTCTGGGGCTTGGACTGGGAGCCCATGCCTGCGGGAGGAGCCGAGTCACCCGGGGAAAAGGCCCCGACGCCCCTGCCCGGGGAGAGCCCTGTGACTGGCTGGACAGGTGGCATACCTGCTGGTGGCAGGGCCCTGGGAGGCTGGGAGGGAGGCGGTGGGGACAAGGTGTCTGAGAACAAGGTGCTCCCCAAGTCCTAGACAGGAGGTGAAGGCGCTCAGTGTGGCCCCACATCCGACTGCGCCCCCCACCTCTGAGGGCCAAACACAGGCTCTGGTCCCACAGCAGGAGTGCAGCTGGGGTCCCAGGGCTGAAGTGGGTCCTGGACTCACCTGGGCAGCTGCCCGCACTTTCTGGTACAAGCTGGTCCCATGGAGTGGATCCGGGGGCCCTGTGAACGCTGCAGGGCGGGGCGCAGGCTGAGGGGGTGCTGCTCCCAGATCAATGCTGCAGCTCTTCCCCCAGGGCCAGCCCTGCCCTCCCCACTCCCCCCCGGGTGAGCTTTCTGAAACACAGGGCCGACCTTCAATCCCACGTGACATCACTTCCAGGTCAAAGACCCCTCGGCACCCCCAAGCCTGGGGTGACCCCACTTCCCAGAGCCTCTCTGCTCGTTGGACAAAGCCCAGGGAGCCCCAACCCCCTCCTCCAGGGCCACCGCTCATGCCACTGCACAGAAATGTGCCACCGCAGCCCCTCGGCCCCTTACCTGAGCCCAAGGCACCCAGGCTCCGGACATCACCATGGTGACTCCCACCCCACTGCGGCCTGGCCCGAGTCCCTCATCGGCCACCTAACTGCCTCCCTCAACCCACTCTCCATCCAGAAGTGACAGGAACCTTTCAGAGGTTCCCAGGGACTTCAGGGTAAAACCCAGGTTCCTGCCCTGGCCAGTGTGCTCAATGGTTAGAGCGTCGACCCACACACTAAAGGGTCGAGGGTGCGATTCCTGGTCAAGGACACGTACCTGGGTTGCAGGTTAGATCCCCGGCCCTGGTCAGGGTTGTGCGGGAAGCAACAAATCCGATGTTTTTCTCTCTCCCCCTCCCTCCCTTCTACTCTGTCTAAAAATCAATGGAAAAAATATCCTCAGGTGAGGATTAACAAACTAACAAAAACCCAAGTTCCTTACCAGGGCCCGAAAGGCCCACTGGGCCCCGCCCCAGCCCGGAGTGCCAGGCTCCCGCCCAGAGAGCTCCAGGGCCACCTCGGGGCCTTGGCAGGTGCAGGCGCCTGGCTGGGCCGCATCCTTTCGGGCTCAGCGGGGTGTGGGAGCAGGGCCTCCCTGTTTCCTTGCCGCCAACACACCTCACTCCCCGCCCTTTGGGGTGGGCTTCACCCTGCCATCCCTTGGTGAGCAGGCAGCAGCCCGTCCGCCACCGGGGCTGGGCCAGAAGCTGAACCAGCAAGTGGACGGCAGGCTGCTCCAGCGTGGCCCCCGCCTTCCCCACAGGCCCAAGGCCTGAGCTTCGGAGGGTCCACTGCCCGGCACCAGACGCGGCCCTCCTGTGTGTGAGCACGGACATCCTCTGAACACCCTCCCACCACAGCTCTGCTGTGTCCCTGTCCCTGATGGGGCCGTGCTCAGAGCACACGGCCCCAGGTGACCACTGGAGAGACTGGAGCCCACGTAGAGCTGTGGCAGCTGAGGGTCTCCTACAAATGCATGGCAGCCAAGAGCCACTCAGCTTCTGGGTGCTGCCCTCTGGGGCGGCCTGGGCAAGGGTGGTTCTTGCCTGAGGGTCAGGCCCTTCCAAAGATTCATTTAGGCCGAATGAGCGGGTCTGGGGATGATGTGCCCCCAAGACTGACCTGAGCCAGGACTCCCACCCCACCAAGTGGAAGATCTCAGGCCACGTGCCCACAAGTTCTCCTTAGGGAGACAATCAATAACCCCTGGCCTGGGGGTGAGGGATGGGACTCCACCCAGACCCACCTGGCGCCTGGGTGACAGGCCAGGCCCCTCCTCCTACAGTCCTTCTGAGAGAAGGCTTACTGTGCTCCCTCTGCCTGGGGCCTGGGGACCTGCCCTGCGGAGGAGAGCCCATGGCAGGGGAGGGGCCTGCACCAGCCGGGCACCTGCTGTGTGCCTGCGGGCACTGGGACAGACCAGCAGGAAAGGGCCAGCCTCCGAGGCCTGGCAGGGCACACACCGAAACAGTCGTTAGCACCAGCGTAGTGAGTGTGGCAGACTGTGGAGGACACTGGAGGAGCTGAAACTCAGAGAAGGGACATGGCTTGGGGACACCGGCGAAGAGGGCCCCACAAATGGGGAGGCAGATGCTGGTGGCACGAGGCCCAGAGTGGGAGCAAGGGTGAGGGAGGGCCGAGAGGTGGGGCTGCAGCCGGGGGCCCTGCCTCGCCCTCGGGGCTGCGGGGCCAGTACCTGCGGCTTCCTGGATGAAGGCGGGGTTGCCCTTCAGGCTGAGCAGGAAGGAAGAGGAGCCGTGACCACACAGGTGGAGCATGATCTTCAGCACCTGAGGGGACCGTCGCAGGGGGCAGGGCTCACTCAGAGGGCACCCCCAGCTCATCCCTCCCCTCCTGCCTTACCACCCATGGGTGTGAGCTCAGGCCCTGACCTGACCCTGGAGGGTCTGCTGGGGCCACTCACAGCCTTACCTTGAGCTTCACGCGGCCAGAGCCACTGTGTAGACGGTTCAGAAGGTACTCCAGGAGGCACTGGCTGCTGCCCAGGGACTCGTGAGAGATTTCTAGGAGGCACTTGGGTTAGGAAAGGAGCACGCTGACCCCAGGCCCCACTGTCACGAAACCTCTCCATGTGTCCTCCCTGCAGGCACCAACCCAGACCCTGCTTTCAGGAGCAAAGGACTTCGAGGGCATCCTGGACCCCGTGTCATCAGTAATGTGGCTTCCAGGCCCCTCCCACACCCAGTTACTCTGACTCTAAGAGCCACGGACCCTTAGGACAGAAGCCCAGGGACCCTGCATGGGGACACAGGAAGGATACTGGTGATCTCCTCAAACAGGTAGCCCGGACACGGCACGTCATCGTCCGACGTTCCCTTCAGCAGAATCGGAAGCTGAAAGGCAGCGAGAGCCCTGCCCCTGAGTGGCCGTTCCATACAGGGATGAGCCCACAGCCACCAAAGGGCCAGCCATCCCTGAGGGGCTGTCAGAGTCCTCCCTCTTGGGGTTCCTGGGGCACCAGTTTCCACGCATCTCGTTGTTGGCACACTGCCTGGTGAGGGACCCAGAGCGGGCAGCAACGGTCCCACCAGCTACAGGGACCTGGCAGGAGCCTCCCTTTCTGCAAAGCCATGGTGATGTGCCACGCTGCTTGGCCAGGAAGTGACACCGCCCCCAGACCTCTGCGCCAGCAGACGGGCAAGACAACGTCAAGGCGCCTTTAACCTACCTACCAACCGGCAGAAACAAAAAAGCAGGGGTGAGCCCCTTCCCCACGAAGGGAGCTGGGAATGGCCCAGCCTTCCGGAGCACAGATGGACCCCGTGACATAACCCCTCGGCCTGACCCACCCACAGCTCGACTTCTGGGGGCAGACCCCGCGGAAACAAGCCGCCGGGAAGACAGCTGCCTGTGCCGGGTCTGCGTTTTTTCGGTAGCACCACGCGGACTCCCTCGTGTGGGAACGGAAGCCAGGACTCCCGTTCCCAAATGGGCCCGAGGACCGCGCCGGCCCCCGACCAGTTTGAACGGCAGCTGTCCAGCGTCAGCACACGTGCCGGACTGTCACGCCAGCTGTGTGCACACGCCACTGACACCAGGGGGCGGAGGAGCAGGGTCCGGAGGGTAGCGGGGGCCCGGCGGGGACGCAGAGCCCGGGAGGCGCCGGGCGCGGTGACCCCGGCCAGCCCGACAGGGACCCGGGAGGCGGATGGCCGCGGCCCGGGGCGAGCCGGAGGCGGCAGCGCGCAGCAGGTCGGGCCGCCTGCACTCACCCAGTGCAGGAAGCTCAGACGGTCTCGCAGCAGCGGCGTGGCCGCCATGATGCAGGTCACCTTTTGACCCCACCCTGTTTCCGTCAGGCCCCGGGCCCCGCCAATCACCGCGAGGGTCTGGCCCCGCTGGCCAATCGCTCGCGTGGGGCGGGCCCTGAGGCCGACTTTGGTAAACAATTTGAGCCTGAACCAATCCGAAGTCCCAGATCAAGACAGACAGTCTACCAGCCAATTACAGGGCTCTAGAAGACCGTGGTTCCGGAAAAGCAGAGGCGAGGACTGAAGCCTGGCCAATTAGAAGGCGGAAGGAAGGTGATGGATGGAAGCATCAGCCTATCAAGGGGTTGCTCGCCGGAAAGGGACGAACCTAAGATGTCGGCGCCCTCGGGTACCGGGAAGAGTTTCTGATGTCGGGGAACGGAGCTGTGTGGGGGCGCGTGCGAAGCCGCCTCCGCTCCTTCCCCGAGTGCCTGGCGGCCTGTGGGGCCGAGGTGAGCAGCCGTCGGTCGGGGCAGTGCCTGCGGGGCGTGGTGGCGCGGGGGGCGGGGTGCTGACTGGAGGCGGGGCGGGGGTTGAGCCAGTGACCCGCCGGCCCGGGGGCGGCCACGACCCTGACCCGCGCCGCCCTGTCCCCAGGCCGCGGCCTACGGCAGGTGCGTGCAGGCGACCACGGGCCCGGGCGGCCACCTGAGGAAGGACCTCTGCGCGCAGGAGTTCGAGGCCCTGCGGAGCTGCTTCGCCGCTGCGGTAGGTGGGCGGCGCCCCAGCCCCGACCCCGCTTCCAGCCCCACTGGCCTCCCTTCCCCTCTCCTGCGCTCGGTGTTGCGCACCCGCTGGTGCTTCCGACGCTGCGCGCCGACCCTCCAGCCGCGCGACCCCGCCGCCACGGAGCCTGTGTGCTGGGCAGGGGGGAGGGGGGAGGGTGGCGCGGGCGGTGGGGGGTGTGAGTGCCCAAACCAACCCCAGCCCGGGACTCCCAGAGCCGGCGTGTCAGCAGCGCTCCGTCTGGGCGACGCTGGCGCTCGGCTTCAGCCACTGGTGCACCCGGCACATACTGGGCTGCTCGCTACCCCACTGCCCCGCACAACAGCCCCATTTCCCAGAAGTGAGAGAGAGCCCAGAGGTCACACATGCTGAGGTTGTCCTCGTAACACGGTTAGGAGAGGAGCCTGTTCCTTCTCTTGGTTCTGGGCCGGGGCTGCCTCCAGCCCTTCAACAGCGAGCCCCTTCTGCTTCTGAGCCGCAACATTTCCTGGTCCCCGGCGGATCAGATGCTAGGTCGGTGGGAATCGTCCCGCCCTGTAGGCATGTAAAGAATTAGTGGCATGTTTACACGGTTTCATGAAGGGCTGGAGGAATGGGGTTGGAGCAGCTGTCACTGGGGAAACTCCAGGGAATTCCAGACAGTATGGGGAGGGGCTGCCTGCCAAGAGGCTTTAATGACCAGATTCTTGGCTGGTGCCTCTGACTTGATGGGTCTGGGTGGGATGGGCAGCATTCAGGGAGTCCTGGCAGTGCCCTGATGTTCTAGAGTCATCCAAGCGAGTGGCTGAGAGGATGTGGATGTCCACATGTGTCCAGCTCAAGAGGACGGTTCACACACTCATTTCCTGGGGGCTCAGGGAACTCTTGGCATCTTCCTTGTGGTTACTAGGTTATTATGGCCAGGGCATACTGGCCTCATCCTGCCACCCCCTACCAGCTCTTGTCACCAACCTCAGATTCACACTGGCTGTCAAAGTTGCACTTGTTTTTTGGACTTGCTCCTGCCTCTTGGTGGCTTCCCTGCCTCACAACTTTCCCCGGGGGACAAGACAGACCCCCATGGTGGTTACCGGTTGTGAGATGGAGATCAAACACTGGTAGCTAGGCTCGGCTTTCCTCTACAGCAGCGGTTCTCAACCCCTCTGGGGGTCGAGCGACCCTTTCACAGGGGTCACCTAAGATGTAACAGTAGCAAAATTACAGTTATGAAGTAGCAACGGAAATAATTTTATTTCCACAACATGAGGAACTGTATTGAAGGGTCGCGGCATTAGGAAGGTTGAGAACCACTGCTCTGCGGCCTTTGTGCTTACTCAGGAGTTCCTGTTACAGGAGTCGGGTCATCTGTGACTTACCTTATGCTCCTGTGCCTCCACCACGTAGCGGCATTCCCGCAGGCGTGCCCTGCCCGGAGCCCTGAGCCGTCTCAGGTGCCGGCTTCCACCAGTGATCAGACTGCGCAACCTGGGGGCTTGCTTCTTTCTCAGAACAGGAAACATGCCGATGAACCCGTTTGTTCCCGTTCTGCCTGCAGTCCGAGGCTGGGCTGCACGAGGAGGCTGAGCAGCTCTATTAATTGCTGCTCCATCCTGTGAGCCTTGTTCCTGGGCAAGCGTGTCAGTGTCTGACTTCGTTGTCCTCTATAGAAAGGGCCCCTGCACAGTGCCTGATGCAGCAGGGCCTGACTTTCAGGTCTGGGGCCCCGTGCTCTGAGCAGCCGAGCCCACAGCTAGGCTTTCTGTAAGGGACTTGCTAGAAGATGGGATTTAGCGTGGTCGTTTCCCCAGGGGACGACCTGGGGCCGCATCTAACTTGGCAACAGTCCATGTACACAAAATACTTTCTATCTTCCAGGCCAAGAGGACCCTGAAGGGAGGCCATTAGGAAAGGCCGAGGGTGCAAAGCCAGGCACCTGGTACTGACGGCCCAAGGGCCATGCACCTTGAAACAACCAAAGCTCTTAGGGCCAAAAGGACTGAACCCATTGGGAGGAGCCTCGGACAGAGGGAGTGGGCTCCAGCATCGTGCACACAAGAGTGTGTGTTAGAAAGAGCTACAGGGAACCAGCAACAAAACCCACGCAGGTCACACAGGGCTCATTTCTGTGCACAGGTGTGCACGTGGGCCTCGCCTGGCCCTAAAGAACCTGAGTGTGGGCTGCCGGACATGCTGCCTCCAGATTCTCATTTTTTAAAGAATTTTCACCAATAAAATGTTATCTGAATGTCATGAAGCTCTGGACCTGACTGCCGGTTTGCAGGCCGTACCAGAGATAGAAGGCTGACAGCATGACAGAGACCTCGCCTCAGGGGCCTGGTAAAGGTGCTCGAGCTGGGTTTGGAGGGATAGAGGCTGGGGGAGGAGGAGGGAGGAGTCTGTAAAAGGCAGTGAAGACAAGGCTGAGCCTAGGGGGTGGCTTTAGGAACGCAGTAGCTTCTAGATCAGTGCTCCCCCCTCTTGTATGGGGTTGCCCACGCCCTTCCATAGCCTCCAAGGGAGTCAGAGCCAAGCCTTCCTGACCTCTCTGGTCCCACAGCCCTGTCCCGAGAACACACACAAAGGGGTTCCCCAGTGCCAAGTCTGCTGATTGCACAGCTCATGAGCGCCACCTGCTGGGCATATGGGGCTGCTCCAAGAGGTCACACTGTCCTTGGGCTCCACCTGCCCTGGCATCCCTGAGCCCCGAACCAAGGCCTGTGCTTCTGTTTCCTCTGAAAACTCTACTTCAGAATTAGCCCAACTTAACCCAAGTGGTGAAACCCCCAGTGATCATCTCTCAGTCCCTGGGCGGCTTTTGAGATGCTGCTGGCACTGTTCAAGAGCTGGGGTTGCTGGAGTCACATTTCACAGCAACCGCTGGAGTTCAGGACCAGAAACTGGTGGCATGACCACCCCCAGGGGGCTGGAGGGAGGGGTGGGCCAGGAAACGGCCTCTGGCCTCTGCCTGGACCTTACAGCTCACACCCAGCCTGAAGCAGGGACTTCTCTCCCCAACCCTCCCCCTCCGCTCTGACCTTTGACAGCTTCCAGCACCTCCACTGGGCACACCTGTTCCAGGCCCCACCCAGAACTGTCCCACCAGGTGCTCCCTCCATGTCATACCCAGGGCCGCTGCAGGCTTGCTCTGCTGACCAGCCAGGCACACCCCGAACACCAGCCTCTGCTCCTGGGGCCTCCCGAGATGTCCAGAGGCCCTTCCCCTGGCAGGAGCAGTGCCCGGCACCCGTGCCTCGGCCCACACCCAGGTCCGGGAGGGGTCAGCGAGGTCTCCAGAACCCACTCCTTTTATTACTCGTTTCTCGTTGGCAGGCTGCCTGGTACACAGGAATGCAATAAAAAGTAAAAACGATGTGTGAGGCCCCCAGACCCCAGACAGCTCTCCACAGGGTTTGGAGCTGGAGCACCCCAGTCCCCAGCTGGGGAGCCAGGTGCACACGCCGGACAAAGCGGTGAAGGCCCTGGGCTCTCGGGGCAGCTGCCACACCTGCCAGTGGCTCCAAGGGCCAGAGGGCACCATCGGCTTCTCTGCTCCGTGAAAACCACACAACACAGCACCATAAAAGCTGACATGAACGGGCTCCAGTGAGAACAGCCAGACTGCAGGCCCCTGAGAAACCGCAGACAAGCCGCTGCTGTGTGCCAAGGCCCCTTCCCTCATCCTGCTCACCGGCCCCGAGCCTGGCACGGCTGATGAGCTCTGGGCAGCTCTACCCACAGGGTCTCGGGTACAGGTCTGGCCGCTGGCCAGTCCCTGCATGGCCCCCAAGATGGCTGTTGTGCAGAGCTCCACCCCGTCTTCCTTTAGGTAACTCCACCCACTTCACTACCCAGACTGGAGTGCAGTGCAGTTTTTGTTTTGTTTTTAATCCTCACCCGAGGATATTCTTCCACTGACTTCTAGATAGAGTGGGGTGGGAGTGAGAAACATCACTGAGAGAGAGAGACACATCGATTGGTTGCCTCCCACATGCACCCCGATGGGTGAGGGATTGAACCAGGTACGTGCCCTTAACTGGTAATCGAACCCACAACCCTTCAGTCTGTAGGCCAGCACTCTTAAACACTGATCCAAAGTGGCCAGGGCTTGAGTGGTGTTTTTTAATTTTTTAAATCTGACGATGACTTGGGAAACCAAGGACACGTGGAGCAGAGCCATGTGGTGGGCAGGGTGTGCACGCAGGCTGCCCTCTGACCCCAGGATGGAGTCGCCATCCCACCCTAGGCCCCTCAGACCAGAAGCAGTGTTCAAGGTCAAGGCAGAACGTTTATTAAGATTTTCTACAACACTCAACATGAGACAGGTCAAGTTCAGATAGACGAGGTCTGTGGCCAGGGCTGGTCCCGGCAGCCTGTGCTGGAGCACACTGGGCACGGGACCCTGTCTCAGAACACAGAGTGGTGGTCCCAAGGAGTCCAGCAGGTGGCCACAGTGAGGTAAGATCTGTGTCCATGATGGCAGAGCCCACTCGGGAAGGCCGCACAGTGAGACGGAGCTCTGAGACGCCGCCCTGGACCGTGACATCCAGAACGCGGCGCCCACTGTGCTCCAGGGTCGGTGGTGGCCCAGCCACGGCCGGGTGAGACCAACTGACCAGGAAGGGGGCAGCCACTTGCCGGTGCTCAGGCCTCCTCCAGGGCCCCAGGCGCCTGTTGGATCTGGCGGCTGTGGACCACCCGCAGAGCGCCCCCAGCGGCCTGGCGAAGCTGGGTGTCCAGGGCGCTGCGGAGGTCGTTGACCTGCACGTCGGACAGGGGGTTGAAGCTGATGATGAACCCCTCATTGGGGGCCGGCCTCCCATCTGCGTGAGCCACGTCCCGCCGTTTCCTCCTGAGGTCGGCACCAACCTGAACTTTCAGGTCTCGGTTCGGTTTGGCATTGTCTGGCTTCTGAGCCCCAGGCATGGCCTGTTTGGGCCCAAGCTCAGGGTCTGGCCTCTGCCCAGGCTCTCGGATGGCAGTGTCCTCCCCGGGAGTAGGCACATGGTCCCTGCCCGCGTGGTCCCCATCAAGGGCCTCCTTTCTTGCCTCTGGGTGCCCTCCCTGAGCCCTGGCAGAGACGGCAGGCTGTTCCGGCTGATGTAGCACAGCCTGGGCCGGAGGGGCTGCTCCTCCCGACCTGCTGGACAGGCCTGCAGGCCTCTGGTCTCGGATCACCTGCTGGGGCTTCATGGGAGGGTCCCCAGCCTCTGCCCCCTCTCCTAGTGCGACTGCCACCTCCTGAACATTGGCCCCAGCGGCTGCAGCCTCCTTACGGGATTTGTTCCTCTCCTGAGAGCCTCCACCAGGAATGTCCGGACTCTGCCCAGGGAGGCCCACAGCATCATGCTTCTCTGGGCTCCCGGGTGCCCCGGCGAGGTCTGGCTCTGGGGCCTGCTCCTGCACCCCAGCCACAGGCTCAGCGCCCTTCCGGTCTCCCCTGCGCTCAGTTTGCGCTGCCCGGGGCTCGGTGCCAACACCACCTGGACGGCCTGCGGGGACTCTGCCTGGGGCCCCCTTAGCCTCCTCTAGGGAGTGCTGGCTGTGTCCCTGGGGCAGCGCTGGGGGCTGCCCCGGAGCCCTGAGCTCAGGTTCCAAAGGCTGCAGGGGTGCATGCGTCACGGTCCCCCCATCCTGGGCCTGCTCCTTACTCCTGGGTGCGGCCACCCCAGGCTCGGGCTGCACATCCACTGCAAGTGAAGAGATCGGTTTAGCCACATAAACGAGCAGAAGCCACTGACGCCAAGACTGAACCAACTTGGCAGCAATTAAGAAACAGGCATTGCCACAGAAAGGTGCCAGCAGGACTCGGGCCTCAGCCACCAGAGGCACGGACGTGCCTCCAGCTTCAAGCAACAGCCCTGCCCCAGCCTGGGCCCCGCCCTCTCCCTCCTGGCCCCGCCCCGGGCCGCCCACTTGCCTTCCTCGCCGTCCTGCCTCTGCTGGTGGATCTCCTTGTGCTGCTCCTCGATCACTGCCAGCAGCTTCTCCTGCTGGTCCAGGAGGCGCTTTTGCTGCACCTGCTGCTCCTTGATCACCTGCAGCAGGACGGCGTGGTCCAGCCTCTCCACCCTGCCGGCTTCTGGGGGTCAGAAAACGCCGTCAGAACCTGCGCTGGACCAGGACCCTGCCTGCGATGCCCTGCAGGCTCTTCTTGTTCCCGGCTGGTCAGTGAGGAGTTAGGGGCGGGGGAGGGGCTGCCCGGGGCCACTCCCAGAGGCACAGACTCGGCCTCTGCAGCAGTGGCAGTGTCTGTTCTAACTGCCCTCACACTGCGTGGCTTAGAACCCCCTGCTCCTGCAGCGTCCCAGGTACCCTAACTTGCTCACGGGGTACCTGCCAGGGTGGCACCCATGTGATCTGGGCTGGGTGACTTAAGCTAGAAACTTCTGAAGAAGAACACTGGCACCTAGAGAACGTTTCCTCCCAGGTGAGGACAAAAAACAAATACAAGTGTCTGGCTCTCCAGCTGGGACCTCCACGGGACAAGACCACCACCAACGCACAGGGTGTCCCCACACTGCTCCTGGCCCCGCCTGCAGGACAGGCTGCAGGCCCCACAGAGAAGGAGCCTGGCGAGGGAGGGCAGGCCAGGGCAGCAGGTGTGGCCCCACCCAGAACGGGGCCTGGGGCCGAGACCTGCACCCGCAGCAACCTCGATGGGTGGAAGGGGAGACCGTGTCCCCCAGCACTCCAGCACAGGGCGAGCTGCTCACTGCGGGCAGCCATGTGTAGCACCCTCACAACACTGTCCCTGCAGGACGACACTGTCCGTGCAGGACGCCACGAAGATGTGTGAAGAGCAGGGCTGGCAGGTGTGTGCGCTCACACCGGAAGGAAGGAGCACGTTTAGTGATGAGAGCCACAGCCCAGCAATGGCCCTGCCTGCCAGGCACACACACATACGTGCTGGCCTGTCCTCCCAGTAGTGACCTGTGACCTGCCAGAGCAGTGTGGGGCTGGCCTCTCTCAGGGACTGCATTCCCGCTGGAGGCCAGTGCCAGATGCGCAGGCAGCGGGCCTGTGAAGAACACACCAAGGCCGACCACAGGTGGGACAGGGCCGCGTGGCGGATGGGAGGCAGGGACCCTCGGCCAGCCCACGAGCAGCAGCCCCCAGTCCCCCCAGGTACCATCTGGACATCCCGAAGTCATCAGGACATCTGCTTAAGCATGGCCACGTTCGTGGACGGGATCAGAAATCCACACACCTCCCGTAGATGAAGGAAGCACAGACCAACCAGCCACCGGGGCCTAGGCCATCCGGTCACCCTGGCACCCACGGCTAATGATTACATACAAGTAGACGGGACAAGGCTGGCCCCACATGCTGCTAACACCGCGCCCCCAGGCGGGTTCTAAAGGCGCCGCCCCACGGCCTCACTGGCTCCTTGGAGGACAGCCCTGCACCAACACCAGGAGTGGGGAACACACGGGACAGACATGAATGGAGTGGAGCCGACAAACTGGCCCATGGCCAGAGCCCTCGTGCGGCCCACCAGGACCACAGGGACCAGCCTGAAGATGGGGAGAGCCGCCCGATGTTGACGTGCAGAACGTGTTAGTATCAAGCCATGCACCCCGCAGAAGTTACCCGCGACCCCCATTCCTCCTAGGTGGGCCTTAGGCAACCGGCACTTCCAGACTGTCTTCTTGTGACTGTGGGGCCACCCAGGCTAAGGGGGGCCGGGCCGAGGGCTGTGGCCAGGGGGTGGCCATGTGCGCGGCCGCTGGGCTCTGCCACTCCTGCTCCAGGCCAGGCCTGTCCCTGCATCTCTGGCCTCCACACGCACCTTTCGCTGTGACACATGCCTCCTGATTCCTACCTGCTACTATCTTTTTTATTTCAGCTGCTCATCCCGTTGAGGCATAGGAAGAAAGGCAGAGCAGGAAGCCATGAAAATCCTCTTTTCAGAAAGAAACAAGTCAGAGAAGCACAGGTTTAGGTAGCAGATCCCAAGGGCTGGGCCCAGGAAACGGGACTGAACCCAGAGACGAGCAACGGGGGGTGTTCCCAAAGGAGCCGCTCAGTCGGGTCCCCAAAGCCCCTCCAGGAGCAGCTTGGGGACAGCGAGGCACATCTCAGGGCCCTGCCTGGGGTGGCTGCACCTGGACCCCCAGCACAGGGAGCACGGCGGGGGGGGGGGGGCGGCTGCACCTGGACCCCAGCACAGGGAGCACGGGGGAGGGGCGGCTGCACCTGGACCCCAGCACAGGGAGCACGGGGGAGGGGCAGCTACACCTGGACCCCAGCACAGGGAGCACGGCGGGGGGGGGGGGGGGGGGACTCAACAGTGCCTGGGCTCGCCTGGGCGAGGTCACCAGAGTCATCAGGACCAGCCATCAGGCAGCCAACGGCGAGAATCGTCCACACTGGGCAGAGTCTGGGGGTGGCCACAGCAAGTCTCACTTGCTGGAGAGAAAGGGCCAGAGGAGCTTGCGTTTCGGACAGGTGATGGGTCTTCACTGCGGGTGACACCAGTGTCCCCTCGGCCCCCATTTAAGGGGTGTGGCAGACAAGGGCTGGGGCGCTGTGGGTGGGGGCCCTAGGACAGGCACCAGCCCTCTCCAGCTGGTCAGGAAGTCCCACCCCAAATAACGGCCTGGCGCGCTAAGGCCCGCCCTGCTGGCTGCGAGGCCACGGGGCAGTGTCATCGTCTGCCTCGAGGTGGGACAGCGGCAGCACCAGAAAGCCCTGGGACAGCAGGAGACAACGGTGGTCCTAGGGGGGTGCCGGAGAAAGAGCCGGGGGAGGGGCAGCCTGGAAAGGGCCCCAGCTACAACCCTGGCTTCTTCCCCACGCTCAGGGCCTGGAGAGAGGGGCAGACGTCCCCTGGGGCCTGGGGGATGCGGTGAGAAAGCAGAACCCTTACCTTCCAACCTGCTGCCGGCGTGGTCTCCGGCCTGGCCCTCCACAAGGTCCCCGGCCTGGCCCTCCGGGCTCCTCTGTCCTCGAGGCTCCGCCAGCTGCCTGGCCCCGGGGGCTGGCTTCCCTGCACACACAGTGAACACACAGGTTCCCAGGACACTCAGAAGAGGGGACACAAGAAGCAGGGGAGGGACAAAAGGTGGCAGATGTTCCCTAAAAACGACCCTGCACTCGCCCCTCCCTCCCGTCAGCAGTCCAGTCCACCCTGACGATCACTGGGGAGTAATGAACACGTTTAACAATCTCGCAGGCCGTGGCAGCGAGCCAGCATTCAGCACCCCGGCCAATCAACACGCACAAGCCGTCAACAGGTCCCTGTCAAGCGCTCAGGCGCCGCCCCCGTGTGCACGCAGACCAGGAGTGGCGGCACCTGACGTTCACTGGTGGGCAAGCAACTGCACGACAGATTGGACAGTAGCTGTCGGGCCACCAGACTTGGCGTCCTGCAGCGGCTGAAGGGGGCGCTACCCAAGCCCACTCCGGAGGGCCCCTCCAGACAAGCCCAGGCCCACACCCACTGGGCTTGCCTGCGGCCCCTGCAGCGTGGTCGTGGTCCGGTATCGGGACGCCTTCGGCTGGACCCCCGGCACCTGCCCCCAGGGCGCCCTGCCCCTCAGGGATCACGGCCCGGGGCCCTGGGCGCAGACCCCTGCCAACTGGTTCCTCCTCCGCAGGCTCCGCAGCTGGCTGACCATTTCCTTCTGGGGCCTTCCGGGGGTCTTCAGGGAGACCCCCCATTGCCTCCAAGTCCTGGGCCTGTCCACGTCTCTCTCGCTCTGAATCCGGCGCCCTTTGACCCTTGCCCCCAGGAGCCTTTTCATCCACCTGTTGGGACGAATGTTCTTTGCCCAATACTTCTCGGTCCTGACCTTCATCCACCACCACCCTGTCGTGAGGGACGGGGGGCTCGTGGCGGTGGGCCTCTCCCACGGGTACCGCCACACCTGGAAGGCAAGGAGGACATGTTGGGGAACAGGAGGAAGACAACGGCCCAGCCTCGCCCTGGGACGGTGAGCTGAGCTCTGGTGCCCGACGGGATGCCAAGGCCAGCACGTGCCCGCTCAGACCTGCCTGCTGAGGACCTGCTGTTCCTGGGGAACTACAAGATGGGCAGCTGCAGACCAGCGCTCTGGCCGGGGGCAGAGCAGCGTCTCACACGGAGGCGGGCAGCAGACAGGGCGTGGGCAGGGCTAAGGGGTCCCTCCCAGGGCCGCCAGCACCTGTGCACCCTCAGCCTCCCGCCCAGCCTGCTCCACCTTGTCCGGGCCGATCCAGCTGCACTTCCTCCTGCTTCTCCTTGGTGTCCTCCCTTGGGGGCACGTCCACTGGGCCCTTAATCTGGGCCTGCTCCACCTCGTCCTTCTCACGTGGCAGCTTTGGCTTATTTCGGCCATCCACGGCCACGGCCACGGCCGGATCCTGGCCTGCAAACACAGACGGCGCACTGAGCGGTGTCTGCACATGGTACCCCGCCAGTCAGCACAGAACGGGCAGGTTTCCCTGAAACGTAATCACATTTCCCAGGTGAATGGCAGAACCTAAGCAGTTATTTTTTTCCTGTGCAATCATTAGCAGCTAAGTAGCACAGAAAGCTGTCATTTTTCATGTGTATTCATAACAAAAATATGTCAAAATGAAATTTACACCTGACTGGGTGCAGAAGAGCAACACTCCACGTAACAGTGGCCATCACCACCAGGTGGCAGCACGAACCCACCATTTGCAGGGCTGGGGCTGGGGGTTGAGGTGCCTCAGGAGGAGAGGAGCTTCTGCCCTTAGAAAGTTGACTTGCAATCCTGTCAACCCCTTACTGCTGATGGTGAAAATCAGCATGAAAAGGAGACAAGAGCAGCCCACCGCCAGCGGAGCCGCACCCCTGCCTCCTGCAGCACCTCGCGCTAAACACCCTCTCCAGGGCCCAGTGTCCTCGGGAGGGCGCACGAGATGGCCCACAGAACTGGCCAAAATGGAGCCCAATCGGAAACCATCTCCATCCATTTACTTATTTATTTATTTTTATCCTCACCCGAGGACATTTTTATTTTTGCATTTATCCTCAGATAGAGCAGGAGGGAGAGAGAGAGAGAGAGAGAAACATCAATGTGAAAGGGACACATCGAGTGGCTGCCATCCACACGACCCCATCCAGGGCCGGGGACAAACTGCAACTAAAGTACGTGCCCTTAGTGGGAACCGAACCTGGGTCTCTCTGGTCCACAGGCTAATGCTCTAACTGCTGAGCCAAACCCGCCAGGGCAAAACCGTCTCAATTTATTTTATTATTATTTTTTATTTATTTACTTATTTTTTATCCTCACCCAGGGACATTTTTCCATTTTTTGTTCAGATAGAGTGGGAGGGAGGGAGGGGGGAGAGAGAGAGAGAGAGAGAGAGAAAAACATCGACGTGAAAGGGACACATCGAGTGGCTGCCACCCGCACGACCCAACCAGGGCCGGGGACAAACTGCAACCAAGGTACATGCCCTTAGTGGGAACCGAACCCAAGTTCTCTCTGGACCGCAGGCTGACACTCTAACCGCTGAGACAAACCAGCCAGGGCAAAACCATCTCCATTTAAAACAAACACTTTCTGTGTCAGGTGATCGCGGCAAAAACAGAAGAGCCACAGAGGGAAGAAAAGAAAAGAGCAGCCACTTCACCGAGGCCAGAGCCCCTCTGTCCCATCTGCAAGCGGACGACGGAAGGGCTCAGGGCCCGAGTGGGCTGTGTGGGAGCACTCATGACACTCCTGTTCAGGTGGGGTCTCGTCACCTCGCGGAGGAGAGGGACTCCGCGAGGTGATGGGACCTGCCAGCCAGGGAGGCTCCGGCAGGTGCGGGGAGAGTCAGGCCCTGCTGGCTGGACTCTGGAGTTTCACCAAGCGGCTGGCTCACAGAAGCATGTGGCCGCTGCCCGCACGGGTGAGAACGTCCTGGTCTCTGCCCATAGTGATTCTCCGAGACACCCCACGCACCAGCGAGAAGCGCCATACATCGGAGGTGTCTATCTCGGGACTGCGAGTTAAGACAGGGCCCGGAGGGGGTGGGCAAGACAGCAAAACAGAAAGGAAGTCTTCCCTCTGTCACAGGGGCAAGTCATCATTTCTCCGAAGGGAACAAAGTCAGTCCACCAGCGGTGTGAGGGACAGGCTGAGGCGGTCTGCAGGCTGGCAGTGACCAGGGCCAGTGGTCGCCCAGGGACTTCTGACTCTCAGCCACTTGTGAGGGCCGAGGGGCCCAGGGCCCCACCATGCCAGCAGCCTCCTCAGGCCTGGACTCCACACTCCAAAGCTGTCCACGGACAATGGCCACAGCGTTTTCTAAGTGGGGACAGTGCCAGCAACGCCTCTGGGCTGCAGTAAATCTGACATAAAACTTCAAACAAGGAACTGAAAACAGCCAGCGCCAGACCTGGCTTGGCTTCTGACGGCGACATGACTGCAGGTAGGAGAAGACAGAAAACGTCCCTGTGGCTGGCGGTGCTACTACCAGGAAACGGGGACAGCGGTGTGGACATGGCTGCAGGAGTGGGCTCAGCCCCTTTGTCCCGGGAGGCTGGCAGCCGGTGCAGCTTGAAAGCAGCCAGCAGAGGGCACTCCACGCAGGCACAACACCCAGGGCTCCCAAAGGTCAGTGCTGGCCACCTCACTGGTCCTCGAGGTCATTGCCCAACTCACTCATCCTCAAAGTCCTCATTTGCAACGACCAAAGCAAGAATCACCAGCAATCACTGGCCAACGTAACCAGACCCAGGAAATTGTGAGTTTATGCCTCGTGGCCAGGCTGTGATGGGCCCACCTGCCTGGGCAGTCTGGGTAGCTAGCAGCCTCCCTGCACACTCAGAATGGTGGTGACGAGAGCACACTCCCCCTCCCGAGGTGCTTCAGGCCAGGAGCTCCCCTAAGACAGCAGGCCTATGGCCAGTTACCCCACAGATGCTTCCCGGGCGACCAGTGTGGCATCGGTAATTCTCTAGCTCTGACTCAGGAACACGGGGGGCCAGGGGCTACAAGCACCTGAGGTCCTCGCTCTTCCCCTGAGTGTCCCTGGGGTGGGACACATGACAGTGTCCAGAATGCAGCACCCAAGGTAAGCTGTCTGTCCATGGCAACGACATCCGCATCCGAGGCTGGTCCCTGCGCAGACGGCAGGCAGGGATCCCTTGTCGATGCTGCTCCAGAACCTGTCTCGGGTCCAGAGCTGCACTGCTGTCACCAGCGTCACCCAGTCTCTGTGCATCTTGTGACCAGTGAGGATGAGAGCACTGGTCTCAGACACCAAACAACAAAACACCTAAATTAACCCGAGCGCCACAGACAGTCCTGTCAGCTGGAGGAGAGCTCCAAGTGCAGGGGACGCATGAGACCCCAAGGCCACGCCCTCACAAAGCAGGAGCGGCACCGACACTGCCTACGAGCCAGGCCCTGCCATGAGTGACGGCCTCCTGACACCAACCCTGCCTTCCTCCGGACACCCGCCGCGAAGGCGTATCCCGTGGCTCAGCTGGGGCTGACTTCTACCCCCTCGCCTTGACCTAGTAGCAGGGGGACTGCGACTATTACCTTCTCTCGTCTCCCGAGTGGGACCCCGTGGTCCTGCTGGGCCCACGAGCAGCACGCAGGACGGGCGGGCCGTTCACTGAGCCAGGACGGCCCAGGGCGCTCGGGGCTGGGACATGGGAGGCAGTGCTTCTGCCTGTCCCCAGGGCCCTTCTGAACTCAGGGAGGGCCCACAGGCTGGGTGCCAGAGAAATGGGCTCCCCGCCACGTCCAGCACAGGGTGGAACCTCGGACAGTCACAAGGTCGGCGGGCATGTGCAGCAGGCGGTGGCTGCGAAGCCCCAGCAGGGCCCAGGGCACTGGCAGCACCGTGTCGCTCCCAGACCCGAGGACAGACGGTGAGCGTGTCTCCTCACACACGTGCCGGCATCGGTCGAGGAGGGAGGATGCTTCCCAGCCTGAGCACGGCGGGGGGGGGGACGGCTGGGGCAAGTAACTGAGAGGGGCCGTGGCCTGTGGTCACCCTCTGTGTCCGGCATCCACACCAGGGACGGTCACCACCTGCAGGCCGTCCCCTCATCCAGCAGGTACCCCGAGGCCCCTCCTGGCCCTTCCCCACAGAGCAGAAGTACAGCCTTTCCCCCCTGCTATAGGAAGGGGACAAGTCATACAAGGGGCATGGGCCACAGTTGCTCCCCAACACCGTGGAATGGGGGTGCAGAAGCTGAGGAAAGGAAGGGCCGGCGCAGCCGCGGGGTTTCCAAACCTTCGCCAGCCTGCACCCAGGGGCTCCCAAACACAGCGAAGCCTGACCAGCCTTTCCAGATGGGCGACCGCTGCCCCGTAGTCTTCGCAGGGCTCAGCACCTCTCCCCCGCCCCACACTGCGTACGCGCGGGCCTGCGCCATGGGCTGCACGTGTCGCCAGGAGGCAGGGCCCCAGCTCACTCCCAGGGCAGCGCCAGGCTCTGAGGAAAGTTGGTACCACTCGCCACTGAGACATCAAAGAGACCAGCGAGCCGCTCACACGCCGACAGTCAGGGTGCACGGCGCGGGCCCCACAGTCAGGGTGCACGGCGCGGGCCCCGCAGCCCGGCTCCACTTCGGTGAGGCAGCCCATCAATTACGGGGGAGGCCGGGGCGAGAAAGCCAGAGAGCGCGCTGAAAACAAACGGCATGTGGTTCCGAGGGCCATGTGTTCTGCTGCTGCCTCGTGGACTAAATGGGAACCAGATGTGGCCACGGGCTCCAGGTGAGCAGCGCCCGCCTCCAGGACAGGATGCAGCTGCTCGGCTGGGCGGGCTGCCCGTGCTGACTCACGCCGAGAGATCCGCCACCGGCACGCCGCAGCCAGCGCAGGAGGAAAGCCAGTGCCCACATCCAGCCCTGCTGGGGTGTCCCCAACACACAGGGTGCACATGCCTGGGCCAAGGGACCCAGTGGGGCGACAAGGTGGGCCCCTGACATACCTCCTTCTTCATGTGGACTTTTTTCCATCCAAACTACTGAATTCGTGCAACTGGCCATGGACGCCCTGCAGCTCCTGGCCACTTGGGCCCTGCATTCCCAGGGGTCTTCTCTGCAGGAACCCCACTAAGGGGGCCCCATGGGCCCAGGAAAGCAGGAGGAGCAGGCCCACTCGTCCGTGAGGGGTCCCACGGCCCGGAGAGACGGCTCCCAGCAGGCAGTGGTTTCGAGCACAGGGTGAAGCAGAACGAGGCAGCAGCCAGAACGAGGCAGCAGCCAGGCCGAGGCTGGCCCACCGCTGGCCCTCGAGCACCGGCCCCGACCGGCCCTCGCTGGCCCTTCTCCTCTGCCCATCACGGCGGGTGAGGAGCCTCAGCTGAGCTCAGAGACCACGCTGCCTGCATCCCACGGGCAGGGCCACAGCACCAGGGCCCTGGGAGGTGGCCTCATGAGGGAAGGAGTGAGGGTCATCACTCCACCAAGAACAGGTGGACCAAGAACAGAACATGAAGAGGACACAAGGCACAGGAGCACCAATGACTGTGTCCAGGCAAAACCTGGATGAAAGGTACACCCTCAAAACTAACAAATGTGAGTGACACCCACAAACGCATCACCTGTCTGCGCCCTGAGTCAGGGCATGGAGGTCTCAGCCTTGCTGTCCCCATCTACCAGCTGTCCCCTGCACACAGGTGGCTGCCCCCAGCCTCTCCTCACCCAACCGGACAGAAGCAGCTGGGCAACAGGAGCCTGGAACCTGCACCTGTGCCTCGTGATCCTACGGGGCCACTGCTGGGGCACCTCCCAGAAGGCTGTGGGGCTGGGGGTCACGGCGTACCTGGGAGCCACGTACCTGGGAGCTGGGCCGCTTCCACCTTCATTGCGCCCTTGGCCTCTGCGAGCTGACCGCCAGGGGCTTCCTTTGCCCAGTCCAAGTCCGCAGGGGTCTCCTCACTTACGGACAAGGTGGTAAGTGTGCTGACCACCAGGATGCCCAGGCCGACCCAGAGCACCACCTGGATGAGACAGAGACCCCGAGAGCAAGAAGGGTCACATAGTCCCCAGGCCTCCGCCCTTCCCGAGGAGGAGGGAGGCATGAGAGGGGCCAGGGGCACAGTGCTCAAAGGCCCGGCTGCCGGTCTATCCCTCTGGCCATTGGAGCTGATGGTCCCTAACTGAGCGACATGACCAGATCACCAGCCCAACCTGCTGAAGCGGCACTGGCAATGCGAAGCCGGAGGAGAGGGGCGTGTGTGTGACACGGAGTGCCTGCTGGTTGAGACCCAAGGTCTACACGTGCGAAACTGCAGCCACACTTCCGAGTGTGTTTCTCAGAAGACTCGGGTTCCTCCGAACAGGAAAGCAACATGCTGGGAAACAGAGGCAGCAGCACACACGCATGGCAGCCACGGCCACCACCTCTCCCCACACAGCCTACAGTGAGGCTCAACGCACAGCGCGGCACACAGCATACGCTCTGTCCCCGAGGCTGCGTGTGCACATGTGAGTACAGCCATGTGAGTGCACCTGCAGTGGAGCACACAGCACATGCTCTGTCCCCGAGGCTGTTTGTGCACGTGCATGTGCGTGTGCAGCCATGCACATGTCTGTACACCGAACCAAAAGCTCAGGCTCAACAGGCACACACTAGATGCTGTCCCATTAAGTCAGGAGGAAGAGGAGCCTGCCCCTCACACCACTGCACCAGGGCCAGGGGTGTAGGACCAAAGATTAATGAACATTTGAAAGGCCTAGGCTCCCTACACACAAACAACAACCAGTTAGAAAAACTAGGGAAGATGAGGCCCCAGAATCAGCCGTGTGGGCCGGGTGCAGTACTCAAGACACGAAGCAAAGGCCCGGCCCTGTCACCGCACAGGGACTCCTGAGGACAGGCTGGAGGTTAGCGAGGGTATAAAGATATGGACTCTTTCTAAGTTTATCTCCAGCTTCAATGAATTCCAATTAGACCAAAACACAAGAAACTGGAGTTATTTTTGTTAAGAGTGAGATCAGCTGATGTGAACATTTATATGGAAAATAAACAAGTAAGACCATGCAAAAATATTAACAAAAGCAGAGAAGGATTAGAATTGAGTGCCCTGGAGCAGCACGTCCTGGTGCAGGGCTCACTGTCACAAGCGTGGTAACTGTAACAGTGAGGAGGCCATGTGACTGGACAGGCCAGCCTGCGAGTCCAAACAGGAGTCCCAAACGAGGTCCAAACACACACAAGAATGTAACGCGAGAGAGTGGTGATGTTCACACCCTTGATGGACCACGGTCTAGGGAGCCACCTGGAAAAAGCACGCAGCGTGACTCCCTTGCTTGTTACACCAAACAGAAGACAGATGGATCGAAGACCTAAATGAACAAGTGACATCACAGAAGAAGCAGAACGAGGGAAGAATCTGTTCATGTAGCACTGGAGTGGGAGGGTCTTTCTAACTCTGACTTTTCTCCCCCAAAAAGAGTCTGATGGACTGAAGCACTGAGACTAACAAACTGGGAAAACCGCCTGCGATCGACAGGTGACATGCTGAGTCCCCTACTGCGAGCAGTTCCTACAGCCACTGGGATGCTTCTGCGTCTGGCGGGAATGGAAGGCAGGCGGCAGACAGCCCCCCACTCTCGACAGCTGTGAGAGCTGAATAAGAACGTCCCTGGGCCCCGACTGAGACACTGCCACACAGCCTGGACCTGAGGGCAGGCCCAGCAGGCACCGGTGCATCAGCCTGGACTCGCACACACACCAGGAGGGCGCCAAGGGTGAGGGGCTCCGCTCCAGGAGTAGAGGTGCCACGTCCTGCGCATCATCCCCCCAGGGCCAGTGCCCCTGACAGCTGTCACAGCCCCACAGGGAGCCACTGCCTAGGGGTGGACACTCAGCAGAGAACTGAGAGGTCTCAGGGGTGGCGTTCCACTGAGACCCAGGGAGTGGGGAGTGAGGGCAAAGCAGAGGCAGATTCGAGTCACCTGGACACAGGCTCCGCCATCCTGTCTGCTGCACCGTAGAGAAGCCCATCAGAACCTTGATGGTTCTTACACGCAACGTCCACAAACTACCAGGCACGCCAGGAGGCAGGGCCAAGGGACGGAAAACCAAGAAACCCAAGAATCCACGTAAGTCAATATTGACTATCTGAAACCATAATGCCTTGAGGACTTTAAAATGTAGGTAAAATACAAACAATGGCACCAAAGGCCAGAGGCGGTGAGTGGAGTTAAATGGAAGGCACCCTGCCCTGCCTTGTCTCGGAAGCAGGAGATAACGAATTTGCCACCAACTCAGAGGAGCCAAGGCTCCTACTGAACGGGCCTGTGCACCACCAGAAGGACAGGCGTGCACAGGACCAGCTAGCAGAGGAATCGGAAAGAAATACTGAAAATGCTTGATTTACCCAAAAGGTAGCAAACAAAAAGAAACAAAAAAGAACAGATGGGACAAATAAAAAATAAAGAGTAAGACGGAAACTTTAATCCCTCCAAAATCAGTAATTACATCAACTGTAAACAGTCTTAAATACTCCTATTAACAGACTGGATAAAAACAAAGCAAGACAAAGCCAACCATATGCTATTCTAAGAGACACACCTTAAATGGAGAGGCAGAGAGAGATCAAAGAAATGGGACGCAAAAAACTACACTGTGCAAACATAAACCCCAAACAAAGCTGGGTTTGCTACACTGTATCAGACAAGGCCGACTTGAGAGAAGCACCTCCAAAGGTAAAAGGGGGCATCTCACGAGGAAAAGGGTCAGTTTAACAAGATATAACCGTCTTAAACCGGTATGTTCTAATAACACAGCTTCAAAATAAAAGGTAAGAATTGTAGAAGAAATAAACAAGTCTACAATTACAGTGGGGATTATCATTCCTTTTCCAGAATGATAAACAAAAAGATTTAAAAGTCAGTAAGAATGTGTAAAACCTGAACATCGCAGTTCATAAACTTGACCTAAACACTGCTTACAATAAGTGCAGACCACACAGCAAGGTGAACACCACCGGGGGGACCATGTCCTGGGCCACAAAGAGTCTCCACCAGTGACAAAGGACTGAAGTTCAGTGTGTGTCCTCCAGCCACACAGGGGCGATGCGCAAAGTCAGTAAGAGATCACCAGGAAAAGCCCCGAAGTGGGTGGAAGGAGAAAGACCCGTGGGCACTGGAGAAGCTGCGAATCCACAGCTTGTGGCCGCAGTCGAGGGAACAGGCCGTCCTGGAAGAAGCTGACCAGCCGATTCTCGCGCTGGGTCAGAAACGCAGGGGCCAGGGCAGGAGACCCTGAAGAAGGATGCGTTGGAGGACTTCTACGGCCCGACACGGAGACTGTAGGCCACCCCCACCAACACAGGGAGCACTGCTCCACGCAGGGGCCACAGTCCCACACCCGCACAGGGGCCAGGTGCCGTGGGGAACACAGGAAGCTGGCCAACCAGAGCCCACCAGCCTCACAGCAATCAAGTCCACGCGCTGGGAGCGAGGAAATAAAAAGCCTCCACAGGGTGACCCGGGAGCCTATCTTCAGGACTGGGGACATGCAAAAGTTTTTTCTTTAATCCTCACTCAAGGGTATGTTTTTCATTGATTCTAGAGAGCGAGGAAGGGAGAGAGAGAGAAACATCAATCGGTTGCCTCCCATACACACCCTGACCAGGGATTGAACCCACAACCTGGGTGTGTGCCCTGATCAGGAATCGGATCCGAGACCCATTTGGTACACAGGACGCCGCTCAGCAAACAGCCACACCTGCCAGGGCAGCACAGACTTTTAACTGTACACAGCAAGCGCCCAGCAAGAGAAAGGCCCAGCAAGCCAAGCCACACTGAAATCGAGAACATCTGTGGGCCGATGTGTCCTTCAGAAAGTGAGGGGCAGCCAGGAGTGAGAGCACCATCTGCTCTATACGTGTCTGGAGAAGTTGTACTGAACCTCTAAGACATCTACAAATCAACACGGAAAGAGAGACAACCCGATTGATTGAAGATGGTCAAAAAGACGCCACATGGAGGACACCACCTGGAATGGACAGGCCCCAGCCTCATCCGTCACGGGAGACCACTCACTGCACAGCCGCTAAAGGCTGGGACCCGTGGAGGGAACGGAAGAGGTCAAAGCCACTGGAATTCTAACTTAGTGCCAATGATCACTTTGGAAAACTAGACAAAATTTGGTAAAACTCACTAAAGCCAGTTAGATATGACCCCAGACCCAGCAACACCCTACCCAAGGGGCAACCAACAAAGTGCACGCTTGTACACCCGGAGCCTGGGGCAGCCCCCAGGACCCTGCCCACAGTGGGTGGGCGCAGACATGGTGCTAAGGATCCCAGGCACGCAGACACGCACCCTAAGGCCCTGCCTGTGCCGATTATTCCAAAGTGCTAGGAGACAGTAACCTCTGGGGAGGAAGGATGGCAAGGCATCCCCAGAAAGCCTGGGGCACCGAAATGTCCGGATCCACCCTGGATGGTGGTTTGGCGGCGAGCTCACTTGGCCAACACGTACCAGGCCACACACATGAACTGTCCTGCTGTGTGGACACTATCTTTCTAAACACTACCAAAACGTATCAACAAGGAGAAGCCCAACGACTCCACAAAAGGCAAGCACACAGAAGGGCAGCTCACAGAGAAGAAATGCCAGGGCTTCTCAACACCAGACACTCCACCGCGGTGAAGGGAGAGGCCGGCACCGGCTGCCAGAGTGGCTGGAGTCCATGCAGGCTCCGGGGCGGTTCCGTGTGCCCACGCCCTCTGACGCCTCCCTTCCGTTTCTCTGTTTTTAAACACCAAAGGCTTCAACCCCCCAACCAGAACACACCGTATGTGAGTTCTGCACTTTTTGTTTTTTATTTATTTTTTTATAGAGAGATAGAAACATCGATGAGAGAGAACATAGATCAGCCACCTCCTGCACGCCCCCTACTGGGGATAGAGCCCACAACCGGGCATGTGCCCTGACCAGGAATGGAACTGGGACTTCTCAGTCCACGGGATAGCGCTCCGTCCACTGAGACACAGCCGGACGCACTTCCATTTCTTTTTTTTTCTTTTTCCTCACCGAGGACATTTTTTCGATATTTTGTTCAGATAGAGTGGAATGGAGAGAGAGAGAGAGAGAGAGAGAGAGAGAGAGAGACATCAACGTGAAAGGGACACATCAAGTGATTGTCACCCACATGACCCAACCAGGGCCGGGGACAAACTGCAACCGAGGTACGTGCCCTTAGCGGAAACCGAACCAGGGTCTCTCCAGACCACAGGTAGACACTCTAACCGCTGAGCCAAACCAGCCAGGGCACACTTCCATTTCTTAAAGCTTCCTACAGACACCTTCTCAAACCTATCAAAATGCTCATGTACTGACACATGTCCCAGCTTGTCGGTCCCAGGGGAAGACTAGAGGGGTGACTCCATCAGGAAGTCCACAGAAAGACAGCTGGGTGGGCTCAGGAGGGGTGGAGATAGCGGCAGGGACGTGACACACGGACACACATTAGGGGAACAGCAGTTCAGTATTTGATGCTGATAAGTTGGTGCAACACCCACAAGGCCCTGGGACCTCCCCAGGCACATCTGCTAGAGCTCGGGGGGGGGGGGGGGGACCTGCCATGAAAGACCCCTCACCTGGGCTTACCCGTGTCTCCCAGACCCATGGGACCAAGTACTTCTGTTCTCAGAAGCCATAGGAGAACCCACCGCCTCCTTCCCAGACCCCAGGGGGTGCGGGTCTGCCAAGGCTGAGCAGCACGCACCTGGGAGAAGAGCGTGTTCTTGTGGACTTTTTTGTAGATCAGAGCCGGGCAGATGAAGCAGATGAGGCTCCCCATGGTTGCGCCTGTGAGGCCCAGGATCGTCTCCACTGAGGACGAGACAGGAGAGTGAGCACCCAGGGGCCTGGAGGGACCACACGTAGGCCTCCAGCCTGCAACCAAGGCTCATCCCAGCCCCCGAACAGGCCAGGGGCAGGGCCACACCCTGTGCCCCCGGACGGACGGGCCAGGGGCAGGGCCACACCCTCTGTGCCCCGGACGGGCCAGGGGCAGGGCCACACCCTCTGTGCCCCGGACGGGCCAGGGGCAGGGCCACACCCTGTGCCCCCGGACGGGCCAGGGGCAGGGCCACACCCTGTGCCCCCGGACGGGCCAGGGGCAGGGCCACACCCTGTGCCCCCAGACGAGCCAGGGGCAGGGCCACACCCTGTGCCCACAGAGCACTCAGGACCTCCGACTCAGCTGCCTTTCGGGCACCTGCAGGCGCTCCTTCCCAGCTGTGGCGCCTCGGGCAGGTCCCCTGCTCCGTGCCTCAGTTCCCTCACTACCAGCACTCAGTCCGTCGTTGTGTGAACCTTACGGAGGCAGCAGGAGCATCTCCCTGGGACCCAGCACAGTGTGAGGCCCAGCACTGCCGCTCTGACTCCTTGGAGAAGCCTCAGGGAAGCTTCTCGATGGCTCAGCTTCAATCACCCCAACCAGGGGTCGGCTCCACACCATGGGCTCCGCGTCACTCCTGCTCAGTCAGTTCCCAAGCAGACTGTCCCAGGACGTGTGGGGGCCTCTGGGTTGTGACCGGGTACCTGACGACCACGAGCTGTGTCTATCCATGCGGAGCAGGACATCTGACACCAGGAGCCCGGCTCAGAGGCCTCACCTTTCCCCTGGCAGGGTGTCATCACCTCAGGGCGACAGGGCGGAAGGAGCCGGGCCCCTGCACTGTGGCCTGCCCAGCAGCTCAGGCTCCACGCCTGCAGTCCCTGAGCTGCCACGTTTGCCCCACACCTTGCACGGGTGCCAAAGAAGCCCGAGAGTCTCCAGACTTCTCAGGAGACCCTGAGCCAAGGCGGCGCCTGGTGCCCACGTGCAGCAGCGGGGATGCGCAATGGGAGATGGGAGGGGGCCGAGCAGCAGAGGACGGGGACTGAAGCACCCTCCCACTTACCGTTGGGGATCATGATCCCACCAACCATGGTCCCAAACACGACAGAGAGGGTGAGCGCCTTGAACCGCAGGGGCGGCATGTAGCCTCCGGCAGCGAAGGTCCCATCTTTCTGCTACACACAGAAGGAGATACAATGACAAGGCTTGAAGACACCGGTTTCCCCACCATGCTCCTGGGAAACTGGCTCCATGAAACACCCCCGGTCTCGGTCAGGACCCATGTGATGCTCAGGAAGACAAGTGAACGGCTGGCCGTGGGCGGCAACCAACCCCACAGCCCTGCACCTCCGTGCCGTTTCCTCCTGCGCAAACGGGCTGCCGGCGAGGACCGAGCGAGGCGGGGGGGGGGGGGGGGGAGCCTTCAGCAGCATGGGGCACACGGGGACTGGCTGTGAGAACTCCCCCAGGGGGCGTCAGGGCCTCCCAGACCCAGAATTTCAAGCACCCGCTTTCCAAGTCACAGGCACTTTCTCAGGACAGATGGGGGGATTTCTGAGCAGCCTCAGGGCGGTAACCTTCTCCACCTTCTGGCCCAGGACCTCCTGCGTGAGATGTCCACCCAGACACACTTGAGAGAGGAGGGGGAGCTGTGTGCACAGGGCCCATGAGAGTCCCTTCGAGAGGGGGAGTGTGGGAGGCCAGCAGCCAGGTCACTGACTGAGCGCAGAGCTGTGGGGGCTCCTGCAGGCAGAAGGCGGGAAGGGCCTGCTGCGGTGCTGCAAGGACAGGCAGTCGCCCTGCGTCCCTGTGACATGAGTGCACTTCCCGAGTCACGACCTCTGGGCCCCTGCTGACTTCCACCTTCGCAGTGATGAAGGTGTGCTCCGCACAGAGCACGGCTCAGGCCCAAGGCACACGTCTGCCTCCAGCACAAAGACGTAGGTTGGCAGCCCACAGGGTGGGGGCCAGGCTGGACGTTGGGGGTGGGGGGCTACAGCCAGGAGACGCTGCCACCACCCCACAAGAGACAAAGTGCTAAGTCAGGCTTGGCTTGGTGCCCACTGCCTGAATGGCTAATGGGGTGAGGGGCAAACCAGACAGGGAGGACAGCCAGTCCTTCAGGGCTCGGCCTCTACCAGGGACTGCCACCTCTAGGGGCAGGATCCCTGGGACATGGTCTTGACCATGTGCTGACCATGTGGACAAGGAGCCCTGTTTCAGCTGTTCCGGGCCTGGGGGTCCCACCCTCCCCAATCTGGCTATCACACTCTCCCCAGGAGTCTGGACCACACACCATGGCCTAAGCAGTCAGGTGGGACTTTGTGTGGCCACCATCAAGTCCTGGCTGCTACCAAAGACCAGGCTCAAGGACCTCGGGCCAGGGACATGACTGCCAGAACAAGGCCACAGGCCCGGGCTCCTGAGCCGTCCTTGGGCTCAAGCTGTTGCACGTTGCCTTTTGTTGTCAATTCGGCCACGGTCAGAGTCAGAACTGGACAGCTTTCACCAGGTCCTCGGCCGTGCCGTGTCTGCACACGGGACGCCCAGATGTCTTTGTGTCAAGCTGTGAACATGCTCAGTCACAGAAACATGGGGGACAGTGCCCGGACCTCAGTGCCCCTCCGCTCACCTGTCCGGGATCAGCTCCTGAAGGTCAGGCGGGCCCACCCCAGGACGGCTCGAGCGCAGCCCGGCCGCCCGCTGCCCCTCCGGGGAGCCCTCCGGGGAGCCCCTCCCTGTGTGCGTCAGTGCGCTGGTCTCGGTGCTGGCGTTTTCCTCCAAAGCTGTTTCTAAAAATCCCTATTGAAAGATTTCACTCTGCCCGGCCGGTGTGGCTGAGCGCCGGCCCTGCACCAAAAGGTCACCGGTTCGATTCCCAGTCAGGGCACATGCCCAGGCTGTGGGCCCGATCCCCAGTGGGGGGCATGCAGGAGGCGGCCAATCCATGTTCTCTCTCACTGATGTTTCTATCTCCCTCTCCCTCTCCCTCTGTAAAATCAATAAGAAAGAAAGTTCACTTTCATTGGCGCTCTTACGATTCGCCTAGGCGAGCTCGACTGCCACTGCCCAGGAAACTAGAAAACCAGGACAAGCACAGGAGGGACATGTGAGACACAGTCCCATGTTCCCAGCACTCGGGGTCTGCAGGGCGGGGGCCTCACCTGCTGCTCGAATAGCAGCGTGTTCAAGGCCTGTCTGCAGGGCAGGATCATCATGGGGAAGCCCACGGCCACCGACATCATGAAGCCGGCGCGGACCATCTGGGTCACCAGGTTGGAGGGGAAGTGCGTCAGCACGTTGCCGGCGATGGCCTCAGTGAAGCTCACGTAGCCGAAGAACCCCACCTGCCGGAGGACAGAGGGCACGTGCTGGGGCCTCCCCCTCCCTGGAAGGACCTGTGCGCACCCCACAGCAGCCCTGGCCAGCCTCGAGCGCCCGCCAGCCCAAAGGTGAGGGTCCCACCCAGCTTTTCACGAGGACAACAGGCCCCAAGAAAGTGGAGCGCCTGCGTGAACAGGCAGAAACCAAGGGCCCACAGGCCCTGCACACAGAGGGCAGATGGTCATGGGGTTTAAATCCCAGCCAGGGCACGGTGGGCACACCATGTCCCCGTGGACGGAGACACTGGGTCCGCGGCAAGCTGCACAGACCATCTGTAAACAGGACTGAAAGATGAGACCACGAAGTTCGGGGCAATGAGCCAGAACCTTGGCGGATTCATCCTTCTGCCCGTGACATAATGCAACAGCTCCTTCCTGCTCGCATCTGCTGACCTGTCTGCGGACCCGCCGAGGCCAGGCAGTGCCGTCCTCCGGAGTGCCCCTGGGATGGGAGCGCCACGGCGGCCCTGGCCCAGCGGCTCTCGGTGGCCCCATGGCACTGAGGAGCAGGCCTGCCTGCAGGGGACTGAGGGCAGGAGTGAGGTCCTACCATGACATAGAAGGTGGTGACCACGTTGAGGGCGGAGGCGAAGATGGAGCTCATGGTCTTGACCGCTGGCTCGTCCAGGCTGTCGTAGGTGGGCAGGACCTGACTATGAAACAGGCTGCCTCACAAAGCAGGTTCCCACAAGGCATGCCTTCTCGGGTCCTCAGCCCAAGACTGCGACGCCTCCCCTCCCGCCGCACTCGCCACCACGTCACTCAGAGCCCAGCGAGATGCTGTGGCACGGGGGGGGGGGGGGGGGGGGGGGGGGGTGCTCAGAGCCCTCCCCTCACTCCTGCAAACACTTGAGAAGGCGGCAGACTGAAAGGCCGTTTGTCCCGCTGCAGCAGGAGCGCCGGGAGCTCCGGGAGCGCGGGGCAGGGCAGCATGTTTACAGGGGAAGCAGGAAGCGGTTCAGAGCGCTGCTGTCAAAAGACTGGCAAGTTAAACAAACACAAGCTGCCTGGATGCCGCCCATCTCTGCGCCTCGGAGGGCGGGGAGCCGCCTGGACAGGAGACGGGAGACGACAGAAGAGCGGCTCCTGTCCCACAGCCCGGGGCCAGCCACACAGTGCTGCTGGGCGGGGAAAGCGTGTGTCCACGTGGGCTCTCCGGCGGGACTCAGAGGGGGGGACGAGGAGGTCTGTGGGCAGCCCAGGAGGATGGAGCTGAGCTGGGGGCGTCCAGACAACAGAGCAAGGGGTGACGCTACGCCGAGGGTGGCCACCCTGCAGTCCCCTCTGCTGTGGTCCCAGTGGAGCTCACAGACACGGCCCCAAGGCAGCCGTGGCCAGTGGTCACGCTGTGCACGAGTCACACTGGCCCAAGGCAGTGGGCAAGGGTGCATCAGGACAAAATCATCGGCGGTAAGTGGACAAGCACAGAAGTCAGTGGAGCCAACCCCTAAAACCGCCTTTAAAAAGTGAGACACAGCTCTGGCTGGTTTGGCTCAGTGGTTGGAGCATCAGCCTGTGGACCAATGAGTCGTAGGTTCGATTCCGGTCAAGGGCACATATCTCAGTTGTGGTTTGTCCCCGGCTTTGGTCAGACTCGTGTGGGAGGCAGCCAGTCGATATGTCTCTTTCACATCGATGTTTCTTTCTCTCCCCGCCCCCCTTCCTCCCTCCACCCTATCTGAAGATAAATAGAAAAATATCCTTGGGTGCGGATTAAAAAAAAAAGTAAGATGCAAACTAGAAGACGTGCTAACTTTAACACAAAGTAAACGACTACAACAGGTGGGGAGACCTGACTGCCAAGAGCTGACGCCCCTCTCTGCCCCTGCACACAGGTCTCATCAGGCCACCCCAGTGGGCGGGGGTCACCTGAGGACCGGGAGGCACAGGCCAGTGCAGCCAGGAAGCGGCACAAGATGCCGGCTCCTGGGGCTGGAGCAGGGTCCCCAGCAGGGAGCCGTCTGGGCAGCAGCAGGCCCAGGACAGGCTTCCCCCCTGGCCCCTGCACACACAGAAGCCCTGGGAGCTGTGGGTGCTGTGGGGAGGGGCTGCACACAGATAAGTGTGGAAAGGCTGGGCGCTGCCACCCCAATCACGCCTGTGCCCCAGGGACCCCACAGCGGCCCACCTCCGCACTCCGCCTTGCTCAGCGGCCCCCATGACTCGTTCAGCTGAGTTGGACACAGCCTTGTCCATGCAGACCCCGGGCATGATCTTCCTGCCCCACTGCCCAGACCCGGGCCCTCACATTCCCTGGGCACTGCGGCTCTGCACCCCACACTCACTGACTACAAAGAAGACCAGGAGCCACACAGTGGCGGCGAAGCGGAGGCCTGGCCGTCCCCACGAGGAGACCAGTCACGCAGGCAGGGCCTGGCCATCACTGGCCAGAGCAGGCAGGAGCCCCCATCCCTGCTCGTGCTCCAGTGCAGACATGCGGAGGGAAGAGCCGTCTCCACCCCCGGACGGGGAAGTCAGCAAGCTGCCGGGCACTGGGGGACATGATGTATCCGCAGGCTCACAGCCTCTGAGCGGCAGAACGAGCCATGTTCACAACAGTCCGACCTAAGAACCCCACAGATACGCGATGGCTGCCACACAGCCACCGCCAAAACAGACCAACTACGGAGTCGTTTGTAAAAAGCGAATGCAAGACCGAAGGGCCGCCCTGGCTGGTTTGGCTCAGCGGTTAGAGCGTCAGCCTGCGGTCTGGAGAGACCCGGGTTCGGTTCCCGCTAAGGGCACATACTTCGGTTGCAGTTTGTCCCCGGCCCTGGTTGGTCGTGCGGGTGGCAGCCACTCGATGTGTCCCTTCACGTTGATGTTTCTCTCTCTCTCTCCCTTCCTCACTCTCCCTCCCACTCTATCTGTGCAAAAAATGGAAAAATATTCTTGGGTGAGGATAAAAAAAAAAAAAAGACCGAAGGGCCCACTGGTGACCAGGCACCCAGTGAGAGCACGTCACTCCCCCCCACGAGGAGGGGACACTGGTGACCAGCACCCAGTGAGAGCACGTCACTCCCCCCCACGAGGAGGACACAACAGGAAGGAGGCGCGTGTTCCAGCCGAGACGAGCTGCAGGGAGGCGCGGCGGGAGGCGCGGCCTGGAGCGCGTGGGTGAGAACACACAGGAGGAACGCACTCCATGCCACTCTGCTGTGGGATTGGTGCGACTGTGCCCACGAGAGCGCTGGCAGGCCGCTCTGCCAGCCCTGCACAGGGATGGTCTTTTCCCGTCCACACCGCGTTCGCGCCTCTCTCCTGAGTGGGTTACTGGCTCTCGCCATCGGTGGCGAAGGCAATGCGCTGGAGCTGTGGAGACAGCCTGGTCTGCGCTGAGCCCGCGGAGGGAGACGCACGAGGGCCGCTCACGCGTCCCAGAGGCAGCCTGCAGGCAATGTTTGTGCAACTTCCTTTCAAATGTTCTCACGCAAACAGCTAGCTTCTGGCAGAACGCTCGGGACTCTGCAGATCAGATGGCTGGCTGCTCTGCGCTCCCACCGCCAGCGCTTCCGGGGAGGGGCTGGCAAACCGGGCTCTCACCCGCAGTGCCGGCACATTGCAGGAATCAAGTCAACATCTCTACGTGAAAGATGGATGGAAATATAACGCTCTCCCTCAAGGGGAAGGGCAAGGGTCATAACTGGACAGGACCCAACTCTTCAGTGGCCTGTACTGAGCAATTAAAGCAAACAGATGAGGCCCGCGGCCCAGCATCGGACCCCCACACAGCACACAGGCCCACCTGGGCCCCAGGAGTGGGTGGTACTTACGACTGGCAGGCAAAGGACATGCCGAAGATGGGGATGCAGCGGAAGACGCCCTCCCAGCGGACGTAGCTGACCCGCCGCAGCCACTGCCCGCCGAAGAGGCCATGCTTGAGCGAGGACAGCAGGATCTGAGAGAGGAGAGGAAAGGCGCTCGGAGACGAGTCACCCTGCTCCGCGTCTCAGCCGCGTACACCTGCGGCAGGCCTGGGCCGCCAGCTGGGGGCCAGGGGCCTGCACCTTCCGGGTCCCTGGCCTCTGCTGGGCCACAGCTGGCCAGTGCTGCCAAGAGGAGCACCCGCTGCAGGGCCCGCCTGGAGCTCGGGCAGCTGCCTGCGCAGGGCCCTCAGCCAGCGAGCAGCGCGGCCCACTGCTGTGCTCACTCTGCTGCCTCAGGGACAGGAGGCCCAACTGGGCAGGTCCTTCCCAGCCCACAGGGACGGGCTCGTGGAACAGCAGAGAGCTGTGGCAAGTTGGTAAGGCCACTGGGAACAGGCACCGGGGCTCAGTCCTCTGAAGAAAACGACTGCAGAGATTTCCAGGCTGTTCCCCATGAAAGATCACTATGACCTAGCCAGCGAATGGGCAGGTCAAGGCCCAGGTCCTGGGGGCATCTACTCAGTAAGAACCAACGTCCTGATACCCACTGCACTCGGATCCCCCCCTCCAGTCACGGAGAAAACAATATCCCTGTGACAGAGCACTGGCACTGAGTCCTGGCCACGCCCACCTAGAACTGGGCTCCTAACAGGAGGCCCAGCCCACCCCTGCTGCCCACCCGCTGCGGGCTCAGGGATGGTCCTCACATCACTGCCCAGGCTCTCGGCTGCGTGCCCAGCGGCCCCAGGAGGCAGCGGGGGCGAGCCCAGCCAGCGAGCGCCCGGCACTCACCAGGAACATGAACGCGGCATAGAAGAGGAGGGCCATGGCGCTGAAGGACTGGATGGAGGCCATCATGTTCCGCTGCAGGCTCAGCGGCAGCACGATGCACAGAGACACCACGAAGAGCAGGAGCACGCGGAAGGTGCTGGTCACCTGGGGCAGAGTGTGATTCTGGGCAGGCGCCACCTGGGTCCCCGGTGCGTCCAGCCCAAGTGCCCGGACCTGACCCCTCCTGTTCCCACAGGTCTGAGGTGGGGACTCACAGGGCTGTCACGTGAGCATGCCGAGACACCAGACACCTGAGAGTGTCCTACCTGAAACCCAAACAGCCGAGCAAAGAAGGTGGACCCCAGGTCACCAATGACGACGTAGAAGGCAATGCAGGTCCCCAACATCAGCCCAATCATGCTGCAAAGATGGAAGTCGTGGTTTTAACGGCATCTTTCAGGAGTCTGGTCTCACCATGGTCACAGCCACCCCCAGCGGAGGACCGGGCTCGGGCTGTGCTCATGGTCCCGGCAGGATATTGACGCTGAGCCTGGTCCCTTCCAGCCGCGGATGACATGTCACCCCAAGGCCGGGCTGCAGCAAAGCTAAAACACTGCACCTTTACCGGACCTGGTACATCTGTGGAATAAATACCGACCACCACTACACAGCTCTTCACGAGGGCTCCGCTCCTCTCTCCACAGGAGCTTCTGACGATCTCAGTGCCTGAGCGACGCACAGCGCGTCAGGCCAGTCACAGGACCGCCAAGGCTTACAGAGGGCAGTCCCAAATTCAGAAGCCTGAAGGGCGACCTTCCAGCCATTTTTCCATCTCATAAAATTTTACTCCAGGCCTGGCCAGTATTGCTCAGCAGTTAGAGCATCAGCCCACAGACTGAAGGGTCAGGGTGTGATTCTCAGTCAAGGGCACATAACTGGGTTGCAGGTTCGATCCCTGGCCCGGTCAGGGCACGTGTGGGAGGCAGCCAATCGATGTGTCTCTCTCACACCAATGTTTTTCTCTCTCTCTCCCCCACTTCCCTTCCCTCCCTCCCTCCCACTCTCTCTTAAAAAAAGGGAAAAAGCCCTGGCCGGTTTGGCTCAGCAGTTAGAGCATCAGCCTGCGGTCCAGAGAGACCCGGGTTCAGTTCCCGCTAAGGGCATGTACCTCGGTTGCAGTTTGTCCCCGGCCCTGGTTGGACTGTGTGGGAGGCAGCTACTCGATGTGTCCCTTTCAGATCGATGTTTCTCTCTCTCCCTCCTACTCTATCTGAACAAAAAATGGAAAAATGTCCTCAGGTGAGGATTAAAAAAAAAAAAAGAAAGAAATTTAAGAAAAAAGAAAAAAAATACTCTTGGGAAAGGATTAATAAAAAAAAAAAAATTTTTTTTTTTTACTCCAAAGGAAGAAAAGCTGACATTCCAATCAAACCCCTTGGTGCCCAGCACTCGGGGCGGGGCTCCAGTGTCAGGGCAGCACCGAGAGGGTGGCTGGCCGAGGAGCCACAGGGCTGTGTTCCCAAGGTCTCCGGAGGTTCCCTTATTTCCCACGCAGATTAACCCTTTCACCGGGACGCAGATCATTTTAAGGGCACAGTAAGCTGAGCTTTCAGATTCTTAGTACGATGCTTCCGATGCTTCGTTTTGTAACAGTCGCCAAGTTTCCCATTAGCTACAGCCGGGGGAGGACAGAGAGAGCCTCCTGCACGGGGCGCCGCCTACCTGGTCTCCACCAGCATCTTCCCCGCTTTTCCGTAGGCGTGAAACGCTAGTGCAAAACAAAGAGAATCAGCGCTCAGTCAGCAGCATGAAGAACATCAGTAACAGCCCAGGAAAAGCTGTGCCTGGCAATGTGACAAACACCCACTGGTCTCGCGATGCCCAGTGTAAGGGGGCATGTTTTTATTTTGGTCCCATGCTCTTCTTAGCTCTACAACCGAAAAATGGAAACCACATAAGACAAGAACAAAGAAAGGGAAGATGGGCAGGTTGGCTTTTCACTAAGACAGACAGACAGAAAGACAGACAGAAAGACAGACAGAAAGACAGACAGAAAGACAGACAGACAGAAAGACAGACAGAAAGACAGAAAGACAGACAGAAAGACAGACAGAAAGACAGACAGAAAGAAAGAAAGAAAGAAAGACCCCTGCCCCGCAACTGCTTCCCCCCGTGGCAAGCAGGAAGGAGGCCTGCCTGGAGGAGACCTGCCTGGGGTGGACGCTGCCGTGGACAGAGCTGAGAGGTGCCTGTAGCCCCGTCACGCCAGCCCAGCTAGCCCAGTTTTTAGAGCTCAAACCAGAAGGCCTGGCTAGGGCTGTTATGTTCCCTGTCTGATTTCAGGAGAAAATTTAGAAACTGCTTTCAAGCATGGCACTTTGGGAGGAGAGGGAACAGGGCTCTCGGGCTGGCCCCCTTTCAAGGCAGACAGCGAAGGAGCTGGCTGGCGACCAGTGCACCTTGCACAGCCTACAGCGGACAGTGTCTGTCCTTCCTTCCCGACCAGGGAGCCGCTTCCAGCAGAGTAGGGGTTACGAGCTGACTGGACAGGGTCCCTCCCAGGACCTGACCTTGGCCCAGTACCCCCACGACCCCCTCCACGGTCCAGCAGGACGAGGACAGAGGGAAGTTCTAGTTTCCCAGGAGCAACCGGAATGGGGTGTGTGACAGGAGGCACAGCTTCCAGCCCCACGTCACTCTCACTGGGGCTAGGGCCCTCTGGGCAGACCTGCAAAGCAGAGGCTCGCAGGCCACTGGTGAGGAGGACTCCAAGACACACTTGCCCTTACTTTCAACTCACTTAGGAAGAGGGCATTGCCAAAAGCGAGAAAGCCTGCGCCGGGCTCACCTCCACTGGCCACGGTGGCCTGTGCTGGTGAAGGCGGCACTCGGGGCCCCTCCCACCTCCCTGCTGTCCGACCCCTGGACAGACTCGCATCTCAGGTGCCCCTGACAAAGCCTGTTTGCATCACGACGCAACCTGAACTGGACGCAGGTCCTTGGCACAGGATGTGGTCAAGGTCAAGCTGAGAACTTCAAAATCTAGGTGCTCCCGACAGCGACAGCAGCCCAAGGCCACGCTGCCCCCGGAGGCCTCCAGGCCTCTTGATGAGTCATCGGTCAGCACGCCCGCACACCACGCAAAACCGAGAGCCCTGACCGTGGAGGAGGCACTCCTGGCCCGCCCACCCCGTCCTTCTCCATAAGGAAGCTCAGCATCTACGACAGACTCTAAATGCTGGGAGTGCATGCCGAGAAAGTTCCAGAACACACCCGCATCCCAGACGGAGGGAAGGGGCCAACTCGGGAGGTGGCACTTCCTCACCAGAGAGCACAGCTGGTTCCCAGAATGACATCCTAAGGGGAGGGGGGTCAAAGATGCTGCCATGCAGAGGGGCTGGTGTTCTGGCCTCCCTGTCCTCCCCCTTTCCTTCACTAGGGCCACACCACACACCACACTACAGACGCCCCGCCACCATTTCAGGCATCCCTCCCTCAGCACCTCTGACACTAAGTCTCAAACACAGAGCTTAGCAGTCACCTCAGACTCCTGCCTGGCACGGCTAGGGGAGGCTGGAGGGCCCACTCCTCTAGGGGGAAACCACGGCACCAGCCCAGCCCCCCGAGGCTGAGGGTGAGCAAGCACACCTGGGTGCGCACCAGCTGCTCGGAAGTCCGGCCTTCCTCCCCAGCGGCGACGGGCGCTCTGCAGCTCACGGGCCAGGCCGCACAGGACAAGGGTCAGTGCAGTCTGAGCAGCCCCCTTGCTGAGTGCAGAGCTGGCGTCAGGAGGGGCCTGAGTGCTGGTCGGCTTCTCCCAGGGCCAGTGTGGCCGCACGCCAAGGCCGCTGTGGACAGAGCCGACTCCCAGCCCCGTTTGGTGCAAGGTCCTGGCCCCCCACTTCCGCCCACATGCAAAGCCTCCTGCTCGCCAAGATCCCGCAGCAGTAGGGCAGAGATGGGGAGCCACGCTCGGAACCATGCTGTTTGAGTTGGGGGTGACCTCACCCAGCCACGCCTGGAGCTAGACCCTGGATGGCAACTGTCTCCCCACTGCTACCACACGGGACAGTGCACGTATCTGGAAAGGTGAGGGTGGGAGAAAGCCTGGTCCGTGGTCCTCGTTTCCCAAGCCAAGTAGCCATGTGAAAGGTCACACCTCCCAGGACAGCAGAGGGACTGCTCTGAGCAGCCTCGGAGGCTCTGCCCGCCCAGGAGTGGCAGCAGGCTGACCAGGGCCACAGACGCAGGCAGACGGATGGCTGAGGGGCCAGAGGGCACCTGCTACTCCGGGGCGCTGCCGCTCACCGAGGGCTCCAAGGTGCGGGCACCCTCAGTGGCGCGGGCCTGGGGCACGGAGTGCTAAAGACGCTGAGTAGCGGGCATCTCTGCGCATCCTCTGGAAGCGGGGCTTAGGAAGTCTCTGAGAAGGGGGGGCACGCAGCGCGAAGGAGCGGCAGGTGAGCCGGGGGTAACATCACAGAAGGAGCCCAGCAGCAGCAAACAAGACACCAAAAACACAGCAACACCGACAAAACCCACTGGTGCTGTGCCTCCCCAATGGGAAAGTCCGCTCACTGTGCCCACAGCCAGGGGCCAGGCAAACGAGGAACCATCACACACTCAAACCCCCCATCTGGGGAGTGTGCCACCCCCGGCACTGTCCCCAGGTCTGGTGGAGGCCATTTGTCCACCCCTGCAGCTGCCTGCGGCCCGAGGACCTAGCAGGCAAGGTGGGCAGGGGTAGTGCTGACCCAGACTGCCTGTCCTGGCCTGTGGTGCCCAGAGGCAGTGGCTCTCCCCTAAGGCCATCTTCTCTGGTCCAGCAAAAGCTCTGGTGGCATCTCCCACCCAGGAGAAGGGAGGACAAAGAGAAATGCCCTTGAAGCCGCAGAAAGAGACAGCCAGGAGGCAGGGGGGGCTGCTGACCCTCAGGGTCAGAGATTCTGGGCTCCTCCTATCCAGGCTGGATAGATCCTTTCCTAGGCTGGATCTATCCATTTCTGAGAAGGGGCCAGGACCACAGGCAGCAAAGGCTGCAGACTGGGCCCAGGGACGCTGTGGGAGCCTCTTGTTTGGTACCCGAGACATAATGGGAAGCCACTGGTGGTTCCGAATCTCTGCTTCGGGCGATGGGAACTGGGCTGTGGCGACCCCAAGCGGGAGCCCCAGGCAGCCGTGCAGAATGGTGTCCACAAGCAACCTTATCATCCTCAGGTTTTCACATCTAGCCAAACCGGTTTGCCTTCTCAGGGACTTTCTAAGAATAATCAGGCGGCTGTCAAAAACCACAGCCTACCTGGTCTAGGGTCACCCGCCCTCTTTCAGGCACAGCCAGGCACTTCCTGGGGCAGTGGCCACAGGAACCCTGCGGTCCAGAGACCTTCAGTGGGAGAAAGGGTCGCCTTGCAGCCCCGGCCTGGCAGAAGACAGAGGCCTCCTGGAGCACATTTCACCCCAAGTTACACTAGGTCTCCCCGGGGATCGAGCCTTCTGGTGACCTTCACTTCCTCGGTGGCTGCCGAAGCAAGGAGCCTGCCAGCACCGACTCCTCGGGAAGGGAGGACACACCCTTCAGTCCTGAGGTCAGAGAGCACCTGGGTGCCGGAGCGAAGCACATGCGCTGAAGGAAACGGGCTGTGCCCCACATGGGTCTTGCAGCTGTCGTTCTGTTTGTCCCCCTGGAACGCTGCACACTGTCTCCTCTCCACTTTGACAGCTGTGAGCAGGGGCCAGGGCAGGCCCCCCAGGGTCCCGGCCACACATGGGCTGGAGGGTCTAGGGCTTTCATCTGGAGGCCGGGAGTGTTCCCCAGATAGGCACAGGGCCAGCTCCCACCCCGAATTCCCAGGAACGGAATGCAGAGCCAAAGGTCCAAGGTAGGTGCAGAGAACGTGGCCTCGACTAAGTCCCCAGAGCCACACTGCCCAGCAAACGCCCCGGACTGACAGGGAGCAGGAGTGCACTGGAGCCCAAGGACGGAAGAAAGAGCCGAAGGAAACCACACTGCAACCGACAGCATCCGGGAACAGAGAAGCACGGGGCAGATGGGTGACGCGATCCCAGTGACAAGACTGCCCAGGGACAGGGTCCCTCGTGGCATTCGGAGCGGGGCAGAAGCACGGCGCTGTTGGGCAGCCCCAGGAGGCTGGGACCCAGCAGGGGCAGGCAATAAGCCAGTCCGCAGAGAGGTGGGGGCTGCTGGTTCTGCTGAACTTGGAGGGGCCTCTCTGTGTGTATTTGCTTGCGGGGGAGACAGGAGAACCAGGCTGAGAAGGAGACTGTGCCTCAGACCCTTTCGCATCACCTCAATCCCGAAGCATGTGACTGTAGTACCAGTTTTTTAAAGCTGCACTAAGCAATTAAAAACAACTGCTGTTGAAGGCACGCTTTAAGAACAGAGTGGAGAAAAGGGAACACATAAAGGTGCAAGGCCCGCCCATCTAGAGTGCTGTGCTCCTTAGGGAGGTGCCCGATGCCCTCCCAGAGACCACATCCTCACCCAGGCCCGCGTAGGTCCTCCGCTTGCTCAGGCTGGCGGCTTTCACCAAGAACATGCAGGACTGGTGCGTCATCCAAGAGCAGAAAGCCAGGAGCAGGGCCCCCAGGACGATGCCACACTAGAGGGTTGAAAGAAAAAGAGATGCTGACAAACTAAAACTGCCCCGCTACCTTTGCCTTACACACTGACCGCCGCGTTCGCAGCTTCCGAAAGCCCCTCCGCTGCCTCCCGTCGGTCCCTGTCCATATAAAGCCCCAGCTCCGTTCCACTGCCCGGCCCTTGGCACTGAAAGGGACCAGTCCCTGGATGTGGGAGCCACACTTTACAAGGACATAAGTTCTGGCTGTGACCCTGAAAGAGCCCAGGGACCGTCTCCCTCCCGGCCCCTCCGAGAGTCTGAATGCTCCACGTCTCAGTTCTCTGCACACCCTACGCGGGCCACTTCCCAGACACTCGGACAAGCAGCTACGAGTGGTGAACACGTTCAAGAAGGAAGAGATTAAAAATGACATTTACACCCTGGCTGGTATGGGTCAGTGGTTAGAGCTTAGGCCAGTGAACCAAAGGGCCTCAAGTCTGATCCCGGGCCCAGGTTAGGGTGCATGCAGGAGACAACCAATTAATGTTTCTCTCTCTCTCATTTTCTCCTCCTCCATCCTCCTCCCTCTCTCCCCCTCCCCCCTTCCACTCTAAAAAATCAGTGGGCCCTGGCTGGTTTGGCTCAGCGGTTAGAGCATTGGCCCTTGGACCAAAGGGTCATGGGTTCCAGTCCCAGTCAAGGCCATGTGCCTGGGTTGCCGGTTTGATTCCCAGCCCCAGTCAGGATCGTGCAGGAGGCAACCAATTGATGTGTGTATGTGTGTGTGTGTGTGTGTGTGTGTGTGTAGCTCCCTCCTTCTCTTCCTTTCTATCTAAAAATCAATGGCAAGGATTAACAAAAACATAAATAAAAGTAAAAATCAGCCTACACGGTGTGGCTCACTGGTTGGGCATCAACCCATGCACCAAGAGGTTGCCAGTTCAATTCCCAGTCAGGGCACATGCCCAGGTTGTGGGCCCAATCCCCAGTGAGGGGCGTGCAGGGAACGGCCAATCAAAGTTCCCTCTCATCGATGTTTCGCTCTCTTTCTCTCTCTCTCCCCTTTCCTCTTTCTCTAAAAATCAATAAAGAAAAAATATAAAAAAATAAAAATCAGTGGAAAAAATATTCTCAGGTGAGAACTTTTTTTTTTTTTAGAAAAGGACATTTAGCCCTGGCCAGTTTGGCTCAGCAGTTCGAGCGTCTGCCTGCGGTCCTGAGAGACCCGAGTTCGGTTCCCGCTAAGGGCATGTACCTCAGTTGCAGTTTGTCCCCGGCCCTGGTTGGGTCGTGCGGGTGGCAGCCACTCGATGTGTCCCTTTCACATCGATGTTTCTTTCTCTCTCTCCCCCTCCTACACTATCTGAACAAAAAATGGAAAAATGTCCTCGGGTGAGGGTAAAATAAATAAATAAATAAAAATAAAAAATAAAAGTACCAAAATTACTCAAACCAAACGAACCAAAAATCAAAACTTTTTAAAATGACATGGCTATCACACACTAAAATTACAGGCCCCCAAACTGCCCACTGGCTTCTCACTGTGCTCCCCTAGGAAGAGACGCCAAGTCCACAAGACAGCAGCTACCCTAACCTCCGCCAGGCCCCTGGGACAGGTGACCATTTCCAGTCCTCCACCCCTAAGCTGTGAACTCCTGCTGAGCAAGTCGGCCTGGCTATGCTTATTTTTTTTTTTTTTTTTATCCTCACCCGAGGACATTTTCCCATTTTTTTGTTCAGGTAGAGTGAGAGGGAGAGAGAGGAACAGAGAGAGAGAGAGAAACATCGACGTGAAAGGGACACATCGAGTGGCTGCCACCTGCACGACCCAACCAGGGCTGGGGACAAACCGCAACCGAGGTACGTGCCCTTAGCGGGAACCGAACCCGGGTCTCTCGGGACCGCAGGTCGACGCTCTAACCGCTGAGCCAAACCGGCCAGGGCTGGCTATGCTTATTTTTATTTTTTTTAATTAATTAATTTATTTTACCCTCACCCGAGGACATTTTTCCATTTTTTGTTCAGCTAGAGTGGGAGGGGGAGAGAGAGAGAGAGAAACATCGACGTGAAAGGGACACATTGAGTGGCTGCCACCCGCACGACCCAACCAGGGCCGGGGACAGACTGCAACCGAGGTACATGCCCTTAGCGGGAACCGAACCCGGTCTCTCCGGACCGCAGGCTGACGCTCTAACCGCTGAGCCAAGCGGGCCATGGCCTGGCCATGTTTAAATGCTGTGGAGGGGCCCCATGCCCCCCACAGGGTAGACATGCAGGTCTTCGGACAGCCACGGTGGCACCTGCCACACAGGCATCAGGCCGGCAGTGCCGGACCTGCAGATGCAGGCCTGGGTAACTGCACCACCCGGGATGCGTTCCATGCCAGGCAAGCTGCAATGCATACTGGGACATGCAGTCCTTCCACGAACACCCAGCACTGGCCACCCGCCAGGGATGCACAAGGCCCAGACAGATGTTGCCCCAGGGGTGCGCTGAGCCGGCAGCCTGACCTCCCACAACCACCTGCAGGCCCCCATTCTCCTGCCAACATGCCCTGCAGCCAAATCAGACACCTGCTCACCCAGGCGGGCTGGAGGGCTCTAGGTGGGGGATCAAAAACTCCCCCGATTTAAAAACTTTTCTGTTGTTGTTGCTATTTCTATCCAGAAGAGGCCACGCAGGAAAAAGGCGAAGTGTCTGTTAATCTTTAGAGTTAAATTGCTGGGGCCCACGTTCAAGGCCCAATGTCCATCGTATTTTCCTTTCTCTACCTACTGGCCGTCCCCCCGTGAGCCGGTGCCGGCCAGGCTGACAGCCCCCGGCCCAGGGGCTCTGCAGGGGGCGGGGGAGCAGCCCGTCGACTGGGGGACGATCCGCGGACGCTACATGGAGCCACGACTCAGAAACGGTGACTTTCTCTCCCGCGACGCGGCTAATGTTTCAGGGGTTCCGGTTCCCCCTTGTTTTCGTCTGCACAAGGCGACCTGCGGGGGCCTGAGGTGCGCTGTCGGGCCAAGGCGGGGCCCTGCGCCCCGGGGCCCGTGCCCGCGCGGGCGCCCCACCCAGCCCGGGGCGCTGGGCCGGCGGGCACAGGGCGGCCGCGGGACTCACCTGTTTGAAGCAGAAGGGCATGGTGAGCACACTGACCCCCACTATGCTGTTCACTATGTTCATGATCAGCCCCCAGTTGGAGGCGGCGGCCGCGGTCATGGCGCGGGGCAAGGGGCGCGAGGCCCTGACGGGCACGGCGGCTGCCTGGAGGAGGCGGCCTCGCGGGAAGGCGGCGGGGCCGTCAACCTGCCGACCCCGCCAGGCCCCGCGGCCACCTCATGGCTTCGCGTCCGGCTCCCCCGCTCCCGCTGGCCGCCTCCGTGTCCCCACGCCCAGACGCGGAAGGGCCGCCAGGTGCCAACTAGGCACACCTCAGCCCGCTGCCCGGCCGCCCGACACACTTCCGCCTTCCGCGGGCTCCCCTCCCGGAAGTGGCGGCGCGGGGCGGGGCGCGAGGGCAGCAGTGGGCGGGGCCTGCAAGGGAACGTTCTGGCTCTGAGGGGCGGGGCCCTGAGGGGCGGGGCTAGGCGCCGCGAACCAATGAGAGTCCATCATTGCCACCGGAGCGGGGGTTGAAGGCAGGGCCGGTGGCCCGCGTGCTGTGCACCTGTCCAGAGCCGCTGAACCCCGCCCTGCGGGGGCTGGAGCACTAGGGACTTACCCGCCGAGCCCCGCTACCCAAGGACAGTGTGGGGCGAGAGGGAGGGGGAAAGGGCCGCGGCGCACCTCCTGGAGAAAAGCGGGGTTTCGAGGGAGTTAGCAGCCTACTTTTTATGAGACGCTGAGGCACAGAGAGGTTTAGTGATTTAGCTAAGGTCACAAAGCTCGAAAGAGGGTGCGTGAGGATCTGCTCCCCAGGCCAGCGCTCTTCAGAACTGCACCCAGAGCAGTGGGAGGAGAGAGCCCAACAAAGACACCATGGAAATACTGTGAGAGGAAAGGAGAGGTAGAGACCTATGTGACCAGAGAAATCTAGGAGGGCTCCAAGGAGGTGGTGTCTAGGCTGGACCTTGAGGGACAAATGGGAATGGAGGACGGAGAGGGCTTTGGGGAGGAAGAGACAGAAGGGCCATGAGACATCTGTGAATTCCTGGCAGCTGGCAGGTGGTCACATGTGTCTGCGGAACAGATAGTAGGGACAGGAGGGCTGTGAAGGGCCTTCTCAGGACGAAACAAGTCATTCCAAGCAGGTTGAAACGTACACAGGAAGAATTAAAGCGGCCAGGAGAGAATATAGGGGAACCACGCGTGTAGGCTCGTAAAGGAGCAGGGGCTGATTCCTCTGCTCCACAGCCACTAAGTAAGGCTCTGTCTCACCCCCAGGCATGAGAGGAATAAGAGGAAATGCAGGGTAAAGAGGAATTAAATTCGCCCTGGCCAGTTTGGCTCAGCGGTTAGAGCGTCGGCCTGCGGTCTGGAGAGACCCGGGTTCGGTTCCCGCTAAGAGGAATTAAATTCAAAACCAAAATAAATGTCATTTATTCGTTTTATATCAATCATACATACATTCTATAACCTGCTTTTTTATTAATTGTGTAATTTTTATGAAATATTGTACACCCAAGACAGGATATGCATAATTTAAATGTATATTTTAACAAAGAACAATAAATACTCATAAACCCACCATTTGGCTTTAAGACAGAATATTAGCAGACATTTAGATATTTTGTTTGGTTCCTCCACAGTCCCACCTTCTTCCCTTCTTTGCAGCCATCATTATCCAGATTTTATCAATTCATTACCTTTCTTTAAAAGTTTACCACATATGGATATATCCCTAAACGGTTATCAGAAAGATTACTATTTGTCTCTTAATATTTGTTTATTCTGCCCTGGTTGGTTTGGCTCAGCAGTTAAAACGTCGACGCATGGACCAATGGGTTGTGGGTTTGATTCCTGGTCAAGGGCATGTTCCTGGGTTGCAGATTCGATCGCTGGTCCCAGCTGGAGTAGTGCAGGAGGCAACCAGTCGATGTGTCTCTCTCACATTGATGTTTCTCACACATTGATGTCTCTCTCTCTCTCTCTCTCTCTCTCTCTCTCTCTTATTTCCTCCCCTTCCCTCCCTCCCTCCCTCGCTTCCACTCTATCTAAAAATCAATGGAAAAATATCCTAGGGTGAGGATTAACAATAAAACAAAGTTTTGTTTATTCCAAATTTTGCCAGCATGTGTGGCTGCCTAGAACAAAGGACATGCTCCCCAGCCTCCCTTGCAACTAGGGCTGGTCATGTGCCTAAATTCTGACCAGTGACCAGAAATGACAGGTGCAATTTTTAGGTAGAACCTTAAAAGGAAGGGGTCTTTCCCTTCCTCCCCCTCCCTTCATCCTGCTGCTTAGAACATAGAGGTGATGGTGGGAAGCCATCACAGGCTGTGTACTGTGACAGGAGAAGGAGCCTGGATCCCTGGACTTCATCATGGAGCAGAGCCACCATCCCAGCCCTGACCCCTCCTCCAGACTGCTCCGTGAGGGGCAGACAAACCATCTCGTGTAAGCCCCTGTTATTTTGGACTCTGTTTCATGAAGCCAAAGCTATACCCTAACTAATTCAATAGTGTATTCGGGCAGAGCGTTTTGCATTTTTCACTTTTGTGCTAATGTATTTATATCTATAAATTCTTTTGCAACACCTCGCCCCCCCCCCCAACACACACAACTTGCAAGATTTGCAATTATAGTGCAGGTACTCTGAGTCATTCATTGTCGCTCTTCTATAGAAATCTGTTGTTTAAAAAGCCCAGAATACATGTGTCCATTCTCCTGCTGAGAGCACTGGAGTTGTTTCCAATTACTTGCCATTATAAACAGTGATGCAAGGCCATTATGGTACTTATCTCCTTGATATGTTAGTGCCTCGAGGGTAAATACCTAGAAGGGGAATTGCAGATTCAAGTCCATGCCTACCTTTGATGTTACCGGATACTGCCAGATGGCTCTTCAAAGCAGTGGTAAGAGTTCTTGCTGGCTGCCAAGCTAGTGTGGCTCAGTGGCTCAGCTTCCACCCATGCACCAAGAGGTTACTGGTTCAATTCCCAGTCAGGGCACATGCCCAGGTTGTGGGCCCGATCCCCAGTGGGGGGCACGCATGAGGTGACCAATCGATGTTCTCTCTCATTGATGTTTCTATCTCTTTCCCCCTTCCTCTCTCTCTAAAATCAATAAAGACAAAAAATGTATACAAACAAAAAAATAGAGTTCTTGCTGGTTTACATCAGAGGCTGACAACCTCTTCTGTAAAGAGTCCAATAGCCAATATTTTCTGCTTTGCAAACCATACAGTCTCTGTCACAACCATTCAATTCTGTCTTTGTAGCTTGAAAACAGCCCTAGAGGACACACAAACAAATGAGTGTGTCTGTGTTCCAATAAAACTTTATTCATAAAAGTGTTGGCTGGCCCAATTTGACCCAGGGCCAAAGGTTGGGGACAGCAGCGTTTGAGATCATCTCTTTGGCCTTCTAGGGAATGAAATGGAATCCCATAGTGGTTTTGATTTTTCCTCCTAATTATAAATGAGGTTAACCATCTGCTCATATTTTTATTGTCCATTCCCATTTCTTCGATGCACTGCTTGTTCATTGTTGCCCATTTTTCTAATCAGCTGTTTGTCTCTGTTCTTGCCAATTGTGAGGAGTTCTTTCCATGTGTTTGATAACTAACACTGTGTCCCTCAGTCTGGGTTTGTCTGATGTCTCCCCATGGGACTGGTTCTTCATTCTGTCCTAACAAATGACGGCAAACTTAAAAGCTTCCCCAACACGAATCCATCATCTCCGTTGGCAGAACTCAGTTCCTTTGGGCTGTGTTTTCTTGCCAGTTGTAAACCGAGGGTCCTTCCCAGCTTCTAGAGGCTGCCATGTTCCCTGGCTCATGGCCCCTTTCCTACAACTTCAAAGCCAGCAGCAGGTGGTGGATGGGGTTGGGGGATGGCGGCGGGGTGAGTCAACTCCTCCTCGGGGTGAGTCAACTCCTCCTCACACGGCCTCTCCCTGACCCAGCCAGGATCAGTGTTCCGATTTCAAGGACTCGCGTGATTAGACTGAGCCCATCTGGATCATCCAGGATCATCCCCCATCTCAAGGTCTGTAACCTTAATCACATCCGCAAAGTCCCTTTCGCTTTGTAAGGTAACCTGTTCATGGGTTCCGGGGATTAAGGGGAGCACATCTTGGGGGGGGGCATTATTCTGCATACCACGCTTGTGATGAGATTCAAATTATGTTTCTTTAGCAGAAACATCACGGAAGTGATGCCCTGTTTCCATGAATCCTGTCAGGTGCTGCTCGATTTTAGCTTGTCCCGTTAGCCATGACATGTCCTTGTCACTTGAGTAGACAGGCCTCCCCATGGTAATGTCTTTGTAACAAATGACTGGTTGGGGGAGGTACTTTGGAATGAAATATCCTAGTCCTTATCAAACTTGCAATTTATTAATTCATCTGTATCACTGTGGACTCGTGGTTTCCTGTTTTATTCACGGGGTTATAATCCATCATTATCACTATTTGTCCTCATGCTCGGACTGTCCCACTACTGAGAGCCCTCCAGATGGCTCCTGTGTCCTTCGATGTGCCCCGGACATTATCTGAGCACTTCCGTTCTTTCTCAGTCCACGCGATCTTCCCAGCTCATCTCGTACATTTCCTGGAATCCGCCCTGGCTCCTTCTGGTGGGAAGTGGTCACAGAGACCACAGTCGGGGTCCCGGGCGTGCGCACAGCCGTTGAGGCGCTGGGGCTCCTGGGTCCCGCGGAGGACAGAGCTGAGAGGCATGTGTGTGTGCAAACACATACACACCTAGACTTCTTCCCAAGTCCGTCTCCATGTCTGGAGAGCCACGACCCCCAGCAGTGCCTCCAGTGAATGCCCCTGGAGGTCCAGGGTTACAGCCTCATCACGGCGTCCACCTCTTCACACCCGTCACTCCAGGCCGGTGCTCTCCCTCCTCCCTCGCCCCAACCCCTACCCTGGGAGCCTCCGGCCACCACTGCGGGTGGAGAATGGACGGTGACCCCACCTGCAGCTGGCTGTGAGGCCGAATGTAAAAGTCCCGGTGAGGGCTGGTCCCCTCTGTCCCCTCTGTCCCCTGAGCATCTTCTTGGCCATCCTCCACTTTTTGGTCAGCGTCTCCAACTTCCAAACGAGGCCAGGCTTGGAAGTGAGTATCGGAGGCCCGGG